ATGTCGCGGCGTCCAAGAACGGTGCCCACGATGAAGGGCTCCAGTCATTGATGCTTTCCGACCCTGGGGCGACGTCGACTCGTGCGATCATTTCGTTGGTGTTGCCATGGTGCTCAGTCACCGTCCATGGGAATCCCATGGCGCCAACTCCGACCTTTGCGAGGTAGTCGATGCTGAAATCATCCCGTAGCTGTGCGCCGATACGGGTCTTCACTGCAGATATGTCGAATCTCACTTCTGCGGTTGTTTCAGGTCGACAGTTGACGCCGTGACCGGTCGTGTGGGTGACCCAAGAGCTCTCGTCCCTTTGTTCGCCTTCTGTCAATCGTGACATGAGTTTCACCTCATGATCTTGCTCCACTACCACCTGAATGTTTCGCGGGGTACCAACGGCAATGGGGACCTTTAGGTTGATGTTCTGCAATGCGGGGGTTCCAGTAGCGCCCAGGAAGGTATTGATCAAACACGCGGCAGGAATGATTTCAGTTCCGGAAACTGGATGGCTCAGCGGGAAGGGCTTCGTGTCCTGGTCCAGAGTCGTTGAGAAGACCACCATCTCGGTGCCGGCCACAGCAGTCCGCTTGCCCAAAAGAGTGTGCGTGTCGACATCATGCAATTCTGCGGTTCCGGTTGTCGTCGCTTCGCGCCATAGGGGACGATGCATCCAGGGACCCATTGGTATCCCTTGAATCCAATTGCTCACCATATGCTGCTTCGAGTTGCTGATATCCGCTCCGCTGCAGTATAGTCGACCAACTGCATGAAGAATGCTCTTCTCTGCTGGTTGGTTTCTGCGAAGAGTGGGAAGGACCGAGAAGTCGTCAATGCCACGGTCCATGATAGTCTCGCTAATCGAGTGGGACACAACGGGGTGACTGGAGACTTCCAAGAACCTCCGGTGGCCATCCTCAATGGCAGCAGCAACAGCGGAAGTCAGCTTTACTGGGCTAATCGTGTTGTTCACCCAGTAACTGGTATCCCGAGGGTCCTGGCCGCGAGCATCCGAAAGCGAAGTCGAATACAACTGGACTGCTGGCTGAGTAGGTTGCAAGGCATCTCGAAGCGCGGTCAAGAGAGGCTCTCTAAGCTGACCCAGGACTGCGGGACTGTGAAATGCGATATCAGTCTTGACTGTGAAGGTCTTGGTCCCTTGGTCCTGATACTGTTGAACGACAATGGCGACATCCTCTTTGGGACCAGCGACAACACAGGATGATGGGGATGAGTCGATGGCGACAGTCACATTGGTTGCGCCTTTTTCGTTGAGGTCTTGACGGACATCTTCAGAGCCCCGGCTGACCAAAGCCATTGCTCCATGGCCCATAACCTGCCTGTACAAAACTGCCCGTCGAGTGACAATCAACGCTCCCTCAATTGGCGAAAGCGCACCAGCAACCACAGAAGCAGCGATCTCTCCTACCGAATGACCAATAACTGCCTGGGGGAAGATACCGTGGCTGTTTAATGCGGCGCTGATTCCGATTTGGACGATGTAGGTCAAGATCTGTATCCGATCGGACGACTCGAAGTCACCCTGCTGCAACCATTCAATAGGCGACGAACCGATCTCCTCGTGGACAACAACATCAAGTGGCTGGATGGCATCGTAGAAAACAGGGCTGTTGATCAATTCCTTCCCCATGTCCGTCCATTGCGCTCCGTGACCAGAGAACACCCAGACGACATCTTTCCTCACATCGGACGGGAGGGCACGACTTTGCGCAGTCCATGGGTCGCTAGTCGAGCGCTTCTGTATGGAATCTAAAGCGGCGAGGGCACCATCGATGTCTTCGACGACTGCAGATGTCCGAAAGTCGTGATGGCTACGTCGTGCGGCCATCGTTTGGCACAGACCATCAAGATCAAGCCTAGGACCCTGCTGGCGGATCCATGAGCTCACCAATTCTGCAGAGGCGGATAGACGTTGCTCCTGGGGTGCTGAGAGAAGCAGTAGCTGTGGGCCCATGCTGTGGACATTCTCTTCGTCCAGCGGAGATGGCTTTGTGTACTGCGGGAACTCTTCGAGAACAGCATGCGATACTGTTCCGCCATAGCCATAAGAGCACACGGCTGCGCGACGCAGTTCATCCGGGTTTGGCCAATTGGTCGGTTTCTGCACGACCCTAAGGCCGGCTTCTTGCCAGTTGATTCGGGAGTTGAGCGTTTGCAGGTTCGCTTGGGGGGGTAGGATGCCTTTTTGGATAGCGAGGACAGACTTGATGAGACCCATAACTCCTGCACCGGCCTCCAAATGGCCGATGTTGGGCTTTATCGACCCAATATAACATGGATCGTCACTTGGCCTCCCGACACCATAGGTCTCTGCAACTGCGGAAACTTCTGTCGGATCTCCCAGCGCAGTAGATGTAGCGTGCGCTTCGACGTAGCGCACCGTATGGGGATCGACGTCAGCGGCGTGGAGTGCTTTCTGTGCGACGAGTTGCTGTGCTTTGGCGTTCGGGGCCATGATGCCGTTGTTCCTGCCGTTGTGGGCTACCGCGCTGCCCTTGATAACTGCCATGATGTGATCTCCGTCGTGAATAGCTTGACTGAGATTCTTCAGGACAATGGCACCTGCACCTTCACCACGACCATAACCATTTGCGGTATCATCGAACGATCGGCATTGGCCTTCGGAGGAAATAACCCCAGCTCTAGCCAGGACTGTTGTCAAGCCTGGACTGCAGAGTGCGTTCACGCCACCAACGATCGCAACCTTGGATTCACCTCCGACGATGGCTTTAACGCCATGGTGGACAGCAACGAGTGAAGAAGCACATGCAGCATCAACAGCAACACTGGGCCCCATCAGGTTCAAATGGTACGATATCCGATTTGGAACCCCACAGTATGCCGTCCCAATCCCCATCCAAGCATCGATATTCGCCAGGTCCTCCAAAATAAGACTCCCATAATCATTCGAGTTCACACCCCAAAAGACAGCGGTATCACTACCACCCAGCGTTTTCGCAGAAATTCCAGCGTCCTCGAGCGCCTCCCAAGCAACCTCGAGCGAGACACGCTGCTGTGGATCCATTTGCTCTGCTTCTTTCGGGGAGATGCCGAAAAACTGACAGTCGAATTCTTCGATGTTCTCGATGTAGTATCCGCGGTTGGGCACTTGGCTCATGACTTTTGGGTTGCGGGGGTCTCGATTGTGGTATGGTGCCCAGCGCTTGGGAGGCATTTCGGTAGATGCTACTTTCTGGCCCAACAAAGCTTGCCAGAGTTGTTCGGGGCTTTCGATGCCGCCGGCTACACGGCATCCCATGCCGACGACTGCGACATCTTGGAATCGAGCCTGTATCACTCTGTTAGGGTGTCCGGATCTTTCTTCCGGGTGGTTGAGGACTTACACTATCACTATGTTCGGTGACGGGAGTGCTTCTCGAGTCATTAGATCTCGATCGTGGTATGGAAGAAGTAGAGGTAGACATGATGGTTATGCGGAATCAAAGTTTTGCACGAAGAAAGCTGCTGCAACAAACGTGGGGAGTATTTTTCTAAAGCATGCGGCGATGATGCAGGCCTCGCAGCTTCCTTCATATATGCTTGACTAACCTGCAGCTGAAGAATTAATAGTGTAAACTCAAATTACCAATATCAGGACTTTTTTTATTCAGCTCTTTCTTCCTGGATACCAGGTGGATAAAGAGTCAAGCGCCTACGTGTTCATTGCGAGTCTGCAATTCCAGCCACAATCGTGTTTGGGGATCTACGATATGACGATCAAGAAGACAGACTTTCGCTTATCTTGCCTTTGGTCCGAGCACCTGGATCACGGAGCTACTAGCGCCATACCCTTGCATGCCTGCAGGAAACGCAATTAATTCACATGGGTCCTCGCCGGTGGGATCGGGATTGCCACTCGGGATTGCTATGAGTGTATCACCAACACTTGTGATACAAACCTAAATTAAACAGCCAGTTTGCTAATATGCATCGAGATTTGCAATGGCTCAAATGCAGTTAAGAGAACTAGATATGCCTTCCAGCGAATCTTCACAATGAGGTCACGTGATAGTAGCCCTAATCGGCCCCGGATCCCATCGGGTCCCACCGGTAGAGATGAAAGTGGATACGATACATGGACGCATCCTATTCTTGAAGTTCTGCAATTACTCACCATAAGATTAGTGGAAATTTTAAGAGCTCTGCTCACATTGTGATCATGCAGGTATGGAGGTTTCGGAGCTCGTCAACTGCAAGGTTACTCTGAGCATGAGATCCCTGCATTCGCATGCATCAATGCCTTCAGCTATTCCAGGTGTGTATACCTTTTCGGAATATCCGATATGGGTGCCACTTCGGCCCGTTGGTCTGTTCCCCTCATTCTGTGGATCAAGTCACTGAATCGGGGCTCGTGCATGTCGATCTTGCCAGTGTCGTCGTGTCATCAAGCCACATGACTCAATCGAGATACATCCGGCAACCACTACGCCAGTGGCTCTATTGTTTTTGGATTTGCCTGGTTGTGGACAAACTCATTTGTGATCCGTGTATGGGCTGGTAGCCCCTCTTAGTATTGCCCTGTCGGTAAATTCCTTCCTCAGTGGATGACCGAGGCTGGGATTGAAGCTGATATACGGAGCATGTCTGTCGTATTTTCGATCTGATACGTACAAAGTGGATCGTTTCCGAGAGGGTTTCCTGTCATCCACTTAGTTCGCACTTCGTCATGGTGCTGAACTGAAGTGCGCTAGGATCCAATAGCTTTACTTCATACATTGGAGAGATTATTTTGATTCTCGTACTGATCAGCAGGGATTCTCAGCTGAGATTGAAGACTATTAAGATAGCGAATCTGATTGGTGTCAGCGCGATTCCTGCGAGCAGTTGGGGCTGTTACCGGCACCAGCTCTCGGCAATATCATCCCACTTGGAAAAGAAGTCATGGTATAATTACCAGCAGGACCCCAGTTAATGGACACAGGTTGGTCCTTGTTCTACTTGAGCTGAGCCTTTTATTCTACGTGATTTTCATTCCTCAACAACCCAAAATGGCAAACAACAATACTCACAAGATCGGCCAAAGGCTTATGGTCAATGCCATTGACGACATCGCCGAGAAAGATCCAGAGAGAACGGTTTGCATCATGCCGGAGACAACCGACAGTTCGGATTCTTTTGTGAACCTGAATTTCAGACAGCTTGCCCATGCGGTGAATTACACGTCTTGGTGGATAGAGAAGTCTTTTGGGCGTCACAATAGCTCTCCGCAAGAGACGTTGACTTATCTTGGGGCGAATGACTCTCGGTATCTGATTATTGTTATGGCTTGTAATAAGACTGGTTATCAGGTAAGGTAAACAACAGGAATTATGAATTCAGCGTGTTGACATTGGATATAGCCCCTGCTTTCCTCTACTCGAAACTCTCAGGCGGCACAACTCCGTCTCCTGGAAATGACCGACTGCTCGAAGCTCGCATATAGTTCTGAGCGAAAGCAAAAGGCAGAGGAGATCGAGGAATGTCGTTCTGATTTGAAGAATGCACAAATTCCATCGTTAGCTGAGATTCTTGCAAGCAATACCGAATTATACCCCTTCACGAAGACATTCGAAGAGGTCAAGAACGATGTGGCTTTTATCGCTCACAGCTCGGGAACTACTGGTAAGTGATTAGTCGAGCATTTCTAGAAACGTGCTAAACATGGTAATAGGATTTCCCAAACCAATTCGCCTCACATACGGCTACTTTGGCGCTCTGGACCATGGTAGATACGTCCCCATCCCCGAAGGACGAACAGCAGGTGTACCAGATCGATTGACTCCCAACGACCTTATCCTGTCCACGACTCCCTTCTTCCACATGATGGGCTTCTCCTTGATGGTCATGACCGTCTTCCATGGAATTCCTTGCGTGATCTTACCCGACAAGCCGCTGTCGACTGACCTTTTGACAACAACCCTCAACTCGACAAAGCCAACAGCAGCCCTCTTTCCACCATGTATTCTAGAAGATATGACCGCATCACCCGTATCCATGGATGCTCTGTCGGGACTAAAACATGTCTACTTTGGGGGCGGTCCTCTTTCTCCCGATGCTGGACGTAAGGTCAGCGAACACACCAAGCTCGTTAGCTTCCTTGGGATGACGGAGGGTGGTTGGGTATTGTCGCTTGTTCCAGAGGATAAAGAAAACTGGTCGTATTTCGAATGGAGTCCGACGTTTGGTATCAAGATGGAGTCAATTGGCGAGGGTGGACTCGCGGAGATGGTCTTGCATAGACACGAGAGGCCGGATCTGCAGCCCATCTTCCACACATTCCCTGATATTCCAGCATACCACACGAAAGATCTCTACTCGCCTCATCCGACGAAGCCAGGTCTTTGGAAGTTCCACGGTCGCCTGGACGACGTGATTGTTCTGAACAACGGCGAAAAGTTCAATCCAGTCACCATGGAGAAAATCATCGAGGGACATCCTTTGGTCGCTCGAGCTGTCGTTGTTGGTCTGGGCAAGTTCCAAACAGCGCTCATCGCCGAACCTAACTGGAACCAGGAAATCCCAGATGAGAGCCAGTTTATTGAGGAGATCTGGCCGACTGTGCAAGAAGCAAACCGTATCAGCGTGGCTCATGGTCGAGTCATGAAGGATAAGATCGGAGTAGCGTCTCGCGACAAACCATTCAGCACCACACCCAAGGGAAGCACGCAACGACGACTGGTAACGGATAGCTACCAAGATGAGATTGAGGCTCTTTACAACAAGCGCGCATCAGCTGATGCCTGGGTTGATGCAATTTCGGGAGCTACTGAGCTATCCGATATCGTCCAAGTTATCCGTAATATGATCTCGGAGGCTATTAGCCTTTCACCAGCAGAGTTCACAGACCAGATGGATTTGTACAGTATTGGACTGGACTCGTTGCAGACGTTGCAGCTGAGCACGATTCTCCAAGTCGCGGGCTTCAAGACCTTCACGCCCCAGATGGTCTACGCAAATCCTAGCGTTGACAGGCTTTCCAATCTTCTCTACGGTATCGTTCACGGCGTTCAAACGGAGGAAGGCGCAACTTCGCGGTCTGAGCGCGTCGACACCCTGGTCAAAAGGTATACGGATGATCTGCGTCAACCGGAGGTTGGCACAAACGGCGTGAGCAACGGCGTCAATGGCACAGAGAAAAAACATGCCGTCATCTTAACCGGATCTACGGGCTCCCTGGGCACATACATCCTCAACAACCTCTTGAACGACAACAGCGTTTCCAAGGTCTATTGTCTAAACCGCACCACTGACGCCCAAGAACGCCAGACCCAGAGCTTCAAACAAAAGGGCCTAACAACCCTCGAAAGATCTCAAGCGGATAAAGTAGAATTCCACACCGTCTCCCTTAACAAAGAACACTTCGGCCTTTCCGACACCACCAAATACACCGAGATGCTCTGCACAGTCGACACTGCCATTCATAACGCCTGGCGAATGGACTTTAACATCTCCGTCGAGTCTTTCCAGGACCAGATTCAGGCTGTTCGCCGGCTGGTTGACTTCTGTAAACAGAGCACGCATCACGCACACTTCTACTTTATGTCCTCCATTGGGGCTATTGGTGAATGGAAGCGTTCGGGCGGAGATACTGTCCCAGAGGTACCATTCGAATCATGCGATGTCGCGCTTCGTCAAGGATACGGAGAGGCGAAGCACGTTTGTGAGCGGATTTGTCTCGCTGCGTCTAAGGTGGGTGTGTCGACAACTATTCTCCGGTTGGGACAGATTGGCGGTCCTACCACGGACGCTGGGATGTGGAATCCGTGGGAGTGGCTGCCAGCTATTGTGCAAACATCCAAGACCATCGGCAAGATCCCTCATACATTGGGTGCTGCGCCGCTCGATTGGATTCCAGTGGTATGTCTTCGCCCCCTCAAGTTACTTGCGAACAGAATACTAACAATACCATAGGACACCCTCTCAACCATAATCCAAGACCTCATTCACACCCGCCAAACCCAGGATTCAAACACCTGCGCAGTCTTCCACCTCGTTAACCCCACCCGCACAACATGGGAAGCCCTCCTCCCTTCCATCCACAAAGCCTATAGCAACACCATACAACCCGTCGACATGCAAGACTGGATCAAAGAGTTGGAGCGTATCGAGAAGCCCTCTCCTGAAGATCTCGCTACGAAACCAGCTCTCAAGTTGCTGGGCTTCTATAGAAGTCTGGTCCAGGGTGAGGGGGCGCTTTCTGTGCCGCTTAGCGTGGAGAGGACGAAGGAGTCGAGTGTGACGATGCAGGGCTTGGGGCCGATTTCGGGCGAGTTGATGGGGAATTGGTTGAGGCAGTGGAACTTTTGAGTGTATGAGGGCTAGTTGTTGATAGCACGGATATATAACTAGGGGTACCAGTGCAATGTACTTACTGCTGCTGAATTACTTCTTAAGGTCACTAAAAGAACAATGACTGTCTTAGGTGTTAAAGTCTATTCCTCGTCGGAATGCCTTGCCTAATAGAGATGGGAAGGACTTACCCTTTCAGTTTATAGTATGGTGTCGCTACTATGTTCACCGCATAACTAAGTTAACTACTCAGTCATGTTCAGGCATAATAAGGCACCGCCAAGGCACCAACATGTGATCCTCTCCGCATCTCCAACGTCAATCCCACCACCAATAAACAGCACAACCTCTATTCAACACACTCGCCATGTCGCATTTACCGCCCTCAACCTACACTCCCTCATCGTCGCCATTCATGATGAACCCAGCTCTCAACGCCGACACCCCTCCACCACCCCCTCCGAAGCCGAGCAGCCACGATGTCAGTCGAAACGGCACGCCGCAAACGAATCCCGCTCTCCCGGTTACTCCATCGCAGGCATACCAGGAAGGATATCAGAGTCAGGACAGAGTGCGGGCACAGTCTGTGAATGCTGCTCAGTCGCCGGCTCCGGGTAACCTGCCCAGACCCCCGACGGTGGAGGAGGGGTGGTTACCAGATGTTGTGCGGGATAAATCGTGAGTCCCATCACCCTGCACAGAAATATACAGACTAGCTAATTATTACTGTGTAGTACTACCGACCTACAAACAATCCTCCAAAACCCATCCCTCATCTCCGCCCTCTCCAGCAACCACCCCTCGCACACAGCGCACCAACAACACCTCGAATCCCTCCTCAAATACAACCGCGACCTCGCAACACACCTCCTAGACCTCCAGTCCCAACTATCCGACTCCCGTGCCTCAACCGAATCCCTCCTCCTAACACACCAATCCCTCGAAGTGTCCTGGCGGAAGAAACAGACCGAGATGGACGCCGCGTTGGCGCCGTGGTCGCCGCGCGCGTTGTACCAGCGGCTGTCCGCGTCGATTTCAGAGCAGGAGGCTATTTGTCAGGCTGTGGAGGAGAGTTTCCTGGAGGATGATCATCATGGGAGTGTTACGGAGAAGGGGGTTGCGGATTGGGTGAGGAGGGTTAGAGCTGAGGCGGGGAGGTTGGCGGCTAGAAGGGAGGCTAAGGCGAGGTGGGATGAGGGGAGGGTTGGGGGGTGGCGGTGATCTGGTATGTTATATTTTCAATATCCTACACGCTAAATTGACTTCTAACCAGTATGACAGTTCGATGCATATGTCCAATCGTGCCTTAAGAGGCGCCATCAAACCAATGCGAGTTGACCAGTTTCCGCACGCCCAGCGGCCCAATTGTCATTTCCGACATGGCTTGGAAATCCGATCCTTTTGAAGAACGCATTCCTGCGACTCCTGGTTCCCCATGACCAGCCTCCGCCACGCTGAATAGGCAGATTGTACAGCCGAAACGCAATCCACGCGAAGAGTATGCCAATAGAAGACCCGAACAAAAGGTCAACTCCGTGATGCTTGTGATCGGTCCAGCGAGATGCAACTATATAAAAAGCAACTGAGATTGGTATAACCGGGAAGACGAGCGTATAAATGGGCGGTGCGGCTCCTTCTTTGCGAATGGAGAGTGTTGATTCCGGGTGGGAATCGGGTTCGGGGGTGTCTGTTTGTTCTTCGTCGTGCTGCGAGTTCCGATGACTGGACGGAAAGATGGGGAGGTATGGGAAGGCGATGGAGAATTTAGAGCATATCCAGAGACTAAAATACGTCAATCCGGCAAATGACACTGTTCACATCAATATCACTCTATACGGCTTGTTCAATGAAGAAACTCACAAGACGCATGATCACTCGGAAAACTCACAAACCCCGTCTTCGTCAACCCATGCGACCTATTCCGACAAATCTTAGAAGTCACCAACACCGGAGCCCCAGGCAACTCCCGCCCCAACCCACCAACCACATACGCAGCAACATTCTCCAAATCCGGATCGCACCGCGCCAACAAATCCGGCCGCGGCTTCCCAAACAAAAGCTTCAACCCCTTCGCAGTCGCATACGCACTAGCAACCGCCAGCGCTATACCGAGCCAACCCGCGTTAATCTCCCATAATTTATACCTCCACAGGACAGAGCGCGGGGTATACTTGTGTACCGTGTGTCCCGGGATGCGGAGTATGATAACGAGCGCGATGACGAGAGCCGGGAGGATCAGAGCGAGTGCCAAGGCAAGTCCGAAGGGAACTTTTTCATGTTTTGTCTCGGGGTAGGAGATGTTCGGGTCTGTGAGGGAGAAGGGGCGGTGGATGGGGGTTTGGTTGGACCAGGTGTAACCGATTGCTGCGATTATTCTGCATTCATCTTAGCTTTGCTATATCTTTGTGTTTGGATTGATGGGACGTACACTATGACTGTCCAATCGAGGATGTATGATAGTACTAGACGATTGGGGGTTATATTGCGCATGATGGTGATTTTGGTGTGGTTAAAATCGTGGTTGGGCGATAAGCTTAAATAGCTGGAAATGCGGGGAAGCTGGATCCATGCAGCATTACATCAATGACTGGATCAGCTGAGATCTACGAGATATAGTACATAAATGTAAATGATTCTCATCTATTCGATTGATTGAGATGAAAGGAAGAGTTGATCACAATACAACGTGGAAGACTCTGTGTTCTCCCAGGCAGCCACCCAACCGGGGCCTGTCGTCGTCGTCGTCGTCGCTATCTAGAATACTCTATTCAAGTTAGCAGTCAGCATTCATTCCACCAAACAAACAAAACACTCACATCAACACAACAGACACAGATATCCCAGGCCCAACCCTACTGCCCAGCCAGTCCTTCCCGTAGAGACAGAATCCCCACAGTCCAGCATGGTCAGTCGGCCGGCGACAACTCACTGAGACTACTGGCTAGTACCCAGGATTATTGCCGGCCTCCCTCCGGGGCCAGTTTTTGCTATTCTACTAAGATAAGTGGTCGTAACTTCGTAACTTCGTCCCTGCACCCTACCCAGCCGCCAGCCAAGGTGCCTGGGAGGTCTTTGTGTGTTATGTGTGTTCAAGAACAGAACAGATGGTGAGTAGATGGCAGTAGATGATAGTAATAGATGAAAAAAGATTGTCCTAGGATGAGTAGGTAGTTGAAGGAAGAAAAAAAAGAGGAAGAAGAAATCGAGCGGCGGTATATATGGGGGTCTGGAGGCAGAAGTCAGGGCAGGCAGCCGAGCAGAACCAAGGCAATAAGGCATGAAGATGATAACGAGCAACGAAATGAAAGATGTTGTGTTGATTCATTATATGGCACTACCGGTAATACTACACTAAAATATACTTCCCAATACCTAAACAGAGGTACCCTCAAGGTCCTGGAAAAAGTCCCGACCAAATTCTCCACTGCTGTCATTAAACCGCAGCTTGCGGTCAATCTGGTGAATCTTGTTCATATCATCCTCGTCCAGTCTAAAGTCACCTTCGAAGTTGGACTTGATTCTCGAGGGCGTCTTGGACTTGGGGAGAACGGAGTAGCCTTCCGTGATAGCCCAGGCTGCACTAGTTAGCATACCTTACTCGTCAAGATTGTAGAGGTGAGATATACCTAAAGCAGCCTGCGCGGAACTCTTCCCATGCTTCTTTCCAATTTGCTCCAAAATCGGTTCATCGATCAATTTACCCAGATGTCCGGCTCTCGAGTACAGTTCGTTCTGGTTCCCGAACGGCGAGTAATGCGTGACATGGATGCCCTTGGTCTTGTGCCAGTCGGCAAAGGCACGCTGCTGTAGCCATGGGTGACCTTCGAATTGGTGCACTGCAGGCTGGATGGTGGCATTTTGGATGAGACGTTCGATTTCGGCTTTGCTGAAGTTGGAGACGCCGATGGCTTTTACTTTGCCGGTGGAGACGAGTTTTTCCATTGCTTTGTATGTCTGCCATAGTTAGCTTTGTCTTGAATCAGAGTGAATAATAAGAGGAAGGGAGCCTACGTCAAGCCAGTCAATGTTCTCGAGAATTGGCTTGCCACTCGAATCCTTGGGGAAGGGCTCTTCGCCTCGCTTCCATGCCACCGGCCAGTGGATCAGAAGCAGGTCAAGGTACTCCAGACCAAGTCTGTCGAGAGAGCCCTGCAGAGACTTGGGGACATCGTCGGGGTGGTGTGCATTGTTCCAGAGTTTTGTTGTTACGAACAGCTCATTGCGAGGGATGCCGCTGGATCGAATGGCCTTTCCGATGGGTTCTTCGGTTCCGTATCTATTTTTGTTAGTGGTCGTTTGCAACCAAGCCTTGGAAATACTCACGCCTGGGCAGTGTCAATATGTCGGTATCCTGCCTTAATGGCCTCTCTGACGGCGTTTTCCTGAGACTCTGCGTCTTGCCAGGTGCCGAATCCAATGGCCGGGATTTCAGCGCCAGTGTTGAGCTTGAATTTGGTCCGCATTCTTGTAATTGTAAGGCTTCGTTTGAATAAGGTGGAATCTGATAGTTCGTGTTTAAATCGCCTGGATATCACCGTTATATGCCAGACCTAAGTGCAACGTCAAATTGACGTTCCATGACAAAGTGGTTCTGACGTTCTCATGATGCTTATGCCCGGATCACCAGGCATACTTTAAGGCTTGCAAGCTTCGGGCTTATTCTGGTGTTAGATTGCAATTATCCGGTTTGATGGTTAAAGCTGGTCTCTTACCTGTCAAGACGTGAGAAACTCTTCTGGGAGCAGAATGCGACCGACGTCATGGCAGCTGCCCTATCGGTTGAGATATCCGACTCTATATACCCCAATTAAGCCAGGAGTCGTGCATATGCACTCAAATGGATATTCTCTAATGACTGGCTTATTAAATATTTTGATGATACTCTAGTGTGTCGCATGCGCCCATTCCCAGTCTACAATCCTGTGATATTGTAGTCGTCATCATCAACCAGGATGTGGTCTCTTTTATTATCTGCGTGCGTCAGGTAGAACCGTCCGTCGTCATGGCCGTGATATGATAATATCCTCGGAACAGAGTCCAAGAGAAAGCGATGGACTAGAAATGCATCGACTGCTTGCGCCGCATAACACTCGCCTCTCATAATTAGATCTAGCGTCAATCGAAGGCCCTCGACGAGATAATCCCCGGAAGAGGTAAAAGGTCCAATGGGTTGCACTCGAGAGTCAACATAGTCTGTCAATGATTCTCGCGCAAAGGGTCCGACATGATCGCTTCCCGATTTATCCAAAGAGCCCATCAAATCGAATGGAAAAGCCTGTAATTCAGTGTATATGCCTGCTAGCTGGCTCATGACTTTCTTCCTCTTCTTAGAAGAAGTAAGTGACCAACGCAGCGACTTCCCAGCCATTTTCTCCATGAGGATATATCCGACACCAATAGGGTTTCCCCCTTCGGAGTTGTAATCAAATATCCTCGGGGCAGGGACTTTGGTCTTGCTTAGAAACTGAAGAGTAGCGACTTCGCTGCGCATGATATACCCTTGTAGATCCGGGGGTGGAGAGGTAGCATTCGATCTCCGAATTCGCGCGCCAACCAGCTTATCCCATCGTCTCAATGTGATTGCTCATGTCCCCCATTACCGAGAAACGCGATAACTGATCATACTGAAGGGGTTTCGGTATAGAACAAGGAACGCCATTGCGCAGGTAGCTAGCTCGAGAGAGAAGCGCGGAGATGTTGATTTTGTTCAGAAGGTTGCTAATTTCCTTTCTTTCTGCTTCCTAAGCAGCAGGGTCGTATAATTTGTCATCTTATCAATAAGGAATCATTAGCATTGTCAGAACCACGGTCTGATACCAGCTTACCTCCCACTTGGGGCATGTATTATACTCGGGGCCGAGATGCTGAGCGCAGAGATGACGATCGCAGAGGATACATTCGCCATAGGTGCGCACAGAAGGTTTGCTACAGTTCTTGAAACCACGAGTCCACATTGCCATCTTTGCAATTGTTGTTGTTCTCACTCGAGCGTAATACAAAGCGCGTTGTATAGACACTTCCTAATGCGGTTAGACCCACTGCACTAGTGGTTGCTGTAGTTTACCGAGCATAAGCGGGTGGTTTAAAAGCGGCTCGGTAGCGCACAGAAATTTTTTTCAACTCTCCAACGCTTCAACCTCGTTGACAGGCACAATGACTGCCATTACATTTCGATACTAACAACACAGTCTACTTGACTGAGCAGAGTAGAATGTGAGTTACTATCAACAATCCTCTGCACTCTGCAATTTCAGGATGAATTTCCTTAACAGGAGTATCCATCACCGAAAATTCATGACGGACTCTCTATAAGTCTCTAGAATTACTCTGACTTGCTTCGTCTGTTATCTGCTTGCTGCAGCTTGTCGTGTACATGTTGCTAACTATTGTCCAGTGTATATAGGTTCAACTATGATCGATTCGCACTGCTCGGTACATTATAGCAAAAGGTATGCATACATTTTTTTTTAACACTGCACAACACCACCCCTTCTATGATGATCCTCAAGACACGCAATAGGCATTCCTCAATCTTAAGACCCATGTGGAATCTGTCATTTACTCAAGTTTCAGCCTTGTCTGATTTTATACTATTCATTTACGCTTGTCAACACATTTTATTGTGATGCCAGTCACTAACATGCCGTTGAATAGGTAAATAAACCAATTCAATCACCTACCACCTCCCTTCTATGAGGATACTTTGAACGAACGGGCGGACATAATGCGTACATTTCCCGGCATCCATTCCAAGCAGAGCGTACAAACTTTGCGGGTGTTCGGGGATGTATTGCTTGTTGAGAACTCGTCACCTGAGTTGCTGCCTTCAACGTTGCTCGTATCATGGACTTGGTTGATCCTAATTAACGTGTCCATAGGTATTTTATATTTCCAATCTCTCTTGTTTATGCCCTCTGCATGTCAACATCAAATGATGAACACGTTATTCACACTGTTTGATCCGGTAAACCCGGAAATGAACATTTAAACAAAAATTCTGATTTAATGAGGTGAGTTCGATCTTTTTGGTTCCTGGCTGAATCTATGCTAACTGTCGAAGCCTGACTTAGTTGACAACATCTTTGTTGTTTCGAATCACTCATGTTTCACGACTTGATACTGATTCGTTCTTGAATAGGATCGATCCCACTGTAGTAAAGGATTGATTACCTTGATGACTGAGTGTAAGTACTTGCTGACGCTCCTTCCTCCCTCCCGTCACCTGATGAATTCTTTAATCGCTGTGTTCTTTCTGAACATCATTGAAGAAACAAACAAGATTCACCTTGGAGAACTGAACTTTGCCGCTCTTACTATTTTGTATCGCCATCGCTGGATGAACCTGGCTAACGTTACATCAGACAGGTCGTCGAAGCATATCCTTCTAGATAGTCATGAATGAATGTTTAATATTTCTTCAAATTTTCTGTGCATCGTAGACCTATTCGTAAAACAGTCCGTTCTTCTTATGCCATCCCTCCAAACTATCCTTTCCAAACGTCTCGTGCGTACTCTTCGCTCCCTCCGGCCACCGTACCCACTCCGGCTTCGAGTTGCCCATAACACAAACCATCTCCTTGGGAACCGGTAAATCCGTATCAATCGCGGACGCGAACGGATGAATCAACTCGGGATAGTGATGATCCCACAACCATAGCATGGTACTGCAGTTCGAGCAGAAGTTGCGCTCGGATGAGCAGCGTTGTTCGTTGGATGTGTCGCGTGCTTTGATCGCTGAGTATGTCCTACTTTCGTCAGCCCGTTACCTTCCTATATATATATATAGTTCCGAGCGAGGTGAAGCATACTTAATCAACTCCTCCCCCTTGGAAACTCCCAGGCTATCTGCAATCCCACCCAAATTCACACTCCCGCCATATCCGCCAACTTTCCGACAAATGCCACATGCACAGAGCTGGTAAGGGACCGGCGTTTGGGAGTCGAGGGCGAACTGTACGTCGCCGCATTGGCAGCTTCCTTCTAGGTGCCTGGTTGATGTGGTTGGTTAGTTGGTGAGGACCTTTGGGGAATCGGAGGATTGATTGATTTACATTGGCATTTTGTCGATCGATTGGGTTTGTATATTCTTGTACGTGATTTCTTGGAACGAAGGTGTGATTGTTTGAAGAAAGAGAGGGATACTTGAGATACCAGGAGAGGTTAGACGTCATCGATATATAAGTCCGGTTTGAGGGGGTATTTAGGTACAAAGTACGCCGGGTATGCTATTTACGTTCTTTACGAAGACTGTTATACTACATGACTTCCCATTGACTTCATCAACTCACCAATGAAACGATTGCAGCAAAACAGTTCAATGATGGTGGTGTAGACATGTCTGAACAACGGAATAGGCGCACAAGCAAATCTATAGCCATATCGTGTAGACCAATCAACTCACAAGCCCGAAGACTTGCTAGCTTTGCAAATGTATTGCATGAGAATTGCTGTCTTCTAGGATTTCCGGTTAGAAACAACAATATGATACAGCAATTGACATGCATTGAGCTTTATCAATGGCAGTTGGTACTGTTTGTTCTGTTTGCTGTGTTTGTCTCCTCGCCGGCCGCGACTTTTCGGGATTCGCTCATTGAAGCAAATCATTCGATTTCTTGACTTAATTGTCTTGTGAGAGATATAATTTGACAAGATGGGTTTCGGAAGTCCAGGTACCGGCGCGACAAATTACAAGCCTTCTCCGTGAGTGTCTCAACTCCCCATAACCCATGACCCATGCCTCAACCGTTAAGACAAGACTAACATATCAAAATACCAGACCCGAGCGTGGAAGCTTTCCTCTTGACCATGAAGGTGCGACCCTATGCATTGACCCGTCCATATTCCCATGATATCCGAACCACCACCGACCAGACCAGCGAACTAACCGGTCTCTGATCACAGGCGAATGTAAACACCTTATCCGGAACTACCTGAAATGCCTAAAGACTAGAGGCGGCGTCAACGACCAGGACTGTCGATTGATGGCCAAGGATTACCTGGGATGTCGGATGGAAAAGTGCGTTGCGTTAGACTCGTGGATCGGCTGATCGCCGTTCATCTTGCGCATGAATTCGAGGAAATTGGCTGACTGTTTCCTCTCTTGATTGGCAGGAACCTTATGGCGCCGGATGATTTTAAGAACCTTGGGCTTATTTTCGAGAAGCAGGAGAGTCAGGGGGGGGATAATGCGGGGACTGGGTCTGAGAATGGGGGGTCGAAGGCTTGATGGGAAGAGGGAGGACAAATTGGTATGGCATTTCAAGAAGAGATTCCTTATGGGGTTCTTTCTTGGAATTGACGATATGTATATGCACTCAATTCTATGGCGTTGGTTGGGTTACTCTGCTCATGTATATATATGGCCGGACTGTACAATTCGCAAATTCATGTGTTATGATATATATTACCATCCTGACTGTACAAAAAACAAGACAATGAATACCAATTTATCCTACATATTACGATCATACTAAATGCTGCCGTTTGCGAAAAAAAGTGACTGCATCATCCATGCGGGGAAATTTCCTATCGCGATAAAGTCGCGCCCGCTCCAATTGTCACCCAACCTCACCTAACCCAGCCAGCGCAACCACTCCCAACGAGCAACAATGTCCTCAATCGTCCGACCCCCCGACCCCTGCCTGGTAGCAATAATTCTAATCGTCCGCTCCCGCGCCGGCCCACGCTTCGTCTTCCACTACCCACCCAACCCCCTCAGCGAGAACGGCCTCCGACCCGCCAGCAAAAGCCGCCGCGCATCCCGCTCAAAAAGCACACAGGGAAATAAAAGCAATGACTCGAGTTCTAGCGACGAAAGCAACTCAACGACCGACGACGAGGAGGAGGAGAATCAGAGCCATCTGGCGGGGAGCGGGATGTCAACGACGCGACGGATGAGTAATTTTGGCGTTGAGGATCGGCATCATCATAGTCATCCGCTTTCTGCGTCGCCGATGACTAGTACGAGTGTTGGTGCTGGTGGTGCTGGGGGAGGGGAAGCGTCGCAGTCGCAGTCGCAGCGGCCGGGTTCGTTGGGGTCGGGACGGGCGTTGTTTCGCAAGCGCGGGCCGAATTCTGATGTGGAGGATGATACGGGTGCAGGAGCGGAGAGACAGGAGGATCCATCGCCTACAAGCGGACCGTTTATACCCCCGTGGGAAACGCTACTGGGTTTACCGTCTGATGTATGGGAGAAGCTGTTGAGTCCGTCGCGCAGCTGGCATAAGCGGCGGTTTGAGGTTGGGATAAACGATCTGGCGTTTGTTGGGTGGCCTGTATTTGTGCGCGAAGACGGGACATGGCAGAAACAGCGACGGAAGAAGAAGAGCAAGCGTCGGTCAGAAGCGTATGCGAGAGAGGGAGAGAGTCACGATGAGAGCGCTGACGATCGCGCTGGGTGCGAGGAGGGCATTGAGGCGATGGCTGATTCTACGGATACGTTGATTAGTCCCAGGGCTATTGGTTCGCCGGAGCTGAAGCGGACGTCTAGGACGAGTAGTAAGGCACCAATGACTTCCTGTTCAGTGGATGGAGATGATAAGGATTCCATGACTATGTTCAATGTGGTGTTTGTGCTTGATCCGCCATTGCTGGAGTATTCGATTCGACTGCGGGAGGTATACGATAATATCATCAAGAAGTTTGCCAAAGCTCTGAAATGGGAGCAAGCGCGTACAGACTACGTTTGGAAGGAGGCGCAGAACATTTCGCATTTCAAGGAAAAGGCAAAGGAGAAGAGTGAGTCTGATTCAACCATGATCCATGGTTCTATACTGATGAGTCTAGGATCTTCTGTCACTGGTCTTTACACCGAGCTCATATCGCATTCACCCCTAGCCCGAGCTATCTACACGCTTTACACCAGCATTTCTGCCTCTAAGATTGCTTCTCTTTCCCTTAGCCCCGATGTATCGATTTCACTTCAGATACCCCCTCTCACTTCGTCGCATTACTTACCCGGCCCAACCGACAAGGCATATCCAGGCCTGTGGCTTACAACCGCAGATAGTGTGACCCCGGTAGACGACGACCCGACAGCCGATGAGAACACCGCGCCGCATCAAGTACTCGCAAAGCATTTCGCTCTGTTGTTGCTCGATAACGAGGCGTCGATAATCAAAGACGTCGAAGCATCTGCGAGTGCGCTAGCTCCCGCCCTTGTGCACTATATTCGATGCTCTAAGTCGACTCAGTCTTTTGCTCACATCTCTACCGCCTCGGGAATTCCACTGTCAACAATCCAGATGTTGGCGAGCCACCTTGTCTACTGGCGACGTGCACGCGCAATTCCTCCGCTTCACCAACGGGACACATATATCGTGTCCCCGAACTGCGATCTGAGCAAGCTTGACATCGCTACTGCTGCTTTCCACCAAGCCTTTCCAACATGTCCAAGTTTGCCAAAGATGCTGTCGGCTTTGAGCGGTACGCCCAGACCGTACGGGAGCTTCATCCCAAGTAAAGACCACAAGGACACGTATTTCAATATCTTGGCTTGGCTGTTACGTGGAGGATGGGTCACGCAACTCCGCTCGTTCGGTAGAATCAAGGTGTCCCCAGAGATTAAAATGGCCGTGGAGAGGGCCATTCGAAAAAAGCAAATGGATAAGTTCTTGGCCGAAACCGGGCCAAATTCAGTGTCTGAAGTCATTCCTACCGAGAATGAACGGAATGAGCATGTCGACGACGATTCCAGCTCCTCTTCATCTTCCTCTCTCGGTAGCCAAGGGAGCGGAGATGAAACACCCATGCCTGGTCGGTATCACGATCCGATGGCCAACGAAATGTATCTTTCGCACTCACTCATGGACCACAACATGCCTTTGAGAACGGCGTCTCTTATTCTCTCGCCTCATCGGGCGTCGCCGCTCGAATCCAGATGGCTGGAAGAGCTTGTCTCCCAGTTTCCGGACAATGGAGAGCTGAGTGTGGCCGCTTCTCACGGTAGCAGAGATTATGCGGGATCTCAGATCTCACTGCAAAAGTTGTGGCCGCTTCTCATCAAATACTTCAACGGATATGATGCATTCGAGAAGATCCCGATACGGGAAGGGCTGAAGCGAAAGCCGACCTGGCAGGTTCTCACACGTTTAGGACTGGGAACAGGGCAATCGCATGTGGAATTAGATCCACGGGAGCAGGTATTGGTCACTGTACGGCATTGGTAGCTATTCCCATACTCCTGCAATTCTCCTGTAATTACCCCAGAGATACCACCAAAAAAGGATAACGCACGTGACACTCGGAAATATAATCACAGACATTAGCACACCGAACCTCCGATGACTCCCGACCTACCATTCAAAGTTTAGTTTCTTCTACGCCCGCGTCGCCCGGGGATTCTCCGTTCTTCAGCGGCGTCAGCCCTAATAAGGTAAAACCCGGACCACGAACTAGACAAATAAACCACGCGGTTTAAGCGATTATTCCAGCCCCATTTAATTCATACAGTAGCGCCCGGACCACGGATAACGGCTGACAGGGTCACGTGATGCCATGTTGGACAAGGGTGCGGTGCATTCCTGGTATTACATAGGTACAGATACGGTAATCTAGATGGTAACTGCTGGCTTCTCGTTGGCTGAGCGCACGCAGGTACATGCTTGTACATGGCCATGTACAAGCATGGCCATGCCTGTACAGTGCCCAATGCAGTTCCTGGCTGCTGATGTGGCAAGCTAGGTTGTCTGAGATAAGAATATTTCTATTTTGAAACGCACATACCTTGGTTAACTAGCTTGACTCGACTTGACTCGGTGGTTTGTTGTTTTCCGAGACAATGAAGGACCGGCACGTGAAGGGATGTCGGTAACATTGTATTTGATCTACTATGCACAGACAGGTCTAAAATAGAAGCCAGGTATGTACATAGCGCTCTCGCATAGTGACGAGTACAAGATATATATACCGAAGCGGTCTGCCTTGCTTTTGGTTCTGATCAATACTATGTAGAGGACTGGATTGTATCTATGGAGTATCGGTATTACCGGTATTGGCATTACTGACGTACGTGCGCCTATGCTCTTGACAGCCGGTCCGTGGACTCCGAATTGGAGAGGATAATTGAAAAATATCGATTTATTACATAAAAGAACCTACGGGATTTGGTTCAGGCCTACAATTATACATAGCACTGTGCTATATGGTAGGTATACATCGGACCTGGAATGTACGCGTGGTAATAGCACTTCCACCCAAATGGCCGGCACGCCCCTCATTGTTTGTAGTCTGCATGTTACAGTATATGAGAGATTAAAGTGACGACAGGAGAGTCCGGGATAGGACTGCATGGGGTACTTTGTTAGACAATGCAATTGCGGCAATAATTGGTACGGTAATAATTCCAGGAACATTTCTTTTTCTCCCTAACTTCTACAAGTACTCTGTACAATGAATTCAATTGTACTCCGTACTACTACTACTACTACTACTACTACTACTACTGCTATGTAGAGAAGAGGGGCATGCATAGCCCCTCCAGTACTCTGTACTCCAGTCTCCATCCTTCCATGCGGATAGAAGGATACAAGACCCTAACCGGAAACATCCGCCGGCCGAAGATTGTGCGTGTTTGGCTGTAATGAAAATGCTCCTGTTTCCCGTGTGTACCTAATACCACTCATCTGACTGTATAACCACGCACCCACAATACACACAGAGGGACTTTTCACTTTTGTACTTTGCCTACTTCATTTCCTACTCTGCACTGTTTTCTTTTTCTTTTCTTTTCTGCATCTTTCCTCCCTTTTATTCTCTTCTCTCGCCTATTGGCGTCTGTGTCGCCTGGAGTTCTGCCTGTCGGTGCTTCATTCCTCCATCTTCCGATCTCTCCTCTCGTCCTTCGCGGGATTTTTTTTTTCTTGATCGGTCGATCTTCTATACACTTGCTCTGTTTTTTCGCTTTTCTCTCTTTCTTTGTTTCTACGTGAGGTCAGTTACTAGTTATTCTGGTTACTATTGACATCGCATTTCTGACTTCTCGTTGGACGTTCCAGAAAAAAGGAAAAGAAAAGGCCCATAAAAAAGTGTTCACCCACACCCACACACACCCACAAAAAAATTATCGTTAACTCAAGGTCCAACTTCCACATTCACCCACCAACCCCTCGTTCGTATCCGTCGTCTGTCGTCAAGGGGTTTAGTTCCAGTTGACCTCAAGGTACCTGTTGGATTCTCTCGGAAAAAAAGAAACGAAAGGCCTCAGCGTGCTCTCTCGTCCTTTCGATCCCTATCCAACAACCACTCGTCGATACGTCCTCTCGGATCTACCGAACGTCTCTCGAACGAGCTCATTGTCGTGTGCGCGCGTCAGTTTTGTCAACCAGTGGGCAGGAACTACGACCCGGATAACCGCGAGTTCGTTGTACGAAGTCCCTTGTGTGTTTACCCAGACTGCGCTTTCCGTCGTCTTGCCCATCCCTCGCACGTCCAAGACTACGATCGATTCAAGCGCTTAGACCGATGCGATCCGCGTGCTAGATACGCCCTTCGTACCGAGATTTAGCTACTCATCGTTCACGGACAACTCGCGTGCTATCCAGCCTCGACCTGGTAAAGGATCACATACTTTTGTCTACAGTGCAACTGAGTGGGAGTGTTTCTCCATTACCACGGGAAGTTGCAGTTGGTGGGGTTATAAGTAGGAGGAAGCTGATTCTTGTCTGACTTCTACTGCTGTTGGTGAAATCTCGCCGCCCTTTTTTTTTCCATTTATTTCTGGATTGCCAAGGGAAAACCCTCGTTCTCTGGCAGAACAGTTTCTCTTGTTCTTATCTAGAACGGATATATTTTGATTATCATTCGCCAACACTACAGAAAGTGAAAAATGGCCGCCACATTTTCCTACGCCCAAGCAGCAAAAGGGTTGCCGGCAACACAATCGCCCGCTTCGAAACCCGAGGAGCAAAATACCGATTCCAACGTGCAAGCGAACGAGGTCCCTGAGATTACCGAAACGGATGCTCTTGCTGAGGAAGAGAAGACCATCGCCCCTAGTGACAAGGAAGCGGAACCCGTTGCGGCCGCCCAACAGGACATCTCCGGGACATCTTCTCCCAGTGTTGCCAACTCGTCCACCACCGCACCAAAGGACGAAGACTCGAATACAATGAACGGATCCTCGGAGTCGACATGGGACAAGCAGTCCCAGGCATCGGGACCCGAGAAGCCCACAGAAGAGGCCAATGAGAAGTCTGATGAGAAGAAGGATGTCCCACCACCAAAGGAGCTCAAGGCAGCCCCTCTGCCTGTTGTCAACGTCTGGCAGCAAAGGAAGGAAGCACAGGACGCTAGGGTCAAGGCCGTCGCGGCTTCGAAACCTGCTTCTACCAAGACTGGAGCCTCCAAGAATGCATCAGCGGCGTCTTCGACAACAGGGGAACCCCAGCAGGAATTGCCCAAGGTGGCATTGAAGAAGAAGGGAGCAGATGGTGCGCCTGAGGGTGTTAAGCGGAATAAGGCCGACGGAGCCAAGGGCCGCGATGAGGGTAAGTTTGAAGAGTCGCGTTGATTTTTGCTGCAGATCCCTTTCGGAGCATCCGTCGCAACGCTATTTTCTTTTCTTTTCTTTTCTTTTTTTTTTTCGCTTCGGGACTACTATTTCCTTGACACCAGTGAACTGACAGGTTCTACAGATGTACACCCAGTGGCCGATGCTTCCATGTGGCCTACCCCCCAGGTTGCCCAGGGTGAGGAGAAGAAGAAGGCTCAGGAAAAACTCGAAAAGACCGATAAGACTGAGAAGACCGAAAAGAACGCTGGTGCCCGTCATGGCAAGGAGAAGTGGATGCCCGTTCCCTATGTGCCCAGCGCAGTCTTCAACACCCCGCTTCCGACCGCTGGTGCTCGCAGAGGTGGCCGTGTCGCACGAGGTGGAAGGGAGGCTGGTCGCCACGGTCCCCACGGCGCCGCTGCCGCTGCCGCTGCTGCCGAGAAGACCGCTTCGAACCAAGCCCCCCAAAGTGCTGCCAAGCAGATGGCTTCCGAGCCGAACACTGGCCGTGCCAACTCTTTCCCTTCGAAACGATCCAACAGTGCGGAGGCTCCTGCCGGTGCCCCCGACTCGCGCAAGGGCACTGACCGGAGCCGTGGTCCCAAGGGAGCGGACGACACAAACGCTGGCAAGCAGGCCAACGGAGACTCATTCCCTCGTCATGCCAAGGGCTTCTCGAGGAATCACGAGTCTGCCCACAGGGGCGACAGGACTCCTCTGTCCGTTGATCCTCAGGCCCGCAATGGTGTGACCCAGGACCGCCGTTTCGAGAATGGACCCAAGTCTGCTGACTTTGGCGGTTTCCACGCCGATCGCGAGAACCACCACAACCACCACCACCGGGAGCGTGGTGATTCTCGTCCCGAGCGCGGACGGGGTGGTTCTCACCGGGGCCGCGGTGGCCATTCGGGACATGGCTCGCAAGCCCCCTTCTACAACCCCATGCAGCACTCCTTCGTCCACCCCAAGTCGTTTGGTTACAACAAGAGCATGAACAACCGCGTTCCTTTGCGGTCTCCCTCGCTGCCTAACTCGGCCATGTATGGTGTCTACCCCTTCCCTGCCGACATCAACACCATGTATGCTGCCTATCAGCCTATGCCCGCCGGCCCCATGACGGCGTTCCCTTACCAGCCTTACATGGAGCCTTACTCTCTTATGAGCATGATTTCGATGCAACTGTATGTTTTCTTCGTCTTTACCAAATTGACATGGTTCTAACAAAATGATAGTGAATACTACTTCTCCGTTGACAACCTGTGCAAGGACTTGTTCCTCCGGAAGCACATGGACTCGCAGGGATTCGTCGCATTGAACTTCATTGCCAACTTCAAGCGGATCAAGACTCTGACTGAGGACTACGAACTCCTCCGTCATGTTTCGCGTCAACTCCGGACTGTCGAGCATTACGTCGGCGAAGACGGTGTCGACCGTTTGCGCTCAAGAGAGCAGTGGGGACAGTGGGTCTTCCCTATCGACCAGCGTGACCCCTCTGCTCAGAGCGAAGGCCCCCCTCCGTCGCGGATCGAGAGCTCGCCGGCCCAGAATCATGTCGAGGGAGCTGTTAACGGTGTGAGCCACCATCACTCGCTGCCAAACGGCACTTCTGTTTCGAAGACGTCTTTGTCCTCGACAGCCCCAGAGTTCTCGCCGTCCAAGCCTCTGACTCCCCAGAATGAGGTCGCAAATGTATGTCCTATTATCTCAGATATTCTGGAAGACCGGGGATTTCCTGATCTCCTTCCATCTTGTTTTGTAACCATTTGCTAACGGTTCGCAAGCAGGCAAACTAAACATAGAAGCGGCTTCATTCTTCTCTTCGCCTGGGATGTCGGCGGTCGGTGGCCTTTCACAACCGATTGACAGTCTGCAACAGTTGTCCGCCGATTTTCTGACGAAGAAGCGAGTTTACCCTATGAATTTCGTTTGAATCTTTTTCACGAATCATATGCTTTTCGAAAAACGAGTTCCTGAGAAACGATTCTTTTCACTGCGATCCGACACGTTCTGTATCAATTCTGATCGCGATTTTTGGTTCAAAAATTTCAACGCACAAATGTACAATGAGTTTAGGAGTTTAGCGTTTGACGATTACTTGTACGACGCTCCAGCAACGGGTTCAACAGGCTGATTTGTTTTATGGTACTTCTTTTGCGACGAGGCTGTGCGACGATATTGTTCTGGATCTTGGCCTGAAAGAATCCATGCAGGGTGACCGGATGGTTCTGCTTTACGTTCAACCTACCAAAGCGGATTTCCTACGCAAAGAAGCCGCAAAAGATCGACTGTGTGCTCGATGCTAGCCTGAGAGCCGAGCTGGAAAAGTGATTTTTGTTTTGCTGACTTTTTTCTTTTACCCTATTTTCTCTTCTCTTCTCTACCATTTTATTCTCATTATTTGCTCTCGCCTTTTTGTGCGATTTTATGACTTTGCATCATGTTTGAGTCTCCGTTTTCTTTTTGCATTTATCTTCCCTCAAGTGGTCGAGATACAATTGTCGCCGTATAGCAAGCTGCGATATGATGCGCACTCTACGTCTCGACTGCCTCTTATTTTTTTTTTTTTTTTCTATTTTGTTTCTTGTTTAGTTATGGGGGGGGGGTTTCTAAAAATTCGTTTCCGGAGTCCGGGCATGCTCTGCTGGCAAAGTCTTCAAGTCCGATGCCTGCTTCAACGGTATGCCGGACCCCAAAATTGTTCTTTTTTTCTTTCTACGACCATAGAGATCCGGATTTTCGTTTTGCTTAATATTCTGCGGCCACGTCTACTTCTTTTTCTTTCTTTTTCTTTTCTTTTCTTTTTTTAACTACATTTTGATATTAGTACGAGCATGAAAGGAAAAAGAAAAAAAAAAAAACCTTGAAAACACGATTTGTTTCTCCCTTCGTCAGGTGCCCTGACTCTGTCGACGTGACAATAGGGACTGCTTTCTACGAGAGAGCCGCGTCCACTCACATCTTCTAGTCTCTACGTCTACGACTTGCAGCGTTGATGATATTGCTTTGATGCGCCTCGAGCCGGGCTACCTTTGTTCTCTTCTATTTCTTTTAATCTTCTTCAACTTGCATAGTACGGGTATCGGTTTGCTTCGTCCGATTTGAAGAGTAACGCGGCATGCATTCCCTGGGGGAATTACTTGTTTACGAGATTGTTAGTAGCGTGGGATACGGTTGGGATACGGTTCATTGGCTTGTTTAGATTTCTTTTGGCAGTCTGAATACATAGTTCTGCATGCTTCTTTCTATCGTAATAGTAAATCTGCCATAGAACGAGGCTCGGAGAAATGTTATGCCCGGATATTAATGCCTCAGGCAACAAACGCATCTCGGCCAACCAGAGCATGCCGGTGAATGACATCGGACAGCTTCGCTTCCCCAACCGCTGAAGCTATTCCTCTCGTTTTCTCTCACCACCGCAACCGCCTCTCTGTCCCTAACCTGCCCCTCTGTCACAATGGAGGTGGCCCTCAGACAGCCCGCACGGCTGCTCCAAACCCCCTCAAACCGTCTCCTCCGTCAACCCCAGAGCCTCCGCCTTTACACCACCCTCAACCGCACCCCACGACCACGCCATGTTTCTACGACCCCACGAAGAACCGCCCCAGACTCCCTCTTCAGTCTAGGATCTGGTTCAGGCGGCCACGGCGGCATTCCGACCACCTACTTCGCCAACCGCAACTCTCTCCCCGCCAACACGGTCATCCGCTTCGTGCCCCAGCAGACAGCATGGATTGTCGAGCGGATGGGAAAGTTCCATCGGATTCTGGAGCCTGGGTTGGCGGTGCTTATTCCGTTCTTGGACCGCATTTCGTATGTCAAGAGTCTGAAGGAGTCGGCGATTGAGATTCCGAGTCAGAATGCTATTACCGCGGATAATGTGACGTTGGAGTTGGATGGCGTGTTGTATACCAGGGTTTTTGATGCTTTCAAGGCTAGGTATGCTTCTTTACCAGTTTGCATTGGTAGAGGGGTTGGCTAATACGGTTGGTTCTAGTTACGGCGTCGAGGATGCGGAATACGCTATTACCCAGCTTGCACAGACGACGATGCGTTCCGAGATCGGTCAACTCACTCTCGACCACGTCTTGAAGGAGCGAACAACACTCAATGCCAATATTACTCAGGCCATTAATGAGGCTGCCAAGGAGTGGGGCGTTGTGTGCTTGCGTTATGAGATTCGGGATATCCACGCCCCCGAAGGAGTGGTCTCCGCCATGCACCGCCAGGTCACAGCCGAGCGTTCGAAGCGTGCAGAGATTCTCGACTCGGAAGGTCAACGCCAGAGCGCCATCAACATCGCAGAAGGCCACAAGCAGTCCATCATTCTCGAATCCGAGGCGAAGCGCGCAGAGAATATCAACCATGCTGCTGGTGAGTCTGAGGCGATTATGCTGAGAGCACAGGCTACCGCTCGCGGAATCGAGGCCGTTGCCAAGTCGATTGAGCAGGGCAAGGAGAATGCTCACGGAGCGGTCAGTCTTAGCGTTGCTGAGAAGTATGTTGACGCATTCTCGAAGCTGGCTCGTGAGGGTACGGCGGTCGTCGTGCCGGGGAATGTCGGTGACCTTGGTGGTATGATTGCCAACGCCATGGCGGTGTATGGTAAGGTCAACGAGGGCCAGGCCAAGTCAATTGCTGCAAAGGCCATTGGCGTGCAGGAGCAGACGTCGAATGAAGCCCTTCGCCAGAACTCGGAACAGGACACTGCCGATGTTCAACAAGATGATTCGTCGAAACAATGAAAGATATGAACCTAGGAGAGTATACTCTGGGGAATGACTTTTTACCTTTTACTTCTTTCGTGTTGCTTATATCCCAACTTTACGACATTGTTTTTATTGTTTTACGGCTCTAAAATAGCGTTTTCACACTGTACTCTTACGATTGATTCGCTTCATGCTATTTTAGAAGGGCGAAGAGCATCTCATCTCTATTTGCTTAGGTTGCTAGCATGATGTACATATGTACAATTTGAATGGGGAACTATATTGTTCTAGCATGTCTTGGCTCGTAGCCATATCAATAAAACATTCGTTAAGATAACTAAATACACAATTGATTTCGCTAAAATACAAGTTACGCAGTATTAGCAGCACATGAAAAACTAGCACTACTCGAATCATCATGAATCGCCTTGCCAGAAGAATACAAACCAAGACCGCACTGAACTCGTTAGCCATAGTACCTTGCAGAAGTAGAAGGGGAACATACCATAACAACACCAATACAAATACAAAGCGCATTAACCACCGTCAAAAGCATCTTCCTGGGTGAAGCAAACCACAGCCCCTTATTCATATACAACCAGAACATACCCGGGAGACCGAAACTGAACCAGCTGGCGAAGAGTGCCGTCTTTTGCGATCACAGTCAGCTACAGCTAGATATGGACAATTACTTGAAGGATTGGTAGGTAGGGCATACCATGAGACTGAGAAGATTGCTAAACACCGGAATCGCCTCTGCGATAATCCACGCGATTACCCAGAGAGCCACGGCGATCCCGATCCACGATCCAACGGCCGTGAAATCCCGCTTGTGCATTCGGTCTGTGCCTGCGAAGACGCGCGTGTAGATTAATTTGCAGGCGATGTGGCCGCTTATGACGCCGGCAATAATAATCTAATGAGCGTCAGTCACTGGTAAATACGTCTGTAGAGATTAGGGGCCGTACAGTTGGTAATGCAAGGCCATACGCAATCTTCGAAATCAGTGGACTTGCTGAACCGAGTGCCGGAGAAGCAACGCTATCACCGGCATAGCAGTATATAACCACCGCTGCGACGAGGTACAGGGTGATGTCAATGCATTGCAGCAAGGTAAGCGCTTTAGGGAAGTCTCTGGGGTCCTTGAGTTCGGCGATCACGTTGAAGAAGATGTTGTGGCTTGCTGTTAGGTGTTAGAATTTGTATATATTGAAAGGGTGAAGAGGGTGTAAAGGAGGGGGGGGGGGGGAGGACGGACCGTAGGATAAAGTGATGTTGAGGGCTGAAGTAAAGCCGGTGACGAGATTTGTTGGCACGGTTGCTTTGATAGATGGCATTGGGTTTTCGATGGCGATTGCAATCATTGTGAGGAGGACGGCTGTGAAGATGCTAATGAATGCTGTATCCCATTAGTTATCAGTCTGTATAGCAAAGCACCCTACAGGGAGACGACTCACAAGCCAACGAAAGCCACGACATATTCTTCAACGTCCTAGGCAACGACAACCCCAAAGACAGCACTAACCCCACAACCCCAAACACAATCGAACAAGTCCCATGCACCGTAATCATATTCATAGCCACCGTAAATGTCAACAAATGACTCGCCATCACGAAAATAAGACATAATATTTGTCCCCCGAAGAGTGTCTCTTTACCGAATCTCCCCATGAGAATCTCGCCTGCGTCGGCCATGCTGGATATATGCGGGTATCGCCATTTCAGTTGTCCAATCACGTAGCCGGTGTATGAAGCTACTAGACCTAGAGATATGAGGATGATGATTGCTGGGGCCAGGCCGAGGCCTGCGACGGCGGCGGGGAGGGAGAGAATTCCGAGGGAGATTGTTTCGGCGACCATTAGGAGGCCGCATTGCCTGCACAAAAACATACATTAGCATCATGGAGCGTGTCTGGGGAATAGATGAAAGGAGACGCACCACCACTTCAAAGTCTTATACTTGACCTCTGCGTGCTCTTCATCACCAAAAACATCTTGGCGGTAGGGTACGGTTTCGGCTTTCTGGATATCGTCGGGGAGAGTTGGATCCTCTATCTTCTGTTTCTCTTCCTGGCCGGTTTCCAGGGTTGTAGGGTGTATATCGGATTGATTCATTGTAGATTGTGTCCAATCGATTCAAAAAGAGACTTGGACTAAAACACAGAAAAGAAAGGAGATGAAGGAGAGGGGCATGCATAACTGTGCAACATCCCGTAGCTCGTGAGAGGAAGAAAGGAGGAGGGACCAGGATAGGGTAAATCATCGTTTCGTATCTTTACACTGCAGATATATTCCGGAGGAGATATCTTGATATCGCGCGACTGGGGTCGTCAAGATACCCCAGATAAGCATAACTGATGGCCATCGGGATCGCATACTGGCTTGATCAGGTATATTGAGGGAATTGTAGTGATATACTCCACGCTTTACCCTAGATTCCGTACCCCAGACGGCTCTCGGCTCTCCAGACTGGATAATTTCCGGGGTTGACGGACAGCATGCTAACTTTGTGATTCAATGACAGAAAGCTATCACATATGGATCGTTCATGGGATACTTGAGAGGGAAGGAGATGAAAGGGGACTAGCCCTATACTGGAATGGCTTTCCTAGTATAAAATTGAGGCTTCCGAGATAGCATATTGATGGTCGGAATTGACTTCCTAGTGTCTTAGCGTATAATTCGGGATTACCTACTTTCTGTGGTTACGAAATCGACGATTGTTTTTATCGGCACATAGGCCTTGGGACACAATGGTACATTAGATAAAACAATCTAGATCAACAGCTTGGGATCCAGAGGGAAGCTTAGAAGAAGGATCTGTCCCGTATAGCAGCCAATAACGAGATTGCAGCCACCGACTTCGTATTCATATGGCTGATACGTGACTGGAAGCCATAATTACCTTCTTCCCGTCATAAAGAATCCATTGACGGTCGTATTGAATATTTGGCGAGTAACGGAGCACCGGCGGACCTGTGTTGTAATGCTCATTGAAATGATTGAGCTGAGCCGAGCCCGCACCATAAGAGCTCAACTTTACTCCAGTCCTCCAGTCCCAGAGACAGATCATACGGTATGCGGTGAGGGTTGCTATGTGGTGACCATCTGGCGAGAAGCCGATTGCGTAGACGTCGGAAGAGTGCCGAAGGGTATGCAGAACAGTCCCTGTGTCAATATGCCACAGCGTCACGTCCTGGTCCGCGGACGTCGTGGCTACCACTCTGCAGTCGGGTGAGAAGACTATAAGCTCGATCATACTAGCGGGATAGGTGGCAGAGCGTCGTGTAAGAGCCTCTGACTCCACATTCCACAATCTAATCGTCTTGTCTTCAGAGGCAGTTGCCAATCGCCGGCCATCTGGTGACATGGTTGCTGATAGGATAAGATCGGTATGCCCCGCGAATGTCTGCAGGACGGCATCTCCTTCCCGCAGACGCATCGTCTCATAGGCTGCAATTGCTACTTTTCGATTATCTGGCAGTAGCGCTGCGGATAGGATTCGGTCTTCAGAATCGAATGTTGCCAGTACAGTATTCGCCTCGATATCCCATAATTCTGTTGTTTGGTCGCAAGTAACAGACATGATCAACTCTTGCCTACCCGGTGGGAAGGTCACTGAAGGATCGTCGTCACTGTCCGCTTTGAAAGGCCCGTTCTTGATATTGCTCTGAGTGTCACTAAGCCATATATCTCTTTCATTACACACCATGACTATCCAGCGACCATAAGGCGATACGTCCAAGCGCACATCTGGTCTAACACCACAATAATATGATTGTATTGCTGACCCAGTGCATGCATCTCGTACTTGCACCACCTGATGACAAGAAACAAATATAACTTGTCGGTTGTCTCTCGAGAAAGCCACCGAGGTTACGTCCCCGTGAGCTCTAAAACATGCTCGCTGATGTCCTGATTCGAAATCCCATAGTCGGACAGTGCAATCGCGAGATGCGAATGCTATCAATCGGCCATCCGGTGAGACTGCCACGGACCTGACAGGGCCTGTGTGTCCTCTAAGTGTCCGCAGAGTGGCACCAGTTGCTGCTTCCCATATCCGCACAGTGCCATCGGCAGAAGTAGAAACGAGCAGTCGACTATCTGGCGAGAAAGCCACTGACAGGATTGAATGGGTATGTCCCCCAAAGACTTGCAAACAGGGACTCCAGTGCTCATTGAGCATTGTTGGGGTCTTCAGCCATTTTGGAATCTCGGCTTTGAATAACCGTCTTATTATACTTGCCTGCGGACTGAAGATTAGAGCTGAGTAGTACACCTGCAAAGGTGCGTCCTCAATGCAAGCCTTGTTGTAGAGGATGAACTGATATATGTCGCATATCAAGGCTAGCATCTCGGTATTGTTTGCGGGAAATTCCTGGGCGTGATTAGGAAAATGATGGCATTAATTTGGTCTGGGGTACATGCTTCTAGGAAGTCTTTCAATTCTCTGATCACCACAACGGCCTTACTCATATATCCCATCAGACTCAGGGCTTCCAGCCAATGGAGGATGTGCTTCTTTACGAAAGTGTCTATTCTCCCCCCATCGCTAAGCCCGATATGGCAGTGCTGGGTTCTGTTTTGTCGACAGAAAGTAATCAAATGATTTACCCAGTACGTAGCCGCATATTGCAACGGAGCAAGGGGATTAGGTCGAGGGTGCTTTATCTCATCCACCGAGCAACCTGGATAATGCAATCCGTAGATATTCCGCATTAGAGTAGCGTCCATTACATCAAGCAGCCGTTGGGCCATGATGCCGTGTTCGTGTATGACCCCATCGGCAAAGATTCTTCGACCTGTGCCCATGCAAAAATAGTCTCTTGCGGACTGATGGACGGCAAAGACATACCCATGGCGTATAATAAGGAATGAGCTGCACAGCTCAACAAGCTGGCTGACGTCATCCATACAATCTTCTGGCAGGCTTGCTGCTGAGGCCAGTTCCTGGAGATTCAACGGGCGATAGGCTATGGCCGTGGTTTGAAGCATTTGCTTGCAGAGTACTTTGTCGTCTTCGTCTTCGTTTTCTTCGATGAGCTGTAGTATTCGATCGTATAAGGGCTGCAACCCTGATGGTAGCCCGTCCAATTCGTTTCGCATTTTCCGACGTGAAGTTGCCTGAAGACGCTGACAGGCCAATGAGACCCAAAGAAATGTAGCCCCAGCCTTTACCTTCAGAGATACTAGAGCCTATCAGAGCAAGACATCTATGTTTTCGAAACGTGGTCTTCGACGGTCTGGCGAAGAAAATGATGAAGGTCAAGTTCCGAGCCAACGAGCTGCCGGCGAATGGTTTCCCCCATTTCTTCCAAAGTATGAAGTGAAGTGAACATTTTATCTTCAACCAGCGAAGATTCTATCAGCAGCCGCCAAATTCCCTCTTGTTCCGATGCGAAGAAGTCCCAGCCTTGATTCTCCTCGGGCGAAATTTATTGCTTGCATTTGCAAGATCCCCACGAATCCTCATGAACAGCGAGCGATTCTGAAGCTAGCTACAACCCAGCCACCTACAGTGGCGCACATTTACATTTAATCAGCATGCGGGAGATCCGCATACGTGACTTGAAAACTTGGCTATGTGTTTTGAAACGGATAAACCAATGTAGTGGTTAAACTCCGTATCGGGGAAGTCGGGGGAGGTCGATTATCCGGACTGCACGAGGCTATAGGCGAGGAATTAAAATTACACTAGAGAGGATGACATTGACATCTATAGACACCATAGACGATAGAATGAGTGCTTGACTATCTAAAGCATATGGCTACGGTGTCCGAATATGAGGAATCTGTCGACCTCGGTAATCGGGCCGACTATTAATCCACCTTGACTTTCACCAGAAGAGATGAATAGCGTCAAAACTGTCTCTGGGAAGATATGGGGCAAAAAAAGAGGGGGGAGGGGAGAGAAAGGAAAAGTGAACTGAAATGATGCCTACTTATGTCAAATGTCTTTATAGAAGTACTGTTTGGTTTTGCGTGGCCTTGCTCACCCACTGATCACCTCAACACTCACCCTCAACCTCTGAAGGCATCACCTCAATCACCCGCACCCGACTAGAGCTCACCCAGCCATCACCTGAGCAATCGATGTAGGCTCCTGAATCACTCCAAATACGCTCCGGGCTGCTCAGGGAGCCAAAAGCGGCGAGAAGTCGGACCGAAAACAGAAAGGGCAAGTTCCTAGGCTTCCGCAGAAAAGTTCTACAATAAAATATGCTACATAACAAGAAGAAATGACATAAAAAACTGATATCCGCGCCATGCAAAACAAATTACATCGTTTCAATAATATCATGTCCGACAATCCTGCGCCTGACCACTCCAAACAAATCGAGTATCAAAAGAAAAAAAAAAAAAAAAAAAAAAAAAACCGAAGCAATCACCAGAAACTGCACCATCCAATCCAGTGCTGGCAGATATTCTCCACATTCGTCGCCTGCGCTAACAGTTTGTCCACCTGGTCGCTTATATTGAGTTCCTCGTACGGCCGGAAATCGCGGCCCGTCAGCTTCTCCCGGACACGACCAAGGACTTGTAGTGCGCGTGCGTTCTGCAGCTCCCGGGCTTCGTTGGGGACGCCCTCTTGAGCATCCAGGATACCGCCTTCGAGAATGGAGGGACGGCGGGGACGGGTGTAGGTGCTGGGCTGGGAACTGTTGTCTGCGGTGAGGTTTGGCGCGACTGATTGGCGACGTTCAGCCACATAGGACATTCTCTCCGGAGGAGATTCACGGACTCCCAGACGCCAGTTAATCAGAGGGTCATGGATGAACTAGGATCATTAGCTTTGTTGAAATGACTTTGAGAAGGTAAAAAGAACTTACCGCTTCCAAAACAGCCATCAATGAATCCTTATTCTCCCTCAGAACACGCATCACAGCCTCACAAGTAATCCGATAACTACCCTCAATATTGCTGACTTCCATAGCAAACGTCAACATACGAGTCAGCCGGAACGGCACCCGCTCAGGGTACTTCTCGCGATGCATCGCAACTTCAAAGCAGTCACCAAAATCAATGTGAACAATCTTGCCTGTAACGCGGTCGAGAAGCAAGTTGGATGGGTGGCGATCGCCCAGACCGAGAATGTAACCGACCATGGACATGACACCAAGCGAGCGAGTGTAGTTTGTGCGTCGCTCGAGCCAGGCTTCGGAGCTCTTACTCTTGAGCCAGAGAACGCGGTACAGATCCTTTCCGGTGGTGTTGTCCATAGCATATCCAAAGACCTCGACCTTCTGCATGAGCGTAAGGTTATCGTAGTCAGGAGCCATCTGAAGCATGATGCGGTGTTCAATGTTGAGTAGGATGCGACGGCTCTCTCTGTATTCCTTGATAAGCGCGTGTAATGTGTCACTGTTGGAGACCCATCCCAGGAGACCAGAGCTCTGGGAGAGCGGAATGGCTGGGAATCGCTGAACAGAAAGATGACGCTTGAAGCTCTCGCCATCATTATCAAGCAGAGTGTTGACAAGACCGAACAGCTGCATGACACGCTCGTCCTGTCTGATATCTTCATGTCCCTTGAGAGCGTACATGTAAGAACTACCGTCACTTCCCTTCAGTGTCATCCTCCTAGGCCGCTTCTTGGTTTGCAGAACATGGAGAATAGGGTCGAAGCTGATGATCCGAATGATCGGTCTACCACTCTGGTAGGTACCAGGAACAGCCAGATCAAGATCTGAGCAATCCTTAAGCTTAGGCGAAACGTATTTCAAGTCGAGAGTAGACAATTGCGGGAGCTGGCGACTGATCTTCCGGAACACAGTGTAGTAGAGATCCCAAGCCTGGTTCAAGTCACCAATTTCTTCAGTCTCGCGGTACAGCATACAGTAGTGCTTGGCTTCTGCGAGGTCACGTCCAAAAGCCTGTGCGAAAGACACTTCCCGCAGAGTCTCAGCCCCCTGATCAAGCATGTCATGGAGTGGTGCCAGGGTTGCAAACATGCCCTCCACATTGTGGTCGCCGAAATAGAGACGAGAAGCTTCCTCCAAGCCTTCGTGCCAGAGCTCATGCCACAGAACGGCAACCCGGATAAGTTCGTGACTCACAAGATCAGCCTGTTCAACCAGTCTTGCGCTGTGCTGCCGCATGTTGTCCATGATGTTACTGGCAGACTGTGATCGGCGAGCAACGTTGGATTTCATAGCAACCGTCAACGGATACACGAGTGCTTGCGGGTGTGCCCTGCCCACTTCAGCCAGCAAGCGATGGACGGAAGTGCGGACTCGGTGGTTGGGCTGGTTGATTCGTGCAATGAGCTGTGGAGTAACAGCAAGCCAAGTGTCAATGTTAACTGCAGTGAATCCTTCTGTCACAACACCATTAACATCCTGGTCACCCCCATGAGTGAACCAGAGGGTAAGCAAACGCAAAGTGTCTTGCAATGATGATGTTGAGGACAGCGCGATAGATCGCAAGAAACCGCAAATGGCAGGAATGACATGCTCGGTCACAATATGCTGGGGAACCATCACTGGAGGCTGTCCCTCGCGGTTAGCTTGGCTGGCAATAGTAGTAACGACTTCAAAGTTAGCCAGCGCCCACGAGTGCCACGCCTTATATGAATCCCGGTTGTATCTTGTCGCTGCAGCATATGCATTCAAAACCTCACGAACAAGCTCCGGGTTCCAGTCACCACGCTGCAAGGCTGTCTGCCATTCTCCTTGTCTGAGATAACTCTTTGCAAGAAGACGCCTGAGTTTGCCTACATCTCCAACACGCTCACGGAGGCCAGCAATATCGGCATGGTTCGCGTCTATGACGCCATTCACACCGTTAATGGCATGGTCTGTTTGCGACATAATGAGAGCATTGAAACGCGTAAAGTCTTCTGTCAGGGTGGCATTGAACTCTTTCAGCATTCCTAGCGATTCACGCTGAGCGCCTGATGCCCAGTTGAATTTCAGGCGAGCATAAGTGACTTCAGGCGGAGCAACAGATCGAGTACCATTGTTGTCAGAAACAACCGTCTCCAGCGATCCGAGAGAACGTTCAGCAAGACCCATACGGTTGGATTTCCGGCAAAGGTTGGCGAATTTGATCCACATGTCAAGGTTCTCGCGAGGCGATGTAACAAGAGCTCTGACCTTAAGCATGCGTTGCCACACTTCGACGTTCTGCTGACACCCAAGTAACCGTCTATTCCATGTTTGGCGCATGGCATCCTGCTTCTCAGGGTCACCAATGTTCTGTTTGTATGTAATGATTTCCTCGAGTTCAGCTAGCATCTGTACGCGGACCACGACGTTGTAGGCACGGTTGTAGGACTCTCCAAGTAAAGCCGACAACTCCGTATCCAGGCCGTTTCGTGCCTTCTCAATATACATGGTCGCCTCGTCGAACTGGTTCCGGTGGATGGCAAGGATGGCACCAAAGAACGACCGGTCTGGTGACTGCTCTTTCATGACGCCCAGATATGAGTCCATTAACTCCCATTGTCCACGGCCCCAAGCGGCAGCCGCAGCCAGAGGAGCGATGGCTCTCCGGTGCTCAAGAGATGCTTGGTTCCACTTTTCTTGCGCAAGATCCGACAACACCTTCCACTCTCCAAGGGCGTGCAGACACCGCATTTTACCCATAGTAACTCCAAATGAATCTGGATCAATTCTTTCCCGTCGTTTGTAGGCGGCAAGAGCCTCCTCCCAACGTTGGAGCTTTTCAAACCAGGTTTCCTTGAGCTCAACGTCGCGGTAAGCTTGGGCTTTGCGGAGGATACCAATGGCAGCATCAGACTGCTGGAGTTGGTTGTTGATGGTGATAAGGGCCTCCACTGCTCCTGAATTCTGGTCTTGCTCAAACTCGAGTTCCTTGTAATGGAGAGCCTTGGCGAATGCATGGCATTTTGCAGCATACTTGCCCAATGTGCGAATGTCAATAGGCAGTGCCTTGTCATCATGCTCCATGAATTCAGCAAGGTTGAGAAGGATTTGGAGAATCTCAGGTGGGATGTTAGGCGAGGTGAGAGCCTTCTCAATCGACCGAACCAACTCTTCCTGGTATTGATCGTACAACTCGGTCCAACATGACACGAAAGCTGCATTGAACAAGTCCCTTGCAAGCGGTTGGTAGATACCCGCCAAACTGGCGCACGCGCGGAGTGCGGGGGAAGGTGACTCCTTCAGAAGTTCCACACTGAAACGGCGAATCCATTCCTGCCAGTCCTCGCGTGTTGACTTCTGGGATGCATCCCATGCATTCTTGAGATGCTGCTGGTTGACGACCATTTTCTTCTGGCCAATTTCAGCGTAATTTGCGTCATCAGCCAGGGCTGCGTAGTTCTCATCTGGATTCAAATCCTGTGGGAGCGGGTCGCCCTTTTGCAGTTTTGTAACCAGTATCTGGTAGTTGACATGGGTGATCTGGTTGTTCTTCAGAACCTTATTGAGAAGATGGATGTAGTGGCTAAAGTCTTGACCAAGCTGGAAAATGAGTACACAGATACAGTCCATTGCCGGCTGTCGCAAAGAACGCTCAGTGCCACCAACAACTCGAGCAAGCGAGTGAACCATCAACGAGGCAAAGTCAGACACATTAACTTGGCGTGACAGCTTCGTGAGGCTTTCAATGGCGGATTTCCGAATGCTGGGAGGATTCTGAGTCCGGTCGAAAAGGCGTACTATGGATGGAACAATCAAATGCATATATTCCTCCCCACTGGCGCCAAAGATCAAGAAGGAATGAAGGATCCTCTCTGATGGCTGTCGACGAGCCGTGGTGTCATTATCCAGAGTTTCTAGCATGGGTGGAATGAGTCCGGCCAGGTACTTCTTGAACTCGCCCTCCAAGGACAAAGCGATAGCTTCCATGAGAGATAGAATAGTAGCCTGGACTTGGTATGACACGTCCCAGAAATCGCGAATAACTTCAATGATCCCCGGAAGAAATGCACGAATGTGTTGCCGCACAATATTGACCAAGATCGCCATTTGGTTGAAATAGGACTCCAGGCGGCTTGGAGGGGATCCTCTAATGACAGCGATGAAGCCGGGAATGATTTGTCCCAAGAATGGGACACACTTTAGTCCCAGAGTCTTGAAAATGGTGACAATCGCATCAATTACTGCAGAATGATACTGGGCCAGAGAGTTCTCCCGCAGAATGTTCTGCATAAGAGTGTTGATGACAACTGTTGGATAGTACTCTTCATTGGACGGTGTAAGACCTTGCATAATCAGGGCAACATCAGTGACAGGCTGTACCTCATTTATGTGGTGAATATCTGGCGCATCCTCGCTGATTTGTTGATACTTGTATGGGTCTAGAGCACCAAGGATACCCAGAAGCTTAATGGTCTCCTTACGGAGAGATCCCGTCTGTTCCGTCTTGATGATATTAATAAGTACAGCAAGAAGATGAGGGTATTCAAGGTACGGGTCTATAACGTAGCCAGAGTTGCCGGCCAATTGACCAAGTGTACGCAATGCCGACTCTCGTTTTGTGTGAGATGAAAGATCCTGAAGTGCATCCAAAATGATAGGCATGAGTCGTGGTAGGTAGTGTGTCATCTCACCTCCACCAACGTTGGCCAATTCCCCAACCGCTTTCAATGTAGTTGACGCGACTCCTGGGTTGGCATCAGTTGCCTTTGGGAGCAGAGTAGTAACCATAGGGTCGACATAGGATTTGATCAACTTCGTGGCATTTGAAACAAAAAGGCTAATGAGCAGGGCACTCTCTTCCTTTTGGCGAGCTGTACTGGCAAAACCAAGGCCGGTTAAGAGGTTGACAAGCAATTTCCGCAGTGGCGGGAAAACATAAGCTGGGTTGACACTGGAAAGGCGTCCAATGATACAAATCGCAGCTTCTCTGACTGAGAATACCTCATCATTCACGGCCAGAAACAGACATCGGATGTTTTCAGGTCTCGCCAGATGACGGTCAAACTTTCGGTCCAATGACCACAAGACAGTTCGCCGAATTTCTGGGTCTGGATCTCCAATACCGACGGTGAGAAGCTTGTCGATCACTTCACTAACAACCTGGATTGAATGGCTGCTAGTTTGGTTAATAATGGGATCATGGACAAATAGTTGGCAGCAAGTGAGTGCAGAAGCTTTGCGAATTTCAGGGTTGTCATTCTCAACGTAATTTATAGCAACGTCCCGTACAAATTCATTCAGGATGTGACCAGAGAAGTCAAAGCTCCCCAAGGTGTGAAGGGCAAGGGCGATTTCGGCGTCAGAATGCAGCTCTTGGGGAGAGAAGTCCTTCGCAAATGATGGCATAGGGGGGAGTCGGTTTTCCGGACATCCAAGAGGCCGAAACGGTGTTCCGTAGAGGATGATGCTCAGCATGTCCAGGAGTTTCTCTTGGATTGTGGGCTTGATTGGTGGGATATAATGGGCCATGTCGACAAGTGCTTGTGTAAGTGACTCACTCAACCCACAGGCAAAGATAGGGTCAAGCAATGCTTCCATGTACTTGCTGAGCGTTTGCCCAACAGCCAGGGACAGCATGCTGAGACATTCAAACATCGGAGCTTCTTTGACCGAGGATCGGCTCCGTGCTTTCATTGCTAACCCCTCTTGGATGTATATGATGATTCCGTCAAGATACTGCGCCATTGCCCCACCGACGGCATTGGCAATCTTTCCAATCGCGATAAAAGCCGAATTCCGTTCCTTATCTCTCTTGAGCTGCGCCTGCAGGTATATCATGAATCGATGGAGGTAGATTTCGGTAAAGTCAAGGGGAGTGTAAGATGCGAGAATGGGTATCGTCAAGACAACTTGCGTGCGAATTTTAGGATCACGGTGATCTTTGAGGCGGAGGACGATCTCGCATGCGTTTCGATAGTGTTCATTCATGAACATGGCGCCCTTCAGTAGAAGCTCCTTGAGCACTAGAAGCGATCCGTGGATCCAGTCCACATTGCTTGACTTCAGTCCCAACAGCGCCTCTTCGTAGATTCGTGCGAACCACAGTTGCCGGACCTGGCTGTCTCGAGCGGCTATGATCTTGAAGCATTCGCTGACTGCATCCGCCGCCGACTCCCGGATGAGCACCTTGGGATCCCGCAAAGCAACCCAGATAAGCTCGAATATCTGTGGAATGAAGCCATAAAGAAGAGTTGGCGAGCCTTTGGCCAGTTCGCGGAGGACAAGGACCGCCGCGAAACGCCTGCTTTCCTGTCGTTCGGATTGCAGCCACTCCAGAGCCGACTGTACCTCACTCTCGACCAATTCCGCAGTTAGAGCACCACCGGGTTTAGCCAAGTGGCCCAGCGCCCTCGCCGCACACGCCAACACTGGGGTATCGTTACTTCGGAGCGCGCTGCGGAGGTAGCTGGCAAAACGAGTGGTCTTTTGGGCCGAATCGACCCCGTCAAAATCGACTAAATGATCCAGAGCGAGTAAACCGCCGATTCTTTCATTGGCATCACTACCAGTTACAACGAGCTGCGCGATACGTTGGCTGACTGCATTGTAGAACTCGAGGAACTTTTCCGGCGGCCAATCTGTGAGGTGAGGAACCAAGTGTCAGCAGTGCGACGAGAAAATAAACCACGACTAGAATGCGAGAATTATAGATAGGCACCTCTTGAAATGGCAATGACATTATCGTATAGGTCGTAGGCAGCTCGCGCCCGTACTTCCTCATTCTTGGATTTCAGGTCGAAGAACAGCCGATGGGTGACGTCCGTGATAGGACCTGCTTGCGCCATGTTTGCGGACCGCCCCCCGGGATGGACATTTGAAATTCAAGTTCTCAGGGCAAGCTGGGCGTGGAAGACACGAGAGTCGTTGTTTATATGGGGGGGAGAAGGAGGGAGGAGATGGTTAAGCTTAATCGGGTTGCCAGAGGTTGAATGAGTGAAGGTGAGTCCACTTCCGCCGGGTGAGTGTGCACGGGCCAGTGATATTCCGGCCTGGGGCATCGTTCATTGTACATAGTAGTAGATATCAGGATGAAAGAAGAGAAATTTATATGCAAATATAGAATTGTAGAAGCTCAATTGTGTATTTAAATGTATTTCTCTACAGACTAGGTCCTCTCAGCTCTGGAATACTGGTACAGTAGAGGACGTCGTACAAGTATGTTGGAGATATAACGTATTCAACGGGCGAGCGTCGAAGTGCGAATTTTCGCCGCAACCATTACTTTTTGAAGCTTTTCAACCACCAACACCATTAAATTTGACTAAATGAGACTATCTCCTAGTTAATTATATAGCTATTTACTAGGACAAATCCTTATAGTGTGTCCAATAATCCCACAGCCACTACAGCGTGGTGGAGCTCGCTGGCGAGGTTAGATCTCGCCAAACCCGTGGGCGGCCCGCGGGCGCCCGCCAAGAGGGCGGGTTCTGGGCTGTTTCCCCCTGCCTGCGGGCGGGCTGCGGGCTCTGTCTACCTGCCCGTGGGCTTTAGGCGGGCGCCCGTGGGCAGCAAACATAGGGAATCCCGTGACTTGCATATTCTATGCGGTTTTTGGCTGTATTTTATAGTATTAGGCTTACATGCTTAAGAGTATATAACGTAAAATCAGCCTGAAATGTGACGGTCTCGAGCAATATGAATCTATTGGTAGACTATCTGATGAAATTCTAATATGAGGAGAGAAAGGAAAGAGGCAGGGCCTGCCGGCGACGGGCTATCTAGTGTGTGCAAGGGGCTCAAGTGATGCTCAGTGAATGCCCTACTCCAAACAGGCCAAAGTAAGCAAACATGCTATACAGCTAGCGAGTGTCCATGCTCCGTGACAGAAAAAGCTCTTTCTAAATTATACTGATTATATTAACTACCCTCAACCAAGTTCATATCCATCTAGAAGTCTTGAACGCTTCCGAGCTCTTCCTGACATACGCTGCTGAATATTGCCTTCTTCATGTAAGTTGGTAGGTAAGGGAAGATCAACCTCATTCCAGAGGTAGCAGGTGTGGTATTCCTTTTCCTTTTGTTCGAGTTAAGCTGCAGCTGACCTTGAATAGGCACTGAATCATTCTCCTCATTATCACTGATTGGATCAAGATCATCCTGAGCCTGAGCTTCTTTTTCTTCATTTGCTGCCTCCCTCTCTTCCTCTGACAGAAACTGGCTAATAAACACAAGCTCTTTCTCTTCAATGTCAAATTTTGTTGTGTGTCGCGGAGCATGGACGCTCTCTATCTGTATAGCATGTTTGGGGTAGGGCATTCACTGAGCATAAACGCTCGCTAGCTGTATAGCATGTTTGATTGCTGTGACGGCTCAACGGCTCAACGCCAGACAAACAGCGCCAACATATCAAACGATGCCATACAAGCAATATGGGCAAACAAGGGCTTAAGCCGCACCACACAAATTTCTATAGAGACCGTTTATCGCCTAGATAGATTTCCTTTTCTTCTTCTTCCCCAGATTCGATATTCTCGTTGTTAGGCTACCTAGTCTAGATATGAATATTATTCGTTTTATCTGCTAGTTTCCGAGCCCGTGACAATTGCTTTGTCCTGTTTGGAGTGGGGCAACAACTTTTCACACACACACTAGATAGTCTGTCGTCGGCAGGCCCTGCCTGTTTCCTTTCTCTCCTCATGTCAGAATTTCGTCAGATAGTCTACCAATAGATTCCTATTGAACGAGTTCCACGGGAGCACGCCTACGCCCCGGAACCAAAGCCCCCTATGGCAGAGATCCTCTAAGCCATGCTAATAGATGCGGTCAAGAACTTGACTGGGATGAACAACCGGCTAGTAGATTTCACTGAGGCATTGGCGGGGTCTCCGGGGGGGGGGGGGATATAAGAATTTAGATGGATTATCTATGGCCATTGATGAGTTTTCGTGGGGCCATATAACTTTCCCCACTCCTCTTGTCTCCTCATTTTCTCTATGAACTAATACTTTTAATGATCAGTCCACGACGGAGGCGGTGCTCGGCAACAAAACCGCCAAACATGGTTCAATCTGAACGCCTACACCGCCAAGTTGGCCGCGATTGGGCTCCCCGACCGCTGGGTGATCTATCGCGGCGGCCGCGTGCTGTAGAAGGCACTTGAGAGGAATTGGCAGCAGTGGGATATGGGGAGTCTGGATGGGCATGTGCCTGCTGCCGCGATATGGATCCGCCACTGCGGCTCGCGGATCTACCAGCAGGAGGGGCAGTTGAAAAACACGAGGGACTCGAAGTGGAAGGGCCAGCAGGTTTGGTCTAGGGAGCGATGGGAGTACTGGAAGAAGCGATTTGAATGGGTGACGACGGTGAAGATTCTCAAGGAGAGTACGCGGGATGAGGCAAGGCAGTGTGTGGATCAGATGAGGGATATTGAGCAGCGGTTTTGATTGCAATATAAACGTGTATATCATGTATTCAATCAACGATATGTTGGTCGCGGTGTATTCCTTATGTTTGGAGAACAGATGAGACAGTTGGTACATCCCTTCCTTTCGTAAAAATTTAGAACTAAAACTGTAATCGATTTTTCACGGGCACAGGCTACATGCTGGAAATTCCTGCCGCAGACCATGTAGCATTGGTGAGAATTGCAATGAAAAGCAGAGAATAATGAGAGATCCAGCCCAAGAAACAGTGTCCCTTCCAATGGTGCCTGGTAATAAGGACCTATCTTAACAAAACCCACCCGCCTATACAACTGGATACCCACCTGTTTCTGGTCATCTTTTTCAGACTCCATCATCGTCACCTGTTCGCGATACTCGTTTTCAAGGTTGATCGTTTGGTTGAGCGTGTCAGTGACATCGTTGAATAGCTCATCAGGGTGATCAAGGCAGTGTGCGAGAAATTCTTTGGGGTGATGATCCTTCTGCCCTGGTCTTTCATGTCCAGTCACACGATGATTGATTTTTGGTTCTCTCAGTGGCGTCTCTTGCTATCTTGACTGTATGGTTTAGTTTGGTTTCATTCGCGACTGTGGGTTTCTCTTCTGCAAGAATATGGAGGCCCTGCATGGATTCCTGGCTGTGCACGTCAGAGGACAAAGTTGATAAGAAAGATGATTATGATGATTCTAGTATTATGTGACGGACACATTTAATAGGATTCTATTGATAGACGCTCTAGCAATATCCTAGCATGGAAAAAGAAAAGAAAGACGCTTTATTCTTTTCCTGACTATTGCGTAGAATATATGAAAGGGCGAGGAGATTAAGACAATCTGGTTGCTAGCGAAGGCACAATGGCATGGTGTCTACGGCGCGGAGCCCCGCATAATCTGTTTGAAGAAATCATCGGCCGAGGAGACGTCTGGTTCCACCCTGAAAGTGGCCTCATACCAGGCATCGAGTGCCTTCTCGTGGCGGACTGGGTAGTATCTCTTCTCATCTTCAGACAATTCCAAGGCAATCCCGGATATTGCGGCGTCGACACCTGCAGAGTATTCTAGTTACAGGTTCACCATCACCAGCCACTACTGAAGCAGATACTGCAATTGTCACGGTGCTCAGCTAGGATAATAGAACATCCTTCTCATGGGTTCTACCTAGGTAGCTATCGACGAGAATATCGAATCTGGGGGGAAAGAGAGGAGAAAAGCTATCCAGAGAAAGAAGGGGTTTTATAGGCGTTTGTTTGACATCACCAATGTCTTGTCTGGCGTGTTGGTGTCGTCTGCCTGTGTCAGTCGTTAATGCGGTGCTAAGCCGTCACAGCTTGTTTCTAGGCTTACGCTGACGGTTAGGGGGGAAGATGTCTATTTGAATGTGGGAGCTAGTTGTGAGCGGGGGTACCCAGTGGTGACCTAGGCGTACCCTATCACAATAAACCCAGAAGCAAGACTGTTCGGTGACCCTAGGGCAAGCTCAGCCATCCTGCAGTTCTTTCAGGACATCAGTATAGGTGTCAGACAAGCCCTGGAAGAGGCCCAGAGGCAAGATGAATGGGGATGGGGAGGAATTGGCGGCGGCACAGCAAATGAAAGAAGGGTAACTGGGGGGAGGGCCAAGCGGCCCAACAAGTGAATGATGACGAGGAGGACTAGGGGACACTTCCCCCTCTGGGCACGAAGGCTAGATCAGGGCGAGGAACAGGACAATGAAACCACACTGTTAAGTAGCGAGACCGGTAGGGGGTAGGCCCTAAGCCTACCTCCGTGATTCATACAGTCTGCCATAGCCCCAGGAGCTGGATGCGGACTATAAATTTGATTGATAATAATAATAATCGTCATCATCATCATGCTGTGAGCTTTCTTCAAACTCCTTTCCCTTTGCGATCTTTGCAACTCATCCTTTTTATCTGGGCTCTTCATCGCACCCAGAAGAACAACAACAACAACAACAACAACAACAACAACAACAACAACAACAACAACAACAACAACAACAACAACAACAACAACAACAACAACAACGGAGAGCTGCAAAACTAACCAACACTGTTTTACTCGTTTTCTCAGCCCAATAAGTCTCTGAATCTGGCCAGGTAGCTGACATGAATAAGCATGAGCGCTTCCCTTTTTCTAATCATATCATATCTCAAAACGTAGATACATCTATTGTGCATCTCTTTTCTTGACAAAGTCATTCTCAAAGTCCAATCCTGCATCCTGCCTAATGATGCCATACATGGCCGACGAGTCCAATGGCCTACCCTCCTGCTCGGAATAAGCACTGGCACGTTTTAGATGGTCCAGCGCGACCTCAGCAACCTCTAATCTCGTCCCGGCAGTGTCTGCACAGTCGATGCTGTGTCCCACGTCTTTCAGACCAAGACTGAGATCGGACCAGGGATTTTCGCCTAGTATTGTCAGCTTTTATCATAGTATATTTACTCATTGGATAGGCATACCCCTCGGCGGCATGTAACTGCCTTTGGTCAACCGCTTAGAAATCATGCCAGGCAAGAGTCCAAATTGGAGCTCGAGTAGATTCTCAAGAGCTTCATCGCCCATCTCACTCTTCTCTGCCAGAACGTGGGCTTCTCCAATAATCTCGGTGAATCCAGAGATGATGAAGTTGCTAGATTCGGTCAGCTTCTAGTTTCAAATATCTGCTGGTAAAAGTGCTTACCCCATGATCTTCAAGAGTGCAGCCTTTTCTGACTTGTCAGACACTGTGATGGTCTCACGAGCTATCACGCCTTTGAGATATGATGCCAGCTTCTTGATGCTAGAGAGGTCACCAGCCAGTACTATCAGGATCTTTCTGTCCTCGGCCATAGGGCTGGAGCCGAACACGGGAGCTGTTTATGTAAGTTTTTTTTTTTTTCTTTTTCTTTTTCTTTTCCCCTGTTATCAGATCCTTATGAGAGTGTACATACCTGAGATAAAAGTAGCATTCTTCTGTTCTACCTTCCCCGAGACCTCTTGGCTGGTGGTTGGATGCACAGTTGTTGTGTCCACAATGATCTTAGCGTCGATGTTTCCTGCGGCCAGGATCTCGTCAACGATGGTCTTAAGAGCAGCATCATCACTGGTCTAGTTCTGTTAGTATATCAGACAATTATGAAACTGTCGTTCAGCCTACAGAGATAAAAATGATATCGCTGCTGTTGACAACGGCTGCAATTGACTCGCAATCAACTCCTCCAAGTCCCTTCAATTGCTCTCCTTTGGATGCGGTTCGGTTCCAGAACTGCAGGGGGTTTTGTCCCATCTCTGCCAGATGCCTTTGCATATTTTTCGCCATGGCGTTTCCCATCTTTCCAAGTCCTGGTCATAGTCAGCACTGTGAAGTTCAGCTCATTCTGTTGAGAACCTACCGACCCATCCTAACTGCGGGGTGTTCTGGTTTGCCATTTTCCTTGCTACAATTGAATTAAGTCTGTTTTCAGAAGGTCAAAACAAAATCACAAGTGGTTGTTGACGAGGTGCGTTCCCCGCCATGTATGCACACGCAGCCTTCTTATATTGTCACGACTTTCCAGTGCGTGCATGCATCGCGACAATAGCGCCACACACGACGATCCCGATAGCGCCCAAATTGGCAAGCTGATGGAGCTGTCAACGCCAATCAGAATCTTATCGAGTCGGCTCAGCCAAGGGGATGGTTCAGTGCTGATCAGTGTTCGCTCCGTCAAGTAGGATAGAAGAGCTCTCCACTTTTGCTCTCTAACTTCAGACTCTACTCTGTACACGTGGATGGCATCTTGATATTTTTCTCCCAGAGGATCCCAGCAGAAGGGATTAATCCAATCACAACGCAGTGAATGATTTGTATTTTCTGCGGCTGAACACCGTGCATAGCTGAGTGAGTAGTTTGTAATTTGTATTCCACCTTTAACATCTTTACATCGACGACTTTCTCCCTCCTCCACTCGACGGTCGTCATGTTTTTAATGCTGATGGTTAAGGGAATTTATTCATCTCGACAATATCTGACATATTTCCCACCAATATGTCTCCCACCGAGCGTGGCCCGGATATGCCACCAGATGAAGGGTCGCCTCTCCTCCAGTCCCGTAGTCCGACTTATTCAGGACCCCCGGATCCATCGCATAAGAAAAAGCGCCCTGATCTCTTTATCATCTATGCGACGTTCTTTGGTATTTCCCACTGAATCATGAGATGTATCAGCAATCACTAATGTAAATAGGTGTCTTTATTGCCAGTATTGATGAATCTCTCGTCCTGTCCACCTTCAGTACCATCGCGTCGCAGTTCCACCTCCTCTCCCAAGGTTCCTGGTTGCTTGTTGCATATAACTTTGGATACTGTATAGCGCTGCCAGTGGTATGTCGATATAACTTTTTGATGCTGGATAAGAGGTGTTGACAGCGGATAGTACGGCGCTTTGAGTGATTCGTACGGGCGCAAAAATGTTCTCCTCGGCTCGTATATCTTATTCACACTGGGATGTTTTGCCTGGTAAGCTGAGCTTCATGCCCTGGATAGTTGAATTGATATCTAACAGTCTGATGCAGCGGTGCAAGTGCCTCCTTGACACAGCTTGTTCTGGCCAGAGTCCTCGCTGGTCTGAGCGGTGCTGGAATGGTGACACTCGTTTCCATCATTACCATGGGTATGCTCTCATCAATGTCTGTATTGTTTCCTCTAACATGATACAGACCTGGTCCCTCCCAGTGAAGTCGCAATCTACCGAAGTTATGAAAATGTGATCAATGTCATCGGCCGCAGTGTTGGAGCGCCCCTCGGTGGTTTGCTCTCGGATACGATCGGCTGGAGATGGTAAGACACACTGCGCAACAACGAATATGGATACTGACCGTTGTAGGTCCTTCTTGGGTCAAATCCCCCTGATCATCTTCTGCACCCTCGTCGCCGTGTACGGACTGCCCGCTTCTCTCAACCAAACAGAAGACAAAGATAAACAGCCTTCAGGCAAACCTCGCCGGTCGCGTCTTCGGGAAATCGACTTTGCCGGAGTCATCACGCTTTCTGCTGCGGTCATTCTCTTGCTCTTCGTGCTTCAAACTTTGGGAACGAGAGAAGAAGACCAACTGGTGCCAACGTGGGGTCTGGTTGTTGCCTTTGTCGTTTCTTCCATGGCCTTTGTCCTGACCGAGGTTTTCTACGCGACGAGACCTTTGGTCCCGATGCACTTGTTGGTCCGGGAGCTGGGGGCCTACTGCCTTATGCAGTGCCTGTTGTTCTCCGGTCGTACTGCCGTATGTATTCTTACTCAGACCTTGCCGTCTACGATACTGACTGTTCTAGTTCGTCAGTAACGTTGTCCCCTATTTCACCCGTGTCGAAGGAGAGAGTGACTTTGTTGCTTCGATGATGTACGTGCAAGTCGCCGCTGGTGTGTCAGTAGGAGGAGTTGTCTCTGGCTATGTCATTAAACGGTATGCGTCCCTAAACACCGCCCCTTCAAACTTGGCCAGTTCGCTTACGATTCCCAGGATGAGACGATACAAGACCATGAGTATCATTTCTCTCGGTATCACAGTCTTGTCTTTCCTTCTCATCTTCCTCACCTGGCGCGATGGCTGCAACATTTGGGAATCCTTCTTCCTGTTTGTTGTCGGATTTGCACCTGGTGTCCTCTTCTCAACCATGTTCATCGGCATGTCTTACAGCTCGCCAAAAGAATGTCTTACGGCCTGCATCGGAACATTTTATCTCTGCCAGCAGCTGGGAACGATTATCGGGCCCGCTTGTGGTGCCGCTCTGGTTCAGAGACTTTTCAAGAACAACCTTGTCCAAGATATTGTGGATATTCCGGATAAGAAGACAGTATGTTGTCTACACCTTCAAATCCATGAGCGATATACTAATCTTAAAGTAGATCATAAAGGGCATCCTCAACGATCTCAGATTCGCCGAGTCGCTATCTGAGCCTTTACAGCAGATTGTCCGGTCGAGCTACCTGAACGCTTTCCAGTTTTTGCCAGGCAAGACTATCTGTCCTCTGAATAAAATATGTTCTAACATTGTCTCAGTATTTGCATTGATCTCTTCTGCGGCTGTTTTGCCTTTCTTGGTATTCCTCAAGGAGGAGAGGGTGGATTAATTGTAGATTTATGCGATAGTAATGTACAGTATAATTATGGAGGATACGGCGGGCAAGAGAATTAATGGAAGTGAGGATTGTGATGGCTAATCCCAACGCCAACTGCCAATATTGACAACACACGCTGCCATCTGGGCAAACAAATAAAGAAGGCACTAGCGCTGCCACACAACCATAGATATATCCCCCTTATCCTGTAGGTAGATTCCTCTCTTCTTTTTCCTCTCCAGATTCGATATTCTCGTCGATGGCTACACTGGTTTAGATAGGAATATCATTTCGTTATTATCTACTAGTCCGAGCCCGTGACAAGGATGGGATAGTCCATATGGCACTTTTGAAGTAAAAAGTTAATAGATAATTGGTCTTAGAAGCTGCAACTAAAGGACTGGCCATGTGTCCCATACCCCAGAGCTTCATGTGATTTTCATCAGGACGGATGAATTGCGATCCTCCAACAAAGGCCTGTAATCGTCAGCTTGGATTCAACCATTTGGCCTAATTGAACACCAACGTGAATGTTGTTATGGATCATTTCCAAAGACAGCCAGTACTCCGGCTTTGTATCGTGAGATCTACAGTATCGAGTACTGGAAAAAGCCGTCCAGCTGGTGGGACCACCATTCTGCTGCAACAACTTCCAAGTCATGAATTGCAGTGTCTGTTGTGGCTTCGCTGGTTGAGGATCCCAGGCGCGTTCATTCAGTGCCAGGTTAGAGCGAAGCCAGTTTTGGCCTCCGTCGGCCCAGATGTCGACGTGGTAACCCTCTAGAAGGCCGTACTTAGTGGTTGAGATACATTTGTCCCACTTGATTGTGTTAGATATAGATATTATGATATGTCACAGTCAAGACTTACAGGAATGGTCCATAATGTTGAATTTCCATTTTTGTCTGTTTTTTTTTTTTTTTTTTTTTTTTTTTTTTTTTTTTTTTTTTTTTTTTTTTTTTTTTGCGTGTCTCGGTCTGGATCTTATACGGATTGTCCAGTTTACCCATCACCTTGGGCGCTGTGTATTTGTAGAAAGGGTTTGCCACAGTCTTGGTCTCGACAGTCATTTGGTTCTTCGAAACAGAAGAAGTTGTTATATCCACCCAGAGAATGTGGAAATACGGATGTGTTTGATAACCGGATTCCAGCTGAGGAGCTCAGAATCTCGTCACATTTCGTGATGGAGCCAAGAAAGCCTTTGCCAGGCCCACCATAGCCCACGCGTCCGGGATCGTGTCGGCTCTGATAATTTGATCTTGTGGAGACAGAATGTGATTTTTTAAGAGTCCGCATATTCAAGTGGCTGGCTGGATGTTCTTGGTCCACAGGATCCGATTCAGCTGAAAAGATGTGCCCCGAAAATGTGCATCGGTTGCCTGCCGTGATGTGGATCTAGGGAGTTTACATGCTGGTTATATGTATGTAGTAAATGGTGAGAATTTTAAATGTGAACGCCTCTGTATATTTCTTTGATCACCTGCTGGCCGTAAGATGAAGACTGTGGATAGAATCGGCTGGATGCTTTTTGAACCAAATTTCTTTAGACCTGAGAAACTTAGCTCATCACAATCTCTCGTAGCACTTATTTGAGCATCATGCAATTAGTCTGATAGTTTGATAGTAAATGTTGATAAATGACCAGAATTTCATTACTCGTGTCTAAAACTACAATTATAAACCCTAACCGACCCATATCTAACAGTTCTTCAACTCATCCTCAACGTCATAAATCACATCTCCATGATCAACACCCGACGCAGACATGCCCCAAACACTGCTCACATACGACATACCCCAAACAACCCATTCCTTGACCCAGACTGCCCAGGGGTTCTGATTCTTGCGCTTAGCACCGTTGCGCTGCGCTGTCAGGGAGATTTTGTCTATCCGAGGTCGACGGATCTCATCGAACTTGGCAAAGACAGCCTCGAGGGAGCCGTACTCCTTGTTCTCAAACTTCTTCAGCAATCCAGAGATGAGGAAAACGTCTTCCATGACGATCGACACGCCTTGTCCGGCGTGCGGTTGCATGGCGTGTGCAGCGTCACCGAGAAGTAAACATCTGGTAGTACCGGGCTTGAACCACTTACCACCCAGGGGAAGACGGTAGTGGGGGTAAAAGTGCACGTCCTTACTAGTATCCACAAGACGACGGAGATGTTGTCCCCATTCGCCGTGCACACCGTCCAAGACTGTAGAGAGCGATTCGCGGAACTCCGTCATTTCCTTTTGACGGTGGAGAGACCATCCGTAGCGGGCGTCTTCCGAGTCCTGCGACGGGAGAGGAACCTGTTTGCTGAAGAACCAGAAGGTCTGGTCGTTGGGGCAGGGTGCACTAGCCAGCATTCCCTGGGGGGTGAGAGTCGAGTGCAGGCATGGTTGTTTGTCGCTGGGATTCGGGACGTCGACGATGGAGGAAACGGCCGAGATGCCCGAGTACTCTGACTTGAAGCCCGGGTCGACGTGAAGGGTTCGCACGGTAGAGTGAATACCATCGCAGCCGAGGAGGAGGAAGGCAGTGTCAGATGTGCCATCAGAGAAGTTGACGGTGATAGAGTCGGCGTTGTCGTTAATAGAGACAAGCTGCTTTTCCCAGTGGATAGGGATTTGAGATCTCTCCGTGCCCTCCATAAGACAGTCCATCAGCTTCGATCGGTTGATGCGGTGGTAACCGAATCCGGTCTTCTCCTTTGGTTCTGTCGAGACATCGACTTCCTTGAGGATGCCGCCGGAGGTAGAGTGGAGGACGGTTTTGGCAATATCGACTCCTCGCACGGAGATCGAGTCCCAGAGACCTAAACGGTTGAGGAGAAGGAGTCCATTGCATGGAATACCCAGAGAACCTCCCAGAGTGCCGGCGTCGCGACCGCGGATCTCGTAGATGACGGGTTCGAGGCCGTTGTGATCGCGAAGGCGGATGGCGGTTGCCAGACCACAAATGCCCGCACCGATGATGATGACCTGGAGCTGTGAGAATGTGTTTATCCAGGGATATTGAGATATAAACCTTCTTGTTGCCCTCCATGATGCTGCTCTGACAGTAACGAAGATGAGAATAATCCAACAGAAAATCTATTGAGATAGAATTGTTATCGCTGTTTGGACAACCATCCCCAGCCCGCCTTTCCTCAGCACAGTTGCCGCGTGTGGATCAGCTTGTTTTGCGTGGCTTCAGCTGAATAGCGGTGGAGCTCGCGTGGTAGCAGAGATTCTGGTTAATTACACTGTTTTATGTGCACGGAATTTTCCGTGGAAACAGTAAGGTCGGCACCTTGGATGCACGTTGCGATTTACAGTATGAAACCCCTACAGCCGAGTGGATAAGTATGGCTTGCAGGCACGGCTTGCAGGCACGATCAGCAAGACCCGCTCGATTATCAACCAGCCAGCCAGCCATCTTCATCATCAGGTGGGATTAATCTGTGGCTGCTTAATGATGATATAAATCATTACGGAGGAATACTTACAGGAAATGGCAGTCAAGACCTGTATTATTACTAGCGCGGGATATTGACTTTTGGAATACACCTCTGTAGTCAGCTCTTCAATAGCTCTTGTTCGAGCTGAGTGGATGGTGTAGATATTCGTCTGGCAAAGGATAGATAAACCCACTGTCGCAATGTCCTTCCACGGCTTCCATCCATTCTCCCTCTCCAGTCTTCTCCCATTCCGTCTTCTTTCCCCTCCTTCTTTTTCACAATGTCGATTGGAAATCTTCAACAACTCTTGGAGGCAGCCAGCGCTGAGGAGAGCAGTGGCAATGTCATCGCATACTCCCAGGGCAACCTGGACCACCCCAAGGTATACTCATACAAGCAAGTCCTTGAAGCTTCCCAGAAGGCCTCTTGGGCTCTTCGCTCGCGGGGTGAGACATACCGTCCTGGATCTGTCATTCTTCTCCATTTTGAAGCACACTGGGATGCCATTGTCTGGTTCTGGGCTACCCTCTTCGCTGGCTGTATTCCTTGCATGTCCACTGCTCTGTCGAACAACTCTGCCATTCGCCTGAACCACCTCGAGCATCTTTCCAAAGCCCTCATCAACCCCAGCTGTCTGACCAAGTCGGCACTGTTGCACGAATTCGCCGGCCAAGAACACATCAACCCCATTCCCATTGAGTCTCTCGATGCCGAGAATGCCACCCCCGATGAGCTCAACAACATAAACCGCGAGTCCAAACCTACCGACATCGCCCTGCTGATGTTGACCTCTGGCAGCTCCGGCAACTCCAAGGCTGTCTGCCTCACCCACCACCAGATCTTCACAGCCATCACTGGCAAATACTCAGTTATTGAACTGCCAGAAGGCACTTCCTTCCTGAACTGGATCCGCCTCGACCATGTTGCTGCTATTGTCGAGATCCACCTTCAGGCTCTATTTGCCCGCGAGGACCAAGTCCACGTCCAAGCCCCTGATTTCCTCGCTGACCCTCTCCAATACATCAACCTCATCCACAAACACCGTGTCTCTCGTACATTTGCCCCTAACTTCTTTCTTGCCAAGCTCCGTACTGCCCTTCAGGATCTGGAGGCGCAGAGCAACCCTCGCAACTGGGACCTCAGCTGCCTGAAGTACATCGCCTCCGGAGGTGAGGCTAACGTCGTCAAGACCTGTGATATCGTTTCGCAGCTCCTGTCCCAATACGGTGCCCCTGTCCATGTCATTGTTCCTGGTTTCGGTATGACTGAGACATGCGCTGGTTCCATCTTCAACACCAAATGCCCGACATACGACAAGGAGCGCTCTTTGGAGTTCACCTCCGTCGGTGCTTGCATGCCTTGTATCAAGATGAGAATCACCGAGGGATCCAACAATGAGACCGTCCCGGCTGGCGTTGTTGGCAACCTCGAGATCAGCGGCCCTGTCGTCTTCAAGGGCTATTTCAACAACCCCACTGCAACCGAGGAGTCCTTCTCCAGCGATGGTTGGTTCAAGACCGGAGACAAGGGTTCCATTGACGAGACCGGCTATCTCACTCTGCAGGGTCGTGCCAAGGAGGCCATGATTATCAATGGGGTCAAGTACAGCCCTTACGAGATTGAAACCGCCCTGGACGAATCGAAGATCCCTGGTCTGGCCCCCAGCTTCAACTGCTGCTTCTCCTACTTCCCCGCTGGATGTGAGACCGAGGAGATCTGCGTCGTATTCTTGCCCAGCTTCGCCCCTGAAGACACCGTCGCTCGTGTCGAGACTGTAGATGCCATATCCAAGTCCGTCATGATGGCGACTGGATCCAAGGCTCAGGTCTTCCCTCTTGACCGATCTCAGCTGCAGCAATCTACCCTCGGTAAGCTGTCACGTAAAAATATCAAGACTGCCTACCAGAAGGGTGAGTACAAGGCTTACAAGGACATCAATAACGAGACCATCTCGCAATACCGTGCTGCCACCCGCCAGAACCCTCAGAACGAGTTGGAGCAGCAGCTTCTTGACATCTTCATCCGCTGCCTCGGACTGCCCGAGAACGACTTTGACGTCAAAACCCCTGTCTTCAACATGGGAATCACCTCCGTCGAACTGATTAAGCTAAAGAAGAACATCGAGGAGCATCTCAACCTGACTCAGAAAATACCCATGATCACCCTCATGACCAACACCACTGTGCAGGACCTCGCCGAGGCCCTGCACGACCTCCAGGCTCCTCATGAGTACAACCCCGTCGTGACCCTCCAGTCACAGGGCTACAAGACTCCTCTCTGGCTCATTCACCCCGGCGTCGGTGAAGTCCTTGTCTTCCTGAACCTGGCCAAGTTCCTTGTCGACCGTAAGGTGTACGCTCTCCGTGCTCGTGGCTTCAACGAGAGCGAGCAGCCATTCCAGACCATCCCCGAGGTTGTTTCCACATACCACACCGCTATCAAGCAGAAGCAGCCCGAAGGACCATACGCCTTGGCCGGCTACTCGTACGGTTCCATGCTTGCCTTCGAGATTGGCAAGGTCCTCGAGAGCAACGGTGACAAGGTCAGCTTCCTGGGCTCCTTCAACCTCCCCCCTCACATCAAGACCCGTATGCGTCAGCTTGACTGGAAAGAGTGTCTCCTCCATCTGTCCTACTTCCTGGACCTGATGACCGAGGCCCATGCTCGTAAGCTCGCCGCAGAGCTGCAAAGCGCAACCCGAGAACAGGCCATGGCTAAGGTCATGGAAGACGCCGACCAGGACCGTCTGTTCGAGCTTGCTCTCTCACCAGAGGCACTGAACAAATGGGCCACTCTCGCATTTGCCCTGCAGAGCATGGCCATCGACTATGACCCCTCTGGCTCCATTGCTAGCATGGACGTCTTCTATTGTATTCCGCTTGCAGTCGTTGCCTCCTCCAAGGAGCAGTGGCGCAACGAGCACTTGTGTAAGTGGGTGGACTTCACCCGTTCCGAACCCCGCTTCCACGAGGTCGGCGGTGCTCACTACACCATGCTGGGACCTGAGCACGTCTTCAACTTCCAGAAGACTCTCCGTGCTGCTTTGGATGCCAGAGGCATCTAAGCAAAATGGTGGTAGTGTATGATTTTCCTTTCTATTTCCTTTGTCTTTTACTGGGAATGGTATTGTGAAGCTGGATCTGGAATCTTGTGTCACAATCTGTGTTCCTCTCCTATCATACCCAAGTCTTCTAGTTAGTTAAATCTCGAGGCGTATGCTCACCAGGTGCTCTCAATCGTCAGTGTGGTAAACATATCATGGTCAATAGTCGTTAATCAATAATCACCGTTGGGTATATCGCCCCCCCCCCCCCCGGCAGGCTCCATAAGGCACATCGTGTCTGGAAAAGAAACGAATAGAGAAACGAGGTCAACTGAGTACGTATACTCAGTTGTTGGTTGAATGCGGATGAGTCAAAACTAGAAAGGTAACCAATGCTTAATTGACTGGAATTGATCGCGAAGAACTAAGTTAAGTACATGAACGAGTGTCCTTGAATATCTTCCTTTATACCAAATAGCGTTAGAACTGTCCCTAGAAAGACACGAGGCAAAAAAAAAAAAAAAAAAAAAAAAAAAAAAAAAAAAAAAGAAGAAGAAGAAAGAAAAAGGTGATGGTCAAGCGAAATAATGGCCTACTTATGGCAAATAGTTTTTATAAAGTACTGTTTGGTTTTACATGGCTCTGCTCACCCGGTCATCACTCCAACACTCACCCTCGACTCTAAAGGCATCATCACCCTTAGAACGGCAACGAGAAAGGGCAAAAATATCAAAACAAAAAGAAAAACATACAACAGCCGGGAATCGCTGGTGGTCACCCACCCAACTACTACAAAGCACAAGAAGGTATCTATATACAAATCATCAAGGATGCTTCATCTTCAAGCCTCAAACTGAAATTCCCGCCTCACTCGCTACGCGAGTGAGCTCGGCAAAAACAAAAACATACAACAGCCGGGATTCGCTGGTGGTCACCCACCCAACTACTAACCGGCCGGCGTGTGGCTTAAGTACGGCTGAGCGGACGGGAAGCCCTGTTCTCCACACCCTATGGTCGTATGTACTATTTTTTACTTGGAAAGAATATATATGCAAATCAGCTGCGTCGCGTTTTCAATCCCCAGCGATTTTATTGCAGTCGAACAAGCAAGCCCTATATTTGATCACGCCTGACCATGACCACTTTGGCAATTCTAATGCCCAGAGAATGAAAAGAGAAGAAAGTAGAGCTTTCTCATGGTAAGACATACTAAACACATTCAACCGAATGGTAATCGAGCTCCGACCACACTTCCTTCTCCAAAGCCCCATGCACCCAGAAACCACCCTTGCCATCTTTCCAGGTCTCAAGTACATTAGAAAGTTTCTTGCAACCGACCCTCCTTAATATTTCAGCAGGGGCAATATCCGGTTCCATATAGCACAACCGTGCCCTCGTGCTGGCACTAAGCTGAAGCTCAAGGTCGAAAAGAGGTAGATGTGCCCAGGAGCTGACAAAGACTGTTGGAAACTTGGACCCCTGGTCTCGAGGTCCAATTGGATTTCCTTGGAAACGCTGGTGTTTGTCAAGAACGCGGCTGAGACAATCTTTCGAGCGAGCATTCACAATAGTTGACCGGATATGAGCGGCTAGGTTGAGGATGGCTTCAGTTTTGGAAGTTGCGGTAATTGTTGGTGGTGGAACATTGACGTTGATAAACGGATTGTGGAGCTGTGTGTTCTCTTTTAACAAATTCTTGATATTGAGGACGACGTTGAAAGGCGGCATTTCTTCTTCATCTTTTGCAACTTTCCGCCAGGTAGGGGAGGCCGTGCAAGACTGTTTCTTGAATCAGTTTCTCATCAGGTCACGGGATACCATAAAGCCCAAACCTTGTAAATACAAGCCAAGAGTATATCATGAGGAGTCACTTTTATCCCTCCCGCTTCCGCTTTTTCTCGCAGATATCCGATCCTGGACGCTGGGATATGAATCGCATTTTCGAGTTTCTCTGGACTCAGCAGAAGTTGTCTGATACAAACCTTGCCAAATGCTCGCCATCCCACTTCTATAGACTCTTCCTGGAACTTTGCAAAGTCCAATGGTTCACCTGCTTCTTTACTTTGCATTTCCCCGGCAGGAAGTTTGTCGCTCAGCTCAATCGGCTGTCGAGGAGTAATGGACTTGATAGATTTACCGTCCAAGAGAGAACGGTATGCCTCGATGATATGGTAAAGACCTGGACCGTCACTTAGAAAGTCCCACAAAACCAGGGGTATGATACATACCAGCAGCATCACAAAAGGGATGTTGCACTATGAATCTCAGAGTGCAACCATCTCGGAGAAGGACCGCCCTGATTGACAGTACAGGAGGATGAGCAATAGACTTAAAAGCCGTGGAAAAGGAAAAGATACCATCGAAGTTCTTCGAATTGCTTTCACGGCCATTGGTGGCTGGGATGACGTCCTTTAGGGAATAGGTAGTCAACGTTTTAGATTTCCAGAATTCTTCAACATCTTCCTTCCCCTTTGAGAGTCGGCCGCCCTGTTTTCCCCTGTCGTTAGATGATGATGGCCAGAGTACCAAGCAGGCTACGAACCAGTAAGTTGACCCTTTCTTGCAGCGACGGCCACGTTTTCAGCAATTCCACCGCATTTCCGCGTAAATGTTTCAGATCAGCCTCTCCAGAAAAGACCAGAGTAGCGCTGAATTGCAAGAATCGTGGCACGCCCATATCAAGGCAATGCAGCGCCATTGTTACTGAATGCACGTAGGAATGCGTATGTGCAGTTTGGTACTCCGTACCACGGAGTACTACGATTTAAAAGTTGGTTCTTCACCATATTGTGACCGCCTGTGATCGACTCTTTAGCTATATATGCAGAATAGACTTTCGGTCGGTCCGCGATAGTGCTAAATTAGTGGGTACTGGCATACATAGTACATACATAGTCCGTGGCCGTGGCGTCGGTGTACCGATCCCCCTATTATGTTTTTAGGCGTATGGAAAAGGAATTTATTGCGAAACCCAAGGAATTCTGAAGAACCACAGGGTATGTAAAGCCCTCAATCTGAGGAAGCCATCTCTAGTTGTGTTACAGAAAGCATATACAGCCAGATAAGTGTCCAGGGTCTAATCAGAACAGCGGTCATGCAATGCATTGCAGACGAAAATGTCATATTATCCAATGGCTCCATAATCCTCAAAGATTCCCAAACGGTCGTCTACCGCAAATGAGAAACCCAGGCGTCTATCCAGGCCCCGATACGTTCGACCCCTGTAGGTTTTACAAAATCCGACAAACAGCACCCGACAAAGAAACATTCACAAGCCACCACACCGTCGCCCGATCATATTAGACGGGGATTGGGCAAGCATGCTTGTCCGGGACGGAATTTAGTGGTGACAGCTCTTTGTCACATTCTGCTGAAGGATGATTTTCAGCTGTGGAGATCACTATTCGGCGGCAAAGGATAGCTATCCTGGGTCAACAGGATACAGGTACGGCAGTTTACAGCAATTAGATTGGATAATTAAGGTCACGTCTAAAAGCAGGTCCTAACAACCAGGCTATCCTTTGTGTGTTAAACCCTAATTTCCGGATTTAACCTCAGCTATCAGCCTCACAAAGAGATCGAATGCCGGATTCGTATTTGGTGACGCGTGGCGTGATAATCGGCATCACATTGCATATCTCCACATAGTATATCCATTTGTGTTACATACGGCTAGACTACAAAAGGAGGTCATCGCCACTTAGTGTAGCCATATGTGTCCACCTGCATCAGCACACCCCGCCGACGCTCATCTTCAGCTCAGTTTTACCATCACGTTGTAGTTCGATCACAATGTATCACAGTGGTATGTCTACATTCTTCAATCCTCTACCTATGCTAACCTGACCAGCTCTCGTCGTCCACAAGTCCGAACAAGCCTTCGGTTCCTACACCATCAAACAACTTCCTAGCGACGATGTCTTCGTGACCAGACGTCTTTCGGGTGCCACTCGCCTGCCGCTTCATACTACTGTCGGTGCTTTTACGGTACAGCTTCCTTCCCGCCCCTCCAATCCACAAGACTAGTACTGATTCTGGCAGGTCTCCGGCTCCATCGACACAGTCTCCCTAGAAGCAACAGTGGCCGTGAATATTTCCGGAATCAACCTAGGCCTATTCTATGGAAGGCCAAGCAGCGGGTTCCGGGTTGATATCGAGCTGGAGATCTTCAAGGGAAGTGTTGAGGTTGAACTGGATGCTTTCGATGAGGTATGGCTTCACATCAGGCCAGCCGGGAATTCGTCCAAACATACAGCGGAGGGCTCCACGACGCATCTCGCAAACTTGCCGAGTCTGGCTTGTGCGCCTTGGGTGTAGGATTTGCGGTTTCAAGTTATTCACGAAGCGAATGAATTGTTTTTATGCTATGTTTATTATTATTGTTTAAGTTCGTCATGTACAATTCACCCTATGTGGTCCCCAGGTAAGCCCTTTGGAGCTACAGACCCGGGGTGATTTTAACTCAGCTGATAAAGATCATGAATCGCTATCGCATTGACCGCAATCCTCATTCCAATAGTTGGGTAATATCCGATCCTTCTGCAAGGTTGAGATGGCGAAGCCCACATAGCTGATGCGACATGAAGAAAGAAATGTCCGGGTTGACTGTCAAAGTTCGTTGATATGGGCGCAATACGATGGCACTTTGCTGGCATAAGGATTGAGTGGATCATTGATTGGTCGCTTGGCTACTATGTCCACTTAGAAATGATCCGGTCTCGGTTATGATTCCTAGAAAAACAAATATACTTGGCATTCTTAACCCAGCCATCAGACAACCTCGTAAGAGCTGCTCCCCTGACGGGAGAGTCGCAAACCAGTCACCTGCCGGCGGCTCTACGAACTCGACCGAAGCCCTCGTTGACGAACCTCCCATCATGACCTGAGGCGCAGAACAGCATGACACTCACTTGTGAGAATGAAATGTGTCGTTATCGTATATAGCAGCAAAAAGGCACTTCATGCATGAAAGAAACGCTGCCGTCTGCCAAACTCAGCTACCTTCGCGCTCCCATGCTAAATGATCTAGGTCGACACTCACTCCTGAGCGTGGTCTTTATTCATTGATCCGGACATGGATAAAATAAAGTATGACATGCTTGATCTTTCCCTTCCTCCCCAGATCAAGCCCACGACATTTCCAAGGATGTCGATCACAAGTGAACCCGAATCCCTGGGCCGAGTGGTCACTATATGTTCCCACGTTTTTCCGGGAACCATCTCGTTATTTACGAGATTATACTTCATTTGGACTCCGGGGTATAATTCTTCGGTGTACTTTGTGGCTCGACTGCATTTGTATTGGAGCGATATACTCCTGAGCATTGAATTCCCGAGACCACTCACAGGTTTAGCTCATTACCTTGGTTGTAGAATTCCGTTACCGTATGCCTGTTGATGGAAGGTACTCCCAACAGTTGACACACTAGCGTTTAGTCTTTACAGCTCTTTAAAACCGAATGTCGATATGCAAGAGTTTCTGAGGGTGTCGGTCACTAGGCGCAACCTGGCATTCGTTGAGATACCCCCATTGTTTGCTATAAGTTTCACATATGCATTTTTAGATCCTTATCCGCTTAGTTATTATTTAGTGCCAATATCGTGTTTGACTTGGGCTGCTTTCTGACACACCATAGCTTTAGCGACGCCATAGTTGTGACTTTTGGTAGGTAGTCATTCTCAAGGTTCAGGGCTGTCTTCCCGTTTCCTTGCGTATGGGTCCAGTATCATTATAATAGTTATAAGTACACCTCGGAGTCTACAACTCGAGAACGTCTTGTCCAGAACGTCTTGAAAGGTACAAAGGCTGTCGTGTACCGACATGTTTGAAAGCAGAATGGAATGTCAAGCCACACTGACAGCGATAGGTAGAAAATAACGAAATGTGTCAGCTGTCTAGAGCATTCTGTATTCAATATCTTAATATCAGTCTAGTTAATATACAATACTCAGGAGCATCCAACTTTAAAAGAGCCAATAACAGTCATAATCATACTTAGGATATCAAATGAACAAAAACAAACAGAATCATTCCTCATGAGCCATATCAAAACCATCAAAACCAAAACCCGCACTCGTAAAAGTGTCCGCATTCTCCATAATCTCCGCCAACTTCTTCAACGGCGCCGGCTTCGTCAAGAACAAGTCCATTCCAGACCCGATAGCGTCGCGCTGGATATCCGCTTGTCCCAGACCAGCCAGGGCGACGATGGTCACGGGTCTTCTTAATGGGGGATTGTCGAGCTGTTTCTGTTGCTCAAAGTCGCGAATGTGCTTTGTTGAGTCGAGACCGTCCATGACCGGCATGGAGATGCCTGGGCATTTAGCTATCAGTCTGTGCGGATGGAAGATGTAAGTATACTCACCCATCAAGATCAGTTTGAATCTGGCCTGGTTTGCTTTGAATGCATCTAGGGCTTCTAGACCATTCCGCGCTACTACGTATTCGTAGGCGAGCTTTTTCATGTATGCAACTAGGATCCGCACGTTGGTTTCGTTGTCGTCTACGATTAGTATTGTTTGTGATGCGTCGGTTGGATTCGGTCTGGTTTGAGTTGGTGATAATGGAGTAGGAGACAGTGGTGAGATCTGAGTCATTCTCACTTCAGGGAGCTTCAGGGGTCTCGTAGATTGCTCCTGGCTCATAAACACCGCTCTGGGGCTTGATATCGCGGGCCGGATGGGCAGACTTGCCTGTTGACCAGCTGACTCGCGCTTTATCTGTTGGTTCGAGCTGCATAGTTTCAGTGTTTTTGCTAGTTTGTGTAGTCCGCATGGCTGGCTGATGTACTCGATCACGTTTATATTGTCCTCTGCCTGGGTAGCGGCATACATATGACTTGCGTTTGCAGGCGACGAGCAAAGGACAATAACCGGGGGAGAGATGCGCTCGTCAGGAGCAGGCGTGATAGATGACAAATTCATATCCTCTCGTGTGACGATGTAGTAGTCACACCGAGGCAGATGCTTTGCCGTGTTTAGGTTTCCGTCGGCTATGTAGATGTGTACATTCATACCAAGCCATTCTCGACATATCTTACTCAATGACGAGCAGAGAATCTCGTCCGCTTTGTTCCATCCTAGTCGTAGGATGGCGATTGATTTACCCTGTGTGATTTCTCGAGTTGCGTCCACTGCGTTCATGCCTAGGGCACCAGGGGGCGCAAACTCCGGGGGTCGTTGGAGGTTCAATTTCGTCACAACTTTGGTGCCCACGCCTTTCTGGGAGCTGACCTTGATCTCTCCGCCTAGAGATAGAACCGTGCGTCGTGTAACATGCAGACCAAGGCCGTTGCCGCTGGACAGGGCGTCTTCCTGGGACAAGGCCGTGAACAGTTCCTCTCGTGCGTATCGTTTGGAAATGCCGACTCCGGTATCCTCCACGGTGAGAGTTACCTGGGATTCTTCCGGCTTGTCGGGGTCATTTTGGTCATCGATCGAAGGACAAGCGTCTAAAGTAACACAGACGTATCCAGTTGACGTGAACTTGAGGGCGTTTCCGAGAATGTTCAGCACGATAAGGCGCCACTTGCCTGCGTCGGTTAGGAACCTCCAACTGCTAGCGTTTTCGAGGACCAGTATCACTTTCACTTTCCCCGCAGAATAGTCGGCCTGCACACGGCTTTTCGGGGAGATACCCATTGGCGTGGATGGTTTTCGATAAGGGCTACTTGGGCCCTGTAGAAATGCATAGCCTGCAAGGACGCTTTCTACAACCTGCTCTAGGATGGAGTCCAGTTGTATCGCGGCGAAGGCGTCCGAGACATCTTTTGCCACTGGATGACTCGCGGTAGTTGTGATCTTCGATTGGCCAGCGGACGATAAATCACGGCCAATATGACCTGATATAGAGTCTCGGGTTGGTTGCTGGAGTCGGTTAATACGGACATAATCGAGAAGGTGGTCAATCGTATCGAGCAATGTGCTAGCACAGGAATTGATCGCATGTACCATCGAATACTGGGAAACAGATAACGTAGTATCACTCAACAGCTCGACAGTGCCAAACACCCCGTGCAACGGAGACCTTAGCTCATGACTGAGACTGGAGAGCAGATCCGATTTGGCGTGCTTGGCATATTCTGCTCCCAGCCGATGAACTTCTGCCATGACACTATTTCCAAGACCGAAAAGGAAGGTCAGCTCGTCGTCTAAACTGAAAATGCGTTGTGGGATCAGCGTCCAGGCAATACAGCCCGAGTACCAGCGTTTCTTGTGCGAATCCCATAACGGCATGAATATAATACTTCGGGCGCCGGGGGCTAATTCCAACAATGCTTTTGCGTCGTTTTGCCGCACTCTCTGCCGGGTTTGCTTGTATTTTCTCGTCCGCTTCACGCCCTGCGCACTGGTGTTGCTGCTGCTATTGTTCGAGAAAACATGGAATGCACCATCGGTATAGTCGCTCGAAGAAGACATGCCGTCTTCTGAGAAGTTGAAGACCTTGCCTCGCGGGTACCGGTGTAGAAGACCCTTTAAGAGAGTCTCTGATATTGCCAGAGCTCTATCGTCGACAGATTCGCGGTTGACGCTGGATGACATGCTTGTCGAAAAAGCGAGTATATCAGATAGTTTCGTCCATTTATCTGAATCGTGCAAATTTTTTCTTGGAGCAGTGTCGCCTAGAGTAGAACTTTCTGGCCCGCTGAATTCCGAATCAGATCGTGAAAGACCAACCGACGAACCGTAAGATCCGAAATTGGCGTCGAAATAGGCGACTCCTTCCACTTCGATAGCTTCGCGAGCGATGTTGGCCGCACGATAAAAAGCATCTGCTACCTGTCCGGAGAGAGAATCAGTAGTACTGCCCCCATCTGATGCAGCTTCCATTTCGGGTTTGATCGACGGCCGCAGATAGTGAGTGGCAGGTTTCTCTTTGGTAGCTTTGGCTGCTTGCGCTTCCTCATCTTCCATCTGCTTCGTCTGCTGTGCTAGGTTGGTTTGCCCTTCCATCGCGTCTTGGTCTTCGGACGCTGTTCGTCCTTTCCGCCGGGATTCCAACCAGGAGTTGTGTAGACTGCTTTTCCTTTCAAGGAAGCTCCCGATCCCTACCATCATACGTTCGGTCCGGTGATGCTGAGATTTTAATCGTGTCGTTTGTAAATAATCCATCACCGTTTTTGACATGTCTCCAAGGAACTTGGCGAGTTTAGGCCCCAGCGCCGTCCGAGGTTTCCCATCCAGAACGGTATACGCCCCAATAACAACCCCCTTTGGGGATATAATCGGAACCGACGTGAAAAAGCGCGCATAGGGAAACCTCTGGATATCACAAGACCGAGCAAAGCGAGCATCCTGTTTGAGATTCGGTACCATCACGACAATCTTCCCCGGCCAATCGCCGGAAGTAAACAGGTCGAAAACGTACTTGCAAAAGCTCCGCTCGTAGTCTAACTGGCAGCATCCTACCCACAGCGCATCATCCCCTGGGTCGTGGTTGGCATCGTCCTGCAGACTGAGTGTTCGCGTGGCTTCGACTAGGACGTATTGATTGTCCCGGCCAAAGAGAGAGATCATTGCTCGCTGTGCGTTTAGTTTCAGAGCGCCCATTTGGGCAAAGGCTGTAAGCACTGGATCTGGACACGATCGCGGTACGACATCTTTTGACTGGGCGTCGTTGGAGATGTAATGGCTGTTTGGGCCTTGCAATAAGTATGATGGTAGATATCTGGTGAGATGGTCAATGGATAAATTCTCAGTTCGTTCATGGTGGAAGATCCTGTCTCACTTGTTAACCTCACGTTCTTGCGAGGCGCTGATGTTGGGAGTTGGTGATCGAGTTGTCATTGTACATTGGAAAAATATAACAAAAATTAAGAAAATTCCTAACTAGCAATGTATTCTCGATTTAAAGTGATCAGTACAATTGAAGAAGCGATAGAAAAAGGTCATTCCTTTTTTTTTTTTTTTTTTCTCTTTGGATTAAATGCCTCTTCCTGGGGAAATAGTGGTTGTCCTTCCCAGTTTTCCTACCAGTCTAAACCTGATTATCGCCGGAAACCGAAACGAAGATCAGGTAGAGGTCAAGTCGTGGCCAGTCATATTGTGCTGAAACCTTTTCTGAGATTTAGTGTTGTCGCTGACTTGTGGATGTACTAGGGCTTGCAGACTGCATATCTTTACACAATAATCTCAGGACAATAGCAGTGGTAATAAAAGTCTCATACAGTGTTCTAACGCCAGTCGAGATCGGAGTCCTCCGTACTGCCCAGGATAACCGGTTTATCGACCACAGCGAACATCCTGATCAGGCAGTACCGTGGGCAACACTCCCGGTAATTCGGAGCGCCCTTTTATACCCCATAGAACCAGGGAACAGTGCATTTCAGGTAGGCGTAGTGGGTACAGCTGAGCCAACCGGTGGTATTTCTGGAATACCCCACAAAAGGCCTTCGGCCGAACGCTAGGCGAGCAACTCTAGAACTATTCATATTCTGAATACATTGTAGTGAACAAAGATAGTTGGTAACTAAGGGTCAATACTGCCTGAGGCAGTAATATTCATGGGCTGGCATTGCATGGGTATCAGTCCCGATAAGGGACCGGGCCAGCATTTCTGTCTTTGAATGCGGTCGTTGAGCTCATAGTCAACCACCTTGCCATATGTTGTGTATCTGGATCAAATACGACTCTCAAAGGAATATACTGACAACTTGAACGGGATATGTACGGACTTTCTAGGCCCCCGGACTCAAAGCATGAAGAGCTACTGTATTCGTATTCATCTGATAGATAGCAGTAAGGGTATATTGGAAACATTTAGTCCGTCCTCCGTCGCACATCCCGACCATCCGCTTCAATATTCGACCCATTGATCGCATCCATAACCAACTGCCGTAGTTGACCCTGCGCCGCTTCACTGTGGAAATCCTCCCGAGATGCTAGTTCATCAATCCGCCGCTTAAACTCCGTATCCACCTCGTCTAATCCAGCGCTGGCCTCCTGCTCAGACACAGTACCCAGATTCACATTGATATTCGGTGGCAATGGGGGTGCTGGGTTCAGCGCATCTGCGGGCTGTTCCGGCGGCGCAGCAATCCCAGCGACTTCTCGGAGGTATGCTGCGACTTCCGGGATACCATCGGTCTCAATCGTTTCGCGCGCCGTTAATCCTTCATCGTTCGCTTTGTTATGGTCCACGCCAAGTTCCTCGACCAGGCATTTTGCGATATCGACTCGTTCGGTCACAAAGAGGCAGGTTTCGCCGTCTTCGTCGAGGAGGTTCACGTCGACATTGTATTCCTTTACCAGGGCGCGCAAGAGATCGATGTGTCCGTACGATGCCGCCGCGTGCAGCAAGGAGTAGCCGTGCTCGTCTTGATCCGAAGCGATGGAAGGGTTCTGGTGCAGCAGAGACAGAACTGCTTGGGGGTTGTCCGCCGCCAGGACGTAAGCGTTGGGTTGAGTCATGATGACTGTGAGTCAGTTAGTTATACAGTCATAGCAACAGTCATACCAGAGTATGCGATTCACCTTATACTAGTCAAAGCAATAAGATAATTAATGATAGATAGTGGAATGAAGACTCCGTCGGCGGCGGCAAAAAAAAAAAAGAAATCGGAGCTTTGTTTTTGCTGCGGGGTAGGAAAAAAGAGTGACTCTTTTTTCTCAGTTCTTACTCAACTCCACCACAATCCCTCAACGATTCCTATAAAGAAGGGCGCTTCGTTTTTGTCCCTTGAGGTCTCTGACCTTGTTACAAAAAGGACAAGAATTCCATCGTCAATCCATGTTTAGTTGAGATCTCGTGCCTTCATCTCACCCCGCTTCCTTCCCTCTCCTACGCCGCTCCCATTCCTCCCCCATCGACACATCGCGACCATGGTGCAACAAAAGGTCGGAGAAGTCGAGCAGCTCGTTAACAGTCTGAATGCGGCGACCAATAAGTCCAAGAGCGAGGGAAAACGTACCTTCTCTTGCAGGAAGTCCACCTTCCCCGTGGCCCTCACGAGCATCTCCGTCGACTCGTGGAAGTTCCTAGATCACGAATACAAACGCCAAGATCTCCCTACCTACGCTCGAGGCCTGTTTACTACGCGAAGAAAGGATGGAACTGCTGAAATTGTAACCCGTGGATACGACAAGTTCTTCAACGTGGACGAGGTGAACGCGACACAATGGCGCAATATCGAGACGCAGACACGGGGACCCTACGAGCTGAGTGTGAAGGAGAACGGATGCATCATATTCATGTCGGGATTGGAGGATGGCACGCTGCTGGTTTGCAGCAAACACTCGACTGGAAAGAGGGCAGACGCCGACGTCAGCCATGCTGAAGCCGGTGAGCGCTGGGTCGAGTCGCATGTTCGTGCCGTGGGCAAAACTGCCAAGGATCTAGCCCGGGAGCTGCGCGAGATGAACGCAACCGCCGTGGGAGAGCTCTGTGACGACACTTTCGAGGAACACGTTCTTGCCTACGACGAGACCGCTGCGGGTATCTATCTCCATGGTATCAACTTCAACGTGCCATACTTTGCGACGCTTCCGGGCTCAGAAGTACACAAGTTTGCCGACAAATGGGGTTTCAAGAAGGCGAATTTTGTCCAGTTTGAAGATCTTCAGTCAGCCAAGGGATTTCTTGACAACTGCGCTGAAACTGGAACATGGGACGGTCGAGAGACCGAGGGATTCGTGATTCGATGCCAGAAGACTGAACCTGGTTCCGGGGTTTATGGGGATTGGTTCTTCAAGTACAAGTTTGAAGAGCCCTACCTCATGTACAGACAGTGGCGTGAATGTACCAAGTCGGTCATCGCTGGAAAGGTCCCCAGAATCAAGAAGCACAAGAAGATTACCGAGGAATATCTGCAGTACGCTCGGAGACAGCTGGTCAAGGATCCCAAACTGGCAAGGCTCTACAACCACAACCATGGTATCATTTCTATGCGCGACGGCTTCCTCCGGGAGCGTGGCCTGAACGGATCTGAGATCATCGCCATGGAAACTGAGGCTGAAGGTCAAAATGATGTGGAACACAGTGTGGTCCTGGTGCCTGTGGCCTCTCTCGGTTGCGGTAAAACAACTGTCGCCGTTGCCCTGACCAAGCTATTCCGATGGGGCCACGTACAAAACGACAACATCGCCCAGATGAAGAACAAGAAGAAGAAGTTTGTGATTGATATCACGAACTCCCTTGCCGTGTGCCCGGCTGTTATTGCAGACCGCAACAACCACATGAAGCGCGAGCGGGAGCAGATCATTCAGGACATCCAGGAAATCGTCCCGAATGCCCGGTTTGTCGCGATGCAGTACGTCCACGAACCCAAGGGCCAAATGTTGGACGGCATCCGGGAGGTGACTCGACGACGTGTGCTAGACCGAGGTGACAACCATCAGACGATCCGGGCCGGTAGTAAGAGCACGGACGAGATTATAGGTATCATGGAAGGATTCCTGGGCCGGTTCCAAGGGGTTGATACGGAGCGGGCACCGGATGACAATTTCGACGAGGTTATCAACCTGGACGTTTCTGCTTCATCCCGGGAGAACCTGGAAAAAGTCGTTAACGCTTTGCACTCTGCCTACCCGAGCCTGGTACCCCAGGTGCCTTCAGCACAGGAACTGGACCAAGCAATCGATTCGGCCATGCACGACTATCAAGTTGAACAAGATCTCAGCTTCTCCTACAGCAAGCAGAAACAAAAGCAGGACACGAACAAGGGCAACAACAACCAGCAGCAGAAGCCGGCCGCAGGATTACCCTCGCCCGTCGCCCTCGCCAAAAAGATCGAATACTTCAACATTTCCCTCCCCGCAAAAGAAGTCTCCAACCTCCTCCACTCCCTCTTCCCGCCATCCACCCCGCCCGAAAAAGCCCGTCTGTACCACCAACTGGTGAACTCCCGGCGCGTGCAGGCCACCTTCCATGTGACGCTCATCCACCGCGCCTCAAAGAAGGACCACCCACAGCTCTGGGACCGCTACTTCAAAACTTACATCAACAAGTTACACGAGAAACACAACGAGAACCCCGCCGATACCTCCGAAACACCCCCCTTGGCATCCGCGCGCATCCGGCTCGAACGCCTCATCTGGGATTCCCGGCTCATGACCTTTGTCGCCCGCATCCTACCCTCGGACGACGGCACCGCCAACAACGGTGGCGCTGATAACAACGGTGACGGTAGTGGCAGTGACGACGGATTCTGGCCATGCGCCAACGCCCTCCCGCACGTCACGGTCGGTACGGTGTCGCCGAATATCAAGCCCAAGGAGAGTAATGACTTGCTGGCGAAGTGGTTACAGGTCGGCTCCGGGGGTGAGACGGGAATTTGGGAGGCCGAGGTTCCGGGTATCAAGGTTGTGCAGGGGACGGTGGGGGTTGTTATGAGTCGGAAGTAATTTGTTTTATTATGTCTTATGATATGATACGAGTAATGAAAGAACGGGACGAATTTGTATGGAGTATGGTGTCTGCAAAAGGAAATCACCACTTAGCCAGCATGGTATTACAATATACATATTTGCATCATTATCTACATCCCCAGCAAGTCTCCGTAGAGTATTAACTATAGTACTTTTACCGATGTTGTCGGTTACGAGAGCAAAGGCGACTAACCAGTCACCCAATTCGTAACCCGCTGCGCCCCGAAGCGCCCCATATACGACAACCCCGTACTGCCCATCGGGAAGTAACTGACCAAGTACCAGATCAGAGCGGCGAGTTGGAAGATGGACGAGATGAAAGTGAGGATGGTGGAGTGGAGCTATTCATTGAGTTAGCATGGTCATGTGTACTTAGGTTCAGGATAGAGAATGCAGTGCAGCGATATCAAAGTTTGACGGCACGATGCGCCTGTAGTGCACATGCAAGGCCTGACTCGTATAGATAAGTTAAGGCGAACTTACTCCGATGGCAAAATACAACGTCAGCGTAATCGAGCCGAAATAGGCAGCCGTAAAAGGCAACCGAGATCCCGAGATCAAATGCTTAGCATAGATCAAAGGTCCCATGAGGACCGCCCATGACAGCAGAAACAATAGCGAACCGACCGACCATCTGCAGAGCGAAAACCGGTTAGTTAGTATGAAGCGCTTGGCAATAATAATAGTAATATGGAAAGGCGAGTGCGCAATGATGTGCATCAACTCTGACGCGTGCCTCAGCCACGCATGATGAATGCGATGTCCACATTCCAGGAAGAGGTATGTCGGGGGTTATGGAGATCCTCGTGGCATCAGGGAAGAACTTACAGAATGGCGAATTTGCGGGGTTTCAGCGATAACACGGGGAAGAGGAAAAAGCAAAGAAAGAAGCAGACAGCGGCACCAAGGTTGCATGCCACAAATATGAGCATCCGATCCCATCGACTTACTGCATATCGTTAGTTTTGTTTCACTGTCACGAGTTTTCTTCTTTTTATTTAATGCAGGTACAGAGTGCGTCAGGTGGACTAGGCAGTATAACATAACGAAATAGGAGCAATAATAGATTGATCACTTGAGGGTTGGATTGGTTGGTACTTACAGGCAAGAATACTGTCCTCTTCATCACGCCGATTTGCCGCCGGTAACGGTGCTCCCGGCGATTCATGAGTAGGCAGCTGCACATATCCCTCGCCTCCAAACGGATTAATTGACTGTAACCGAGATAGGAAGGACGTATCGTTGCTGGTGCGGACGGGGAGGTCGGGATCGCGGCGGGACCAGCCCAAGGAGCTGACGGAATCGCGGAAGGATGTTGAAGCCATAGATTATAGATTCCACCAATCCCGATGGATGGATCGATCGAGGGACGAGCGCAAGAAAAAAAAAAAAAATAAATAAATACGAAGCAGGCAGATGCAGTACGCAAGTGTCAGTCAGCGGTCAGAACAACGTCTGCAGGGACTATGCACGACGGAAACCAATGAGTATGTGCAGATGATCTGCAGATTTGAGCAAGCGATGACAGTGGTTGTGATAGCGCGCAATCACAACGGTGGACCAGATGACTGGGAGGATACAGGGAACGAGGCTCGACAAATAAACGGACGAGGTAAGCGGAAGGCGATAGTGATTAGCTTGTGATCGTCTCCCCGGATCGTTGATGAGAACTCGTAGGATACCAAATAACGAGAGAAATCTCCTGTTTTCGCAAAAGTTCACGCACACCCTTGTCGAGGAGGTATCAAACTAGCTCGTCCAGTAGTATATCCGGGATGGAGTATGGTGTGCGTCGGGTGTATCCGGTTGCGACGTCGTCAAGCGCGCAAAGTGACGGACAGAAAGAGTATGCGCAAGAATGCGGAGATCCTCGAGAATGGAGGGGAAGGAAGAAAACAAGCAGTGCGAACCTGCAAGATGATGCTATTGCTGATGCCGGTGCCGGTGGTGCTGCCGTATACGGAGTAAAAACACAGGATGCCCGCGTATCGAGAGGTAACGTAGGAAGGTTTTTCGAGGCGACGATCGTCCTGGAAGGCTGCAGGTTTGGCATCCAATCATCAGCTGACAGCCTCTTTTACTCTGATTTCTAGTAAAGGAGGGGATGGAGGGGAAGTCAAATCGGAGGGTGGGTAGATGGTTTCAGTTCAGGACACCGTCGTATCCACCACCACCACCATCCTGGTCTTATCACATACCGGTATATTGACTGTGTTCCGCGTAATTAATCTAGAACATCTGTTCTTTTGTCGTGGTGAATAGTGGTTGCTAGTGCAGCAGGAGTGGTGATAGTGGTGAGGTGGACAGTGATGGCGGTGATGCTGAGCTTCGGAGCCGGGAGGATTCGGTTTCCGATGACCAATCAGAGATCAGAATTTCTAACTAGTCCTAATTAGGCACTAGTCTCTCGGGGCCCCGCTGTCTCCACCAATGGTCCGCGTGCGATGAGACAGTATCACATCTCATTGGCTGTGAATATATATACAAACTCACGCTAACCACGATAGGCATATCAGTTATCTCCAACAAAACTCCATCGTGGGCGTCCCGTGGGACATGCGTCCGCACAGACCAAACGGTAACCGTTGTTTCTGAAGTATGGCGAGTCATGGAGAGGAGACGTGCGGATACTGTTTGCAGAAGATTCCCAGTGGCGATCCGACTAGTACTGCAAGTACATACTGGTAAGTATTCACACCATCTACAGCGTCTTTGTTCGATGCGTGATACTATTGCTCGCTATTGTCTACATGGTTTGTGTACTCCTTACGCAAACCATATATTCGCTAAACCTTGACGGGCCGAGACGGCAATGTTGAAAGTCAAAATACCATATTTCCTATCGATATCAATAAAGAAGTTGCCTCGTATGTACTCATGCCCATTCGGAGGTCTGATTGGTGGATGCGAATCGCATTCCGCATGTCAAATGATTTGATTTCACGACATTCCAGTTATTCGATGTATTTCAAATTATCGTTTTATGTATATCCATATCGGAGGAGTTCTCCGTATGTACGGAGTACATAGTACTCTACACCGCGCGATCCGGCTGAAATTCTTCGTGGTCGGAATTTTTATTTATATTGCTGTCGTCATGAATAGAGTTGAAGTTGCACTCCTCTCGGGAATCGACGTCATTCCCTGGCGGGATTTGCATCTGCAAGTGTCACGGACCCGTCTATCGTATCTAATGGTGGCATAGATCTGTCTGCTTCCGAGACAGTAACGCTCGGATGTCCGTGGCTGTACAGTCTGTCGAGGAGACGCGATGCAATTCGCCTGTTTGGGTGTCTGTATCTGAGTAAGATGGGGCCTAAGTTCTCCGGGTTCATCGCTGTGTTGCTGTACTCCCGTCTGTATCGGTACACTGGGCTATGGTCAGCCTTAATCGTCGATCTTAGATGGAAAATTATTGCATACAGCGTCTGCAGGTAGAGATCGTTTCTTTTTTTTTTTTCTGTTCCACATGGCGTGCCGCTAGTACTGTACACGGATTCCCGGATGCCATTTTCTCCCCTCCTTCAAGAGACAGGATAGGACAGAAAGGAGATTCTCTTAGACATGGTATGCTCGACTAGGCATCTGATACATTCTCTCCAAAGCGTGAGTCATAGTAGATTGAATGCCACAGCCTAATTGGCGAACAGGCGCCAAACAGTGTTCATGGGATAAGGCTTGCCTTCCAAAATAGTACCAGACTGTACCACCATCTCGACTTGCTCGATAGTCTTTCCCCCCTCCACCCTCCATCAGCATCCATAATCAGCAGCAGTCGGAGTTAGGGTGCCATTACCCCCCCTCAAGTCAGGAGCAAGTGCCTGGGAGTTAGCTCCAGCCTATCAGCACCCAGCTTCCCACCCTCCTCTTGAGGACGCCGTTCTGATTAGGGCCTGTGCAGTCAGAAACATAACATCATCGTCATGGTTGAGAGAAACTCTAGTTAATCAAGCTGGTTGATATGAATCGAATGGATCGACATCCTGCATGACTATCACCCAGCCGTATATCAAATGGGAGGCGTAGAAGAGTGTCCTGCTCGTCTTTAAAAAGTCCGTCTTTTCCCCGGCTGGTGTAGTTCTTTTTCACTTTTCCACACGGCTCATCCGTCCTCCTTGCCGACTCCCCTGAACTGAATTCATCCCATCTGGCGTAGCTTCTCTGACTGGCTGGAAATATAAAAGGACAGCATCTCCCCGTCTGAATTGCCCGACTTTAGCCATATCCAACCTTAGGGTTGATGCGACAATCTGACCTGATCTTTCACATGTAAGTCATGATGTTTCTTTTGTCATACCAAAGAGAATACGCGACTGTCACAGTCGAACGAGGCTGTCGTTGAGTTTCTCTTTTGGGGATGCCTGTGCGGCTCAGCCACGTGAGATTCGCCATCGACTTCCTCTTCCTCTTTCTCTTCCTCTTCCTCTTCCTCTTCCTTCTTCCTTCTTCCTTCTTCCTTCTTCCTTTCTTCGCCATCATCATTATCCTTTGCTTTTTATCACTCTTATCTATCTCATGCATATGTTCTGACAACCAAGATTACCATTTCTTCTAGTTCATCTGTAACCTGACTACTGAGTAAGTAGAATATTTCTTTTGCTTTTTTTTTCTCGTCATTTCCTTCTGTCATGGTCAAACTCCCGCCATCATTACTGCCGAGTACCCTCGGATTTAGAACCCGTCCCTAAGGGGTCTCAGCAAGTAACGCAAACCCCTCTTTGCCCCTCATCGGAGAACGAGCCCATGGAAGACGAAAATCCACTGGACAAAGCCAAACCGCCCGAACCGCCTCCAAACTCACGTCGGAAACCTTACATGGGTGTTTCAAATGCCTTGTTTCTACCGTCCGAGGGCAGATCGCGGGAAAGGGAACCGGAAAGAGAAGGGCCTCTGCACAGTACCTCAATAAGTAATACCACTGGAAATCAAGGACCTTGCAGCATTTCTGAGCACCCCGATCGAAATGAGGCCATATTCTTGATAGACACTCCGGGTTCCATGGATGCCATCCACGAGCACCTCATTGTGGCGGATCAGGCACACCATCCACCAGCGCTTAGGGATACGGACATGCACCGATAATTTCGGAGACGGCAGAAGAAGCGATACCAGGAAGACATAAAATACAAATAAATAAAATATTGTCTACCCCGGACAGTTCATGGCATATCGATTATCGCCATATACTGCCGGCTTTATCTCCGCGGTGCCTGACCTCACCGCCTACTGGATCTGGCCACCCCACTCGTCGCATTCGCATCTCACCTCTTCTTGTCCTTCTCCCCACGGCATTTGCCTCTCTCACTTTTTCTCTCTCTTGCGACTCCCTTGTTTCATCTTTGTCAGATCTGTCCCTTCCAATACGACTGACTCTTGTTTCTGTGGCTCCTCTGGTCTTTTAAATTCCTTCCGGATTCCTCTGGGGCGCTCTCCTTGATATCATCCCGCATTGTTCCAATCCGTGTTTGCCCTGGACCCATTCTGGGCATCGTTTTTTCCTCCTTTTCTCTTTCCCGCCAACTTATGAATACGCCTTTTCACCTCTCTTGGCCTCATTGCTGATATATTTACTGTTTTCTTGCATCTTTTTCTATTATTGATTACGATCGCTTACAGTGAATCTTATCAGACTCGGAATTATTTTTCTTCGTGCGCACTGGGCGGCAACAGTTACCTTATTCGGACAAATTAATTCAGTGCATTCCCTGCCGATTCAGCCGTCTGTCAAATCGCTTTCGCTTCCCCAACAAACCCTTACATTCCCGGCTTCTACGGACTACACTCGATCGCCGGAGTACTATCGTCCGTGAGCGTATCCACCGTCGAGGGCTGATTATCGATACATTCGTGTCTTTCACATGAACGCCATCGTCTATAAGGTAGGCAACTCCTTCGCCCCCGGAATACAACCTTGGGGCATACTCTTCTGTGAACTCTATTCTGTCATCTTCTGAAACTCTACACGTTTCACGGCTGTGAATACGTGGAGAAGAATTTCAGAACTGACAGGATTTGACTCATACAAAGGTGCTACCAAGGTCGCGGACGAATTGTCCAGGGTCTTTTCAGTGCAACACGGCTAACTCTTATGCGCGATCACAGATACTTGGCGGCTCACATTTTTATCTACGTCTTTGCGCCTCGTCAATTTCATACAACGCAAGCATATAGAACTGTGTGGCGTTTTCCATTCGACTTTCATAACACATAACGTTCCTCCAATTCAGGAACGTCGACTTGTCTGTGAGTTTCGACCTAAACCGAACGAGTAATCGGCCCAGGGCCGGTGCAACGAGCTACACCATGACCGAAGCAAGCCTATACATAAAGAATGAGCCTGACGAGAATAGTGATTCAAATTTTTTCATCATGTCGCACTCCGGCTACGCCATGCCTAATCAGTTTGGCAGCAGCAACAACAACAACAACGAGGGCATCGATCCCTCCGACCTAACAATGCAGAACAGTGGTTTCATGTCCTTTCCCTTTACCTCTCAGCAGAATCTCTCGTCGAGTTTCAACTTCGGAAACTCCGGGATTGATACCGATGAGCTGCTCGACCTCGAACTCAGCGGCCAGAATGGCATGCAACGGAACGATAATATGAACTTTATCCAGGAACAGCATCCAGCTGGCGGAGTTTCCATGAGTCACCCAGGCCAAATGGGCCATGTGTATTCCAACACTCCCGATGCTTCTATGCAAAATCCGTTCATGCAAAACAATTTCCAATACGACCAGTTCCGGAACATGAACCAGCAGGCTCAGTCTATCCCAACCCATCTACAGCGCTCCAATTCACAGTTCGACCAAAATCTCCTTGGTGCCAAGGGCCGTCCAAGTATGCAAGTCCTCGACCGATCGATATCAGACTCTCGCAGCCCCATGACCCCGAAGACTCCCGCCATGGGTGGGTTGACCTTGGGAACCCCGGAATCTGGCAGCTTCCCGAGTCAGCCTATCCGTACAGCGAACCTGCACCATCGACACCAGAAGACGCTTTCGAACCAATGGGATGGCACTCCTGGAAGTGGTCATTCTTTTGGCGAATCGCCTATTTCGTCTCCACCCAACCCAGCCCACCACGCCGGTATCTCTGAGATCCTGAAATCTGGAAAGCACGCTTCATTGCCTGCCAAAGTGGATAACCACATGTCTGGACACATGCCGGAGCAGGAGACACAAGAAGCCAAACGCCGTCGCCGCAGGGCCTCTCACAACCTAGTCGAGCGCCGTCGACGTGACAACATCAACGAACGGATTCAGGATCTGTCGCACTTGGTTCCTCAGCACCGATTGGAAGATGACAAGGTCCGGAAGCAACTGGTCAACAACACTATGTCTCCATCGGGTAGTAGCACGAACGCTGCCACCTCGCTCCTCGCCGGCGGCAATGGTCGCCGGGCCACTGCAGGCAACATTACGATGGGCTTGCCCATTGAGGAGAAGGAGAAGGGTCCGAACAAGGGCGATATTTTGAACGGTGCTGTGAGTTGGATGAGAGACTTGATGTGGTCCATGCACGTCAAGATGCAGCAGGAGTCGGAACTGGCCGAACTGATCACTAGTCTCGGTGGAACCTGGCCATTTGAGCAAACGGAAGAAGAGAAGCGGATGCGCAGCGAGATCCTCGAAGCCTTGGAACGCAACGACCCTAGCTCTTTCAGCTACACTAGAGGCCCCGGTAGTGGTCTTCGGGTGCCCAAGCACACGAATTTTGCGGGTGATGCCGTGTCCGGACCCGGCGCTCTCAGTCCCCAAAGCTTGAGCCCATCATACAACAGCGGTGCCAGCAGCGCCCCGAGTACTGGCCCCGGCCAAGCGCAATACTGGAACAGCTCGGGCCATGCTGGGATGAGCTTCAAGGAAGAAGACGAGTACGCAATGGAGATGAACTAGACCATCTCTGTACTTTCAGCTAGGCTGATCTACAAGTGCATGTCAAGACATGATGCATATTGCATACAAGGCGTCAAACGGGGGACATGACAGTTTGACCGGCGTACGGGTGACATATTTTCAGATGTCACATTCGTTTTTTTTCTCTTCGAGATTACGCGGTTGCTTACCTGGGATTATCGTTTTCTTTTGTTGTACAGGGGTACATGGGTTATGCGCTTGTTTTGCTGGTCTTTTGTTTTGCTTATTTGATGTTTCTTGTTCCTGCTTAATGCTTTCGAATGGTTTATCATGACAGTCTGTCTGTTCGAGAATGATGATGATGATGATGATGATGATGATGATGATGATGATGATGATGGTAACGCTTCGGCGATATTCCTCTCTCCATTAGGTTTATGCCTCTACGACGACATTTATACATTACTCTCGTCCTCGGGGTTAATATCTTATTCTTCTTTATTTTGCATGCTTTTGTGTTCCACGGTTTACGTCGATACCCTATGTTTTGTTTTTGTTTTTGCTTTTGCGGTTTGTTATTACCCACTCGTGTTTCTTTGTTTTTCTTGAATCCTAATTGGTATATGAGCTATGCGAGTGCTTGAATGAATGTCATCTTTTTTATAATTCACTGCTTTGACAGGTATGCATGGTTCACGTCTATATAAATTTGTTTACTTGGTTACCAGTCCATTGAGATACTCCACTTTCTATTAACTTTCTACAATTCGATCTCAATCCATAAATATCGAGGAAATAAACTAAGGTTACTCCATAGATATAAGTATCAAATCGGATCAATCGCATTGCATACCCAAGATCCTCCGTTTATTTTTTATCATCACCCGGCCATAAGGGTATCTGCATGTCATTTTCCTTTTTTTTTTTTATCCAGGTCGTGTCAATCCATAGGCATATCCTTTTCATCCACAATTTCCTTTTATTTTAACACAAGTGCACTTACTCCCCCCGCATCTTACGGAAAAAGTCCATAACACCAGTGAACACAACCAACAAAATACCACCACCAGGGCCCAGACGCAGCACCTTAGGGGTAAATCCCTTGTACAACGCACCGAAGCCCTCCTCCTTCATCACAGTCGCAATAGCAGGCCACGCCCAGTTGTACTTGGGCACCTGTCCGGCAACCTTGGAGGTGTTCTGGATGCGCGACTTGACGACGTCCATGGGCGTGTTCAGCACGGTACCCATGATACCACCGACAGAACCAGCGATCAGGTCATTGCGGGTCTGCTGCGCCTTGTTACCAGGCTCGGCCTGGGGCAGCTGCGAGCGCACCTGGAAGATACAGCCGAAGTATCCTCCGTTCCACAGGATGTGGCGCCACAGGGTGGACTCGAGGCCGTTGTACATGGCCAGGGGACCCTCGGCCGCGACAATCTTCTTGACGACGTCGAACATGCCGTTGTATTTGCCGGCCGAGGCGCGGTCTTGGAGACGGATCTTGACAAGTTCGAAGGGGACCACGACGAAGGCTTCTGTGGCACCGGCGGTGGCACCGGTGAGGGTTGCGAGGGCTTGGGTTTGTTTCTCGGCGCCGAAGAGGTTGCGGTAGAAGGAGCCCCAGCTGTCGTTGGCGGCGAATTTGGTGGCGCGCTTGGGGGCTTCCATTAGGATGGGGGCGGAGATTCCGCGGTATAGACGGGAGGGGCTGTTTCTTTAGTACTTCTTTTCATCCTCATTACTTGTAGGGTGCGTACCCCTCATTCTTGATGATCTTGCGGAAGCAGTCGAACATGCCATTGTATCCCTCTTCGCTTGCGGCGGCAACGTTGGTCTGGAGTTGACTGCCTTCAATTAGCACGCGCAATGAAATCCAGGGACAAACAAACGTACACTCTTGTCTTGACCACATCCAACGGGTACCTGTTCACATGTTAGCCAATGCGCCCGATCTCGAATCCGATTACGATGCCGATATCGCCGTGTGATAAGGAATTATTAATCGCACATACATGATAAGAATCTACGAGCGTATGAGAATTAGCAACTGGTCTTAGAGCCCTGAATAGAGAATGGGGGTTTAGAATACAAGCATACCTCAGACACACCGGCAACAGCACCAGCAGCGAACTGGTAGCCGAAGGGGAGCGGCTTCTGGGTTGTGTTTTGGGACATGGCGGGGGAGAGAAATGGCAATTGGCCAGCGATACAAAGAGAGAGGAGAGTGAGAGAGAGAGTTAGAAGGGTAGAGAGAGAAAAAAGAGGAAGAAGAGGAGACTGGAAGAGGAGAGAGGAGGGCAGTGACTGACGCTCGGAGAAGCTCACCGGCAAAACACCCGAATCTCGCCCAATCCGGAAAAGTGCCCCCCCGCATGGAGACTTACCGAAGTGGGCAGTATACAAACAGGCCATTTTCCGGAGTACATATTACAGAGTATACAGATGACTATATTCATTCAATGAATTTGATGGACATACAACCATCATCATGAGAGCGCCAACACTAAAATAACTGCTACAATCAACAGCATCCTCCTGTCCAAGGACCTCCCGCTAACACCACTAGTCTCTTTCGCAACAGTCCCCGTCGCAGTTACACTCCCTCCAGCAGAAGCAGTACAACTAGCTGAACCACACGCGAAACCCGTCGGACAACATCCCCCGCCCATACTCTCATCACAGCCAAACCACCCACCCGCACATGTCGCAGTGCTCGTGCTGACAGCCGGCGCCACGATAGTCTCGTCGTTGTTGGACACGACGGCCGTCGAGGATATCGTTGGGCAGGAGGTTGTATCGCAGTCGCGACCAGTGCGACAGCATCCGCCTTGATATACGGCTGAGCAGGCGTAGAATCCGATCGGGCAGATTGAGCCTGTTTCGCTGGATGATTTGGAGGTTGTGGCTGTTGAGAGACTGGTTGGTCGGGCCGGGGGGACGAGGTCGTCGGAACTTGTCTTGCTGGCGGTGTTTGTACTGCTAGGGACGTAGCTAGATGGAGGGGTCGTATACGTCTTCGTAGACACAAACACCGTCGAATGGAGAGTAACCGTCACAGTGGATACGTAGGCACCTAGACAACAAACCGACTGTTAGCTATACGGACTCAGTTGCAAACGGAAAACATAAGCAGAACATACAGCCACCATCAACACACTCATATCCCGGAATACAACAACCCCCTCCCAGCTTCGCCGGACAGGCTGTATACCCCGACTGACAAGACCCAATCACCCCAGAGCACGTTTTTCCCTGCGGACAACATCCCACATCTCCAGACCCGGTATCTTGGACTAACTCGCAGGTATCTCCGGTTGTGCAGCAGCTGCTCGGGCGGTCGATGGATGTGCACCCGGTGGTGCCAGCTGGACATTGGAAGTCTCGTTGGAAGAGGGAGAGGCCTTGTGCTAGGTTGATAGAGGCTGGTTGGTACGGGTAGGATCTTGGTTGGAGATTGTCATCATCGTTGGTGTCGGTGTGATTGCCCATCGATAATCCATCAGAGCCATCATAAGACCAATAATCCGGGAAGAACTTCTCGCCCTCGTCACTGCTCATCTTCCTCACGCCGCGGATCGCTTTCTCGCCGGCATCGCGTTGCTGGATCCGTGCACCTTCGTGATGATGATTCTCTGCGAGCGAGGTCTTTGAGAAGAGCGAGAGTATTGCTAGAGCGTGTATGAGGCGCATTATGCTGGTCTTGTACGGAGTAGCACAGGCTTAATCACTGAACTGTGGTAAGGAAAGGGAGATCATCGTGCTGATCATGAGTTTAAATAAGAGTCTTGTTTGAAAGGATCCATTTTTTGTTGTCTGGGGATTCATTGGTTGATTGTTGTCTTGGTGACTGGTGGCTGCTGAAATCCGATGGCTGGTTGGGCACTGTTTCACCGCCTGAGATATAAATATCAATCAATCTACAGAGTACACGATGGATGGAGATAAACATCGAAACCACAATAAATTCAATCAATGCCAATGTAACAACGCTCTGATGCTAGAATACTTTCAATGATAAACATAAATAAAGGGACGGTGATCCATCCCACATAACAGGCCACAGCAACTTGTGGCGGGTATCGTCAACACACTAAATGATAATAGACCACCGGTTTCAATTCAAAAATAATGCCAGTCGAGCCTAAGACACTCCGAGGATAGCGCATGCTTAAGCAGTGTCATCCTTCGCAGTCTCGGCTTTGCTCTTGCCCTCGTCGTCCGATTCCTTGGCCTTCTCGTCCGCCTCTTCTCCCTCTTTAGCATCCTTGTCATCCTCCGCAGGCTTCTCAGCATCATCGGTCGAATCTTCTGGCTGCTCAGCCTCGCCCTCTCCAGATGCCTTCGCAGCAGCCTTCGCAGCTTCAGCCTCAGCCTCAGCCTTCTCCATATCCGCCGCTCGAGCCTGTATGCGCTCCCAGACATCTTTGCGCACGCGGTCATCCTTGGCCCGACGAAGTCTCTCCGTCTCCTCCACACCACCGCTCTTCTTCAGCTTTCCTTGCTCGACGAATGCACCCAGTTCTTTCTGGAATTTGCCGATGCGGCGGGTTTCCAGTTCCTTTTGTCGTGCCTTTTCTGCCCGTTCAATGGCTTCGAGACGAGATTCGTGGTTCGGTTGCAGGGCACGGACTTCGCCTAGGACACCATCCTTCGCCTTGAGTGGGTCGGCTGCCGGATCAATGGCCAGGTTCCGCCCTGTGGGCCGCAAGGTGACCCCGTTAGGAGTCTCGTTCGACATGGCCTGTTGTTTCGTCGCCTGTTCGACCAGCGCAAATGTCTGCGAAGCCTTCTCGAGGTCATCTTGCAAGTCGGCCGCGAGATCTTCCTGCATGGTAAGCTGGTCACGCTCCTCACAAACCATCTGGAGCTCCTTCTCCCAAATCTTGGTCCAGATCGGCTTCTCGCGTTTCAGGAACTCTTGCATCTTCTTCATCTCCGTGGTAACTGCAGCGATATCCTTGCTAACAGTCTCCAACTGCCTGGGCAGCGGACGCACACCGCGAGTGACGACATCCTTGCGGAGGTCTTCGACCAGATCCTGAAGGTCGTCCACACGCGACACCAGTCGCTCAGATTCATCAGCAAGCTCCTTCTTCCCGGAATTGATACGAAAGCGACCCGCATCTCCCTCAAATGACGGAACAGCAACATCTGCCGCAGCGTTCTTGACGCTGCCAGCCTTGGAGCGAATCGAGCCCATCGAGCTGGTGATATCAGAGCTAAAATCGGCGTACGTTTGGCGCAGAACGGCCAGATCCCGGCGCAAGCTTTGAAGCTCCGCAAGCTGACTACTGTCGGCCGAGATACTGCCCTTCTGAGTCCCAGCAACGGCCTTCGGGGAGCCGGAGACCTGAACAGGAGGTGCAGCCGCCAGACGGGCCATCTCCTTGGCCGCCTCCAATTGACGGTCTGACACACGCTGCATCATAGTCTCATGTCCATCCAGAGTTCCTTTGATGCCTTCGACCAAGCGTCGGACACCACCGAGGCCATCGTCAAAGTGCCTTCGGACTTCATCAAGCGTGTCCACGTTCAACACCAGCACCGATCGATCCTTGACATCCACCAGGTCTTCCAATTCATGCCGGACACCTGAGACTGGATCTTGAATGTAAATTTCTGGAAGGTCCACTCCATTGTTGTGCGTGTTCCAGGCAAACTTCTCAATAAAAGCCAGCTGAAGTCTTCCAATTGTGAGACCACTGGGACCTTCTGGCAAGACATACTTCTTAATCTTGCTCTTGTACTGTAAGAAGAGGGTCAGTTCCTTTCCGGGAGACGGCTGGTCAGAAACATATTGAGCACCGCGAGGCGGCGTGGAAACATCCGTCGAAGGCCGTCGTTGATCCGACGTCGGTGTCCCCGGAGCAGCCACCGACTCAGCACTAGAATCTTTCGTAGGTTCAAACGCCTCGCCAAGAGAAGGCTCTGGAGGACGTGGAAATTCCAGAGAGGGTTCTGCAACTGTGGGCTTGTCCAACGTATCAGGTTCAGGTGTAGGGCTCTTCTTGCCATCCGGAGTCTTGGTCCTGGCGGTCGCTGGATCGGGAGAGGGCTCTGCCCGGGGTTTGTTGTGCTCATCCTCAGCCGCAGGAGTACTGGTTGCTGGTGATTCCGACGGAGTACTCTTGGCAGAAGATGGATCTTGCAGGCGATTTGATGACTTTTGTCTTCCATGGGCGGTTGATCCTCGTAACCGCACAGCGTTCAAGGACTCACGGACATCACGGCCTCGGTTCGGAATAGGTGTCGTTTGGGTCGGAAGCATAGGCACTCCATTGGAAGACGTACCCAGGTGCTTTTGAATTTGATATGCAGAAAACCGCCGGGATGCACGCCGTTCCAACTCGCCACTTCGTTGAAGAGCTCCCAGAGCGTCATCTTGTTTCGGTGTCGGAGGTGGAGCTGGGTAGGGAGAGGAGGCTTGGGACGACGGAGCCGGAGTGACTTGCTTGGGAATCACATCGTCCGGAGCCGATGATTGGGACAGGATGTGCTGGGCCTCCTGTCTGGAGGCTTCCCGTTCGGAATAGTTTGTCCCTCGCAATTCGCCGTACCCAGCTGAACTCGTTCGGGGCATGGTAGACGGGTCTTCGGCAGAACCATTGCTTCCATGACGACGTCCAGTTCTTGATCTGGGGGAGGTGGCGGTCGTTGTGGCTTCCTCATACGCCTGATTCATAACAGCCGTCTGCCCAGTCGAACTGCCTTGCCGTCCTGAAGATGACCTACTGTCATCTCTTTGCTGCCGCGATCGTAAACGAGCTTGTTTCTTTTTCAACCCATGCAGTAGATTTATGATGATATCCCGAATCCGTGGAAGATAACGATCGAGGCTCTGTGGCGACGCATCCTGACTGAGGGTATCTTCGAGTATGGTACGGAGCAGGTCTGGCACGGGGCCTAGATCAGATGTATCGACGCCGATCGCATTGAACGCACGACATGCCAGGTTGAACTCGTATCCCAGACGTACGTAGACGTCGGAAACTTCGTTCTCCGAGGCTTGTCTCCGGGACCATTGTGTGAGTGTTTCCAGTAACTGCTTGGTTGCAACGAGAAGATGGGTCACGCTTTTTTCGATTTGGGAAATCTGCTTATCGGGCTGCTCATAGAGAAAAAAGTAAATATCATCAGCACGGAACCCCCGGAACGAACGTGGACCGCCAGTCCAGCCACTCTAGCCACTCCTCAGAACTTACCACGACGGTTCTCGACTGTTGGGATCTGGATGAACTCGACGACGAACTGCGAGGCGCGGAGGACTGGGACGTCATGGCCGTCTCGACACTGCTCCCCGAACCGGTCGAAAAGTGTTGGGGAGGCGGGCTTCGTGATGGGCCAGGACTTCCGGTGGGATGCGGACGCTGGGAACGAGAGGATGAGGAGCGCATGTATAGGGCTGATCAAGGGAAAACGAGAGAGAGAGAAATAAGAATAGATTCCGATTAGAAAGGATTAGAGAGAAAAGACAGTGAGAAAAGAAGGAGGCTATAAAAAAAAGATCAGCTCGCACAGAGACCAGGCAGGGGGGCGCAAATTAATATTGCATCCCAGGAAAGAAAGAAAGAAACAAGAAGAAACGGGAAAAAGCACAGAGTCACCAGCCTCTTTTCAACCGACTCAAGATTCCTGCTTGTCAGAAAGCCCAAAACAAGCCAGAGCTGTACTAGTGATGGTGGTGATAGTAGGAGTGAACTTCGAATTGGGCCAACATCTGGTGGCTACTACTCCGCCGGTCACATGTCCACTGCCAGCCTCCGCCTTTTGTTGTTCTGATACTTTTTATCTTTATCTTTGTTTCAATTGCTGCATGTTTTACTCTGGGGTACAGATAGGGTTATTGCAGAGACTTTTTTCTAGCTTCTATGCATTCTTTGGGGAAGTGATATGTCTATTACTGGCTCTTAGTGTCCGGCGGGGTGCCTCGGCTTCCCGATGTCCAGCATACAGCTCTGTACCTAGAGTATAGAGGATATGGTCACCTCAAGAAAGTCTTTATCTACGAGTAAGGCTAGCTGTACAAAAGATCCTAAGGCTCTGTAGATATCACGTGAGCATCAATACATACAACACGATACGGATACAGCATGAGTATTAATCCGACAGCTCGTGGCAATTAAAAGGCCTAAGCTATGCGAAGACTCCTAGGGCTGTCAATAGCCAGTCATGTCTCCGTATGCAGAGGTCATCCTTACTCTGACTTGGCCCAGTGCCCAGTGCCCCAGTCTTTCATCCCTGATCATCTCGAAGATGCGGTATGTCTGGTACATTGAGTCGGTTGCCAGTACCTTGCTGCTGAAGATCATCCGAAGAATAATCAGCACTAACACCGTGTAAACATCTGTTTCGAGTATTAGTGTTGAAGATGGATTATGGTGGATTATGAGGAAGATTGATGGTTTCTTGTATAGTGCCCGAAATCTACAAGCATTCTACTCAATATTCTGTATATCTCTGTACCTGCCATCTAATTTCAATGGGGAATTCTTTCAGACTAGCCCGTCCCATTGTGGACCAGTGTTATTAGGTCATTATGGGGAACACACTGACTACCGAGTAAACTGAGCGCATTTGGGCGTCTCAGGCTCAGCGTCTACAGAGTAGTTACTCAGTAATCTTCAGCGTGGATGGAGTGCTGTAGAGTTGGACACCTATGACTTTATTCATGGCATTATAAGCACATAATGACACGGAACAATCGAATTGATGTTTCTTAAACAATGCACTATGTAACTGTAGGTAGTAGAGTACCTGAGTCTACAAAGTTACCACTACTACTACTACTACTACTACTAGGTGTAGCTCCACTCCCGTGACCAGACCCTCCCGAACCAGACCTCATCACTCCTCCACACTACCTCCAACGACACCTCTTTACCTGGTCTCTTCGTCTCTTCTGACCACGACAAGTCAACGACTGACTACGACTCTTTTTGTTTCTTTTCTTCTTGCATTTTGCTTTCTCTCCTCTCTCTTCTTGTTGCGGACAGTCAGTTGGATCTGCCCGCTCTGGACGCCCCCCCTTCGTCCCCTCCGCTCTCTCTTTATCGACTCTCTGATCCACATACCCGATCTCCTGCTCCCTCTATCGCCTTTCAATTCCATCATCAGTGTATTCCTCGTCGTCTGATCCGCCCTCCTCGATCTCCTCTCCTCCCTCCATATCCCAATTCAAACACTAGGCTTCGGTGAGCCTAGGCGGTGTGCGTTTTCTTGCGTGTGGGCGGCTGTCTCTTGTGTGTGGCCTTGCGCCTCAGTCCTCGTTTTAAACCCTCCTTAACATTGCACAAAGCTTGCGTCGTGTACGGTTCCACGACGTGAGATTGTTTCGATTGACGACCACTAAGCCTGATGGCTTCCACCGTCAACTCCGCGTCTACTGGCAACAACGCATCGGGTAATGCTTCGTCGCAGAATCCCACTGGTAGAGCCTCGTTGAGGCCCAGCGCTAGCACCAGAGTGCCCGATAATCGACGACCCTCCCCTGTTGATGGCGGCCCGAGGTACGTTGTCTTTTTTTTTTTTTTTTTTTTTTTTTTTTTTCCGAATTTCCATTTTCCATGGGATGAATTTTTTTTTTTTTTTATGTTTTTTGTTTTTTGCTTCTATATTTGTCGATGCCTCGATTCCCGTCACTTTCTCCATTTCTCTCTCTTGCTCGCTCTGTTGGATTTCTGGCGTCATCGCAATACACCGCTGGTCTTTGGTTTCGAAAGAAACTAGCTACGGAGCATGTTAAATCGTCGATATTCATATCTCTACGTCAAATCGTCGATTGGGTCGAATCATGGTTGATGTGTGCGGTTGGCTAACACGGTGCTTCTCCCGCAGACGTAGCAGCTCCCAGAAAGCTTGGACCCAGGGAACGAACCCCATCACCCAAAAATACTCGCAACAAAACGGCAACATGGCCCATCAGAAACAATCTGCTTCTACCAAGGCGCCCAGGGAGACCAACACCTCGGACAACCATGCGCATGACCGCTTGATTTTCTTGGTTACCAGCTTCATTGTGAGCTGACCCCGCATAACATGTGTTTCCGCAGGGCTGCAGGAGCTAACTGGTTCTTAGGGTTTGAACGCTGTTGTCACCACTAAGAACGGTGAGAAGTTCACCGGTATCTTCTCTTCCTCGACCCTTGAAGCAAGCGAGTCGTCCTTTGTGCTCAAGATGGTGCAACGATCCAAACCTGATCAATCGCGATCCAATGGAGTTAGCGATGTTGCTGCTCCTTTCTTGGGCTCACCTCCCGAGCACAGCATGGTTTTTGATGCCAAGGACGTGTTGGACATCGCTGTTGCAGACGTGTCGCCGGCTGATGTCACAACAAAGACGTCGAACGGTATGCGAGACCAGATCTTTCGTTTATATCTCTTTTTACATGCTGACACTTCTAGTAGGAGCTTCCGCTGGCTTTAGAACTGATTCCGATATTTCCGGAAACCTCGCGACCCGTGAGCGGACCTTGAAGCGTTGGGAGCCGGCGGCGGATGATATCGAGGCGCCCCTTGAAACCGCGACTAACACGACAGGTTGGGATCAGTTTGAAGCCAATGAACGCCTTTTTGGTGCCACGAGTAACTACGATGAAACCTACTACACTACCACAATCGACCGTTCCGACCCAGCCTATAAGCGGAAGGAGGCTGAGGCCGCTCGTATTGCTCGTGAGATTGAAGGCGCCGACACGGACAATCCTCATCTCAGGGAAGAAAGAGGATTGGCACCGGCTCAAGGTGTAGGCGAGGATGAAGAGGAGAAGTACAGCGGCGTTCGTCGTGATGAGAAGAATTTCCCACCTCTCGTGTCTGGGCAGCCGAACAAGTACACTCCACCGGCGCGACGACAAGCTGCTGCTGCCGCTACTGCCGCTCAGCAACCCGCTACGACTGCCGGTGCGCCCTCGAAGCAGCCAGTGGCCCCGGTTCCAACACAGGCTAAGGAACAGGTTCCTCCTAAACCCCAGCCAGGACCGTCGACCGCAGCAGCTAAAGCGGCCACTGACGCGCAGCAGAAGTCCGTTCCCGACAAGGCTACCGCAACAACGACTGCTGCGCCAGCGCCCAAACGGGCGGCGGACAACGCTACTGCCAACGTGGAAGCCGAGGTGCTGGACCACTTCCGGCAATTTGCCAACAATGAGAAACTGAAAATGCAGGAGCGCCGTCGGAACCAGGTCTCTTATGATCGCAATGTCAAGTTGAATGAATTAATGAAGTTCTCCAAGAATTTCAAACTTGCCACCCCGGTCCCGAAGGATCTGGTTCCTATTCTCGCAAAAGACCCTAACAAGCAGGAGCTGATTGTCAATCGAGCTCAGGTGCAACCTGAAGACGAAAAAACGACCAGTAGCAGGGCCACTCCAGTTACGGCCGACCAAAAGCCCGCGCCCCCTCGTGGCCCAGGTCCTGCGAGTGGATCAGTGCCTCCGCAGGCGCAATCGAATCTCAACCGTGGTCGCCAGATGTATCCTCCCACAGGGCCCAACGCTGGACCAAGTGGGCGATTCCAGAACCAAGCACCGCAACCGGGCCGCCCGAGCACCGGCATGCTCAGCCACCGTCTTGCAGACAACCTGCAGCAGCGAAAGGGAGCCGCCGTGGGACCTGTCCCGGCGCCCTTGCCCATTCAGGATGCCCGTCTGCCTCCCTCGGGCCCGGCTGGTGAGCGATCTGGTGTCAGCAGCCCGAACAAGACGCCAGTATCTACGAAGTTCAATGTCAGAGCTATGGAGTTCAAGCCTAACCCGGCTGCGAGCTCGTTCACTCCTGGCGCTGCAGCAAGTCCGCAGCCTGCCTTCAGAGGCCGCTCCATCTCTCGCGCCGCGAGCCCGTCTGTTTTCTTCGGAACGAAGAAGCCCCGTTCCATTACCGAACGGCCATCTCTTAACGACCAGTTTAACCCTATCAAACGGATGAAGAAGGAGACTGCCGAGCAGGCGGACAAATTGTCCTTTAACGGTGGCATTCCTCCAGCTTATAGGACTATGCCAACCTGGGACGTCCCTGCCGGCAATAATGAAAAGACTTACTTGCAAATGTTCAAGCCGCCGGCCACCGTGCCGGGCATGTTCCCTCAGCACCGTGCCGGCTCCAACCCTCAACTGCCTCATCAGCCTCAGATGCCATTCCCATTCCAGCAAGCGGCTCCGGGTATGCCCCCGGTATCTGGCCCACCACACGGACCCCATCTTCATCCTCAACAGCACCACTCCGTGCCTCCTCATTTCGACGACCCTCATCGTATGCAGTTGTCGTCTTCGACCTCGCAAATGTTCCCATCCCCCAGACTACAGCACAACCACGTTGCTTACCCATCTCCTATGGCCCCGCATGCGCAGCTGGCGTTCCAGCAGCCCATGCCTCAGTTTTACATGAACCAGGGGGCACCTCCGCCCCCTCACATGAGGCACTACCCGGGTGCCCCACAGTTTGTCAATCCACAGGGAGCTATGGCAGCACCCATGATGGTCCAGCAACCTTCCGGCGGTCCTTATATGGGGGTTCCTCCTTACAATCCTCAAATGCAGATGTATTCACCCAATCCCGGTCAGGCCTATCCTCAACATGCGCCTCCTCCTCAGCCTCATAGTGGATTCCCGAGCCCTGGCCGGGGCGCCCCAATGATGATGCATCAGAATTCCCAATCCGGTCAGCCGCCCCAACCCGCCATGTTCATGACGCCTGGACAACCGGGGCAACCTATGTATCCTGCTCAACAGGCAGGGCATATGCCTCCAGTACGCGGAAATTACCCCCAGCAGCAACCGCACTTCCAGTCGAGCCCTCGTCAAGCGCATCATTATCCCCCTCACCAGCATCGGACCCCAAGCAGCGGCTACAACCAGGTGCCGCAAATGGCGCCTCAAGTGCCCCCCTCTCAACCACCGCCGGCCGCATCTCATCCTCCCGAAGCTGCTGAGAACGAAGTGAAATGAATTTCGAGCTTTGGTCGCAAGACTCCCCGCCGCGGCCATCTTCAACACTAACAAGATGTCTTTCACATTTTGGTTTCCGCGCGCTGGGGCTTTGCAGGGATTCGACCAGGGGGTTTGTTCACAATTGGCAACTTCAACAATTTTGGCTCAAAGGCTTGATTTTTGTTTGAGGCTTTCATGTGTCTTGAATTTCGTTTTACAGTGGTCTCTATATCAGGGGAGGTTGGTGAGCTATCAACAATATTGCCGGTACGTTGCACAAGTATGTCGATCTGCAAATGGTCAGTGGTGACTTCCTTCAGGTGGACGGCCCTTACGTCCCATCCGACAGTTGGTAGCGCATGGGGAAGTGAGATTTGTATATGCCGAATTGAGGCGCCTGTATAGCTGGGGATGAGTTGCCGTGAAGTTGCGAGGCCATGTTCTGGTCGGAAATCTGCGACTGAATTTCCGAATCATCTGTCCGATGAGACTGGATTTTCATGTCTTACGTCAAGGCCATACGTATCAACGGAGATAGTCAATGGCACATTATACATGTTCAATTTTCTTCATCCATTTTGTAAGACAATAAACCCGCCCGTGTAGCAGTAAAAAAGAAAGCGAGGAAAGCATCGTAACCAGCAACTTCCCATCAAAGGTAACGGCTGTTAATGAAATAGGGCACTCAAAAAAGAGAGCCACAGCCTTGTCTCGGGAACAATATCAAGCAGTCTCAATGCCTCCACACTCGCCCAGAGGATATTGTTCTATGCATATTCTAGAAGGGTTGGAAACTTCACTCCATTTGCAGTGATCGTCTCTTTTCCTATCCCCTTGAGTACAACAATCTATACTACCTGTAATTCCCATGCTCGAACCATGCAACAGAGATATAAACCCCCCTGAATACTCCCTCAACTTGAACATCATCTTCTCATCAATCACAAGCATCTTTTTACTCTCTTCTGCCCAAATCGAATACTCAACAAAACTCCAAACCCAATCAATCAAACCACTACATACACCAAAATGGCTCCTCCCATTTTCATCCCCACTCCCACTCCTACTCCCGGCGGCGGTTCGCGCAGTGGTGAGTTTCTTCCCTCCGACATTGCCTTATCTTCCCCCTCCTTATTTCAAATCTAATACTGACTTGGGTACGTTATGGTTATAGATATTTTCTACCAAGGCTGCGTTATCGTGTAAAGCAGTCCAGCCTGTCCGATCCGGTGGCCTCCAGGATGAGGTCTGCGATACGAATCAAAACCGGGCCTTGCAACCGCGCTTTTTTGATAAGGAGTTGGCGTTTAGATGGTCACTTTCAGAATGGATAGATGGAAGGGAACATTCAATTGTGATAGACGGGGGGTATGTAATATAAACGGCTATCAACGATATTCTATTGTCAACAAGATTTTCCCATCGTAGAAGTTGTGAAGTCGGGCCCTGTCGACATAATCAGTCAATGAGCACAACCGGCCGTAAGTATGGCAAACACGAGGTAAACCAATAAGAAAAGCAACATCTCCTCAGGTCTTTTCAGTTTATATTTGGACATCATCCAGCAGCCCCCAAGACGAAATCGCAACCGCGGTACTCATCCTTCCCAGCCCAAGACCAAACACCAAGTCCACCGTAGCCCCCGGCACCGAAACCAGTCGTCAATCTCGCACCAGCCCCAACAACAGTTGACAACATCCCGCCTTAATCCCTCGTTCCCTCTTCTCTCTCTTTTGTCCCTCTCGTCTGGCAGTTGCACAGCGACCACGTTTGTAACGCGCAACCATGTCCGCCGTGGCCATTAGTTCCTGTGATCTCCCCATGGAAGCGCAGTGGAAAAAGGAACCCCAGATAACGGCCTTAAGTCAAGGATTTGATTGATGTACACATGTCTTTCCAAGGCCAGATGTCGTGGATCTTACGACTTCGACCTTATGCCTTTTACGGTAAAAGCATGTGTCTGCCAGCCTGTTTTGAGGCTATGGACGAGGAGAGCAAAGGAGAGATCCAAGTTCGCGAAGGGATAAGACAGAAGAATTATCACGGAAGTTGAGGACTGACAACGAGATATCTTCCTGGTTCGATGGGTCGAGGGAGGGGATTTTGCTGTCGGTCTCGGTTTCGCGCTGGGAGGGGAAGAGTACGCTTCGGGGAGTATGCGATTCGTGGATTTGGGGGTTTTGCGCGGTCTGACCTTTTACCATTGGGTCATCATTGGAGATGTGATGCTTTTCTGGTCTTTTTGTAGGGAAGAGGGGAGCTGGGGCGCGCACCTAGAGCTTTGCTTGTGGCGCGTGTATATTGACTGGCTGTTGAGATTAGTGGCGTTATCTAGAAATAAATAAGGTAGCGGTAGCTCAAAGCATTATCATCAGACTTTGAAGAGTATAATCATTTTGAAGTGTTTGTCGGAGAGCATGTTTGCTGTTCGGTGGTGAGAACAAGATATGGAGCTCTAGGCGGAGGCCCTAAACTAAATCGGGGCGTGGCATTATTGCTGTCCGCCCGACGAATATAAGCAGGAGTAACCACTCCCTCTACTGCCCCGAACTGGTCGAGCTGGCCTCTCTTTCGTTTAATACCTAATATAACTCCTTCCAGCGCGGAGAAAAGGCCGCCCTATCAGTCCCAACCGGAGATTATCCTGCATCCTGGCCCGCGTTGCCATTTCAGCGCCAAAACCCGCTTGCCTGTCACCCTACGCTCCCTCTCGCCGTTAAACGATATCGTTCTTCTCGTTATCGCTATGGATTTCCTCAAATCCGCCGTCGCGTCTGCAATCGCCAAGGGCAGCTCGTTTCCATATTCGCTTGGCGACAGAGTCGATATTGGCGATTCGATCTGGGCCCTCCATAATGCGACGAAACGGGTATGCATGCAATTAGGACATTTGGCGCTTTCATTATTTGCCGCGGAATACGAGGCTAAAACAGATTGTCTGTATTTAGGAGGATGGCTCGCCATGCAGTGTCTTCACCTTCGATATCGCTTCAAATAAGTCCCGGCTGCCGTTAGCGAAGAATGCGATGCGGAAGTCGAGAACATTGAGACACCCCGGTGTTATTAGAGTGATAGATACGATTGAGGTACTTGGACCGATCTTATGCGAATGCAGCGGCGCAATACTTACAATTTTTAGACGGAAACTAGCATCTATATCGTGACTGAGCGGGTTGTCCCTCTATCCTGGCATGTGAAGCGGAGGAGTCTGAGCGAAGAGACGGCAAAATGGGGATTACATACTGTGTCGGTGCGTTATTCTGGTAGACGACTACGTGCTGTCTAGGTGCGAGGCTGATTGATCTGGTTTCTAGTGCACGATCAAGTTTATCAACGAAGACGCTTCGTCAGTTCACGGCGCCGTCAGGGCCGCGTCAGTATTCGCAAGCGAAAGCGGAGAATGGAAACTGGGAGGATTTGAAATCCTTAGTTCAATGAATGATGAGGATGCGATTATCTATGTTGGTCGACCACCTTGCGAAAGAGGACTGAGCGTGACTGACAAGCGATAGACATATGGCAGTATCGTCCCCGATGCGGCTCGTTATACACCCCCAGAGGTTTTCAAAGGTGGCTGGGATATTATCAAGCGTCATCCGTTAGCCGCTGTTGATTCCTATGGACTCGGTATCCTGGTGTTCGAGGTCTTTAATGGCAGTTTTTCGGGAGGGGACCAAATTGGCAAGACGACAAATATTCCACCTAGCATGCAGCAGAGCTACAAGCGTCTTTGCGCCGCTAACCCGAAAATCCGTCTGAGCCCGGCACACTTCGTCGAGCAAGGCAAGAAGAGCGGAGGGTTCTTTCAGACACCGTTGATCCGGTTAACAGATGATATTGAGTCTCTAGGTCTTAAGAACGATGCCGAGCGGGAGGAATTTATCAAGTATGTCTCCGTCTTTTGTCCCTCGATTCGGGTGATTCAGTAGTATTGACTCAAATAGTGAACTGGATGAGCTCTCAGAAGACTTCCCAGAAGAGTTTTTCAAGATGAAAGTACTTCCGGAGTTGCTTAAATCAGTCGAATTTGGTGGTGGCGGTCCCAAAGTCCTTGGGGCTATTCTGAAAATTGGATTAAAACTATCACCAGAAGAGTTCAATTCCAAGTTGATGCCAGTCATTGTCCGGTTGTTTGGAAACCCTGATCGAGCTCTCCGGGTCTGTCTGTTGGACCATCTGCCTCTGATAATTGACAACCTCCCCCAAAAGGTTGTCAATGACAGGATCTTCCCTCCAATGGTGAGGTATCTGGTGTGTCTTGCATTGTAAAGTTTAATGCTGATTGTTCTCTAGACTTCTGGTTTCACGGATGTCGCACCTGTTGTCCGAGAACAGACCGTCAAGGCTGTGCTGACGGTAATCAACAAGTTGAGTGACCGTACGATCAATGGAGACTTGCTCAAGTTTCTGGCGCGAACGGCCAACGATGAGCAACCTGGGATTCGGACAAATACTACCATTTGTCTGGGGAAGATTGCCAAGAACCTGGGCCAAGGTGTAAGCAATCTTTATTCTAGTGTTAGCTTGGAGATGCTAATATGTTGGTTAGTCGAGATCGAAAGTCCTCATCGCGGCGTTTTCAAGAGCCATCCGGGATCCTTTTGTTCATGGCCGAAATGCCGGTTTGATGGCCTTGGGCGCGACAATGGATTACTTTACGGAGGAAGACTGTGCGACTAAGGTTTTACCCGCTGTTTGTTCTGTACTTCTTGATAAGGAAAAGTAAGTGAACCTCCATCTTTTCGGTTACTCCTCGCTCACATTTTCCAGGATGATACGAGACCAAGCAAACAAGACCATCGACCTATATCTCCAGCGCATCAGGAAATTTACCAGCACAATGCCCGACACGGCGTTACCGTCGGCCGACCCGGAAGAAAGCACCAAGGATGCAGCTCGTATCGGAACATCGAATGACAACTCGTGGGCCGGATGGGCAATTTCATCATTCACCAATAAGATCACGACAGCTAACGGTGAGATTGAATCAACCGCCAATGGCAAGCCTGCGGAGTCGGACATTGCCCGTTCTGCATCTGCACCCCGTTCAACCACGTCGACCCCCGCGGTGGAGCCGAAGCCGGCCAAGACGATGCTGCGACCTGCAGCCCAACTCAACCGTTCGGTATCAGAGCAACCAACGTCTGTCTCCAAAGTTGAGGAGCACGGAAAAGCGGACGACGATGTCTTTGAGGCGTGGGGCGCCATGGAAGATGACGACGAAGAGGAACACCCATCGAAGGATGACGATCCCTTCAGCCCTGTGACCCAACCCAAGCCTTCGCCTAATCTGAGAACATCGCCCAGACCACCCGCTGTTCCGTATGATGACGGCGGGGAGCCCGATTTTGCCGGGTGGCTGGCTGCGCAGTCCAAGGCCAAATCGAAAAAGCCATTGCCAAAGGGACTGAGCAAGCCAACAACCACTTCAGCAGCCTCTCGCACTGTGAATACTCCGGCAGCTAAGTCGAAGACAGTTGTCGCACCAGCCAAGAAGATTGATACGGCGCCCAAGGACGAAGAAGAGGATGATGGATGGGGGGATGCGTGGGATTGATGTGTTCTTTCGTTGCACTGTTACTGGTAACCATAGACGGCGTTTAGGAGCACACTCTTGTAAACATACCCTTAATGAAACAATCCATAGAGACAGAAAATCATACAACACAAGCCCTCATTGCTAGTACAACAACATGACAGCCAATCAGCGACCGGCAGCCCCGTGATCGCCCAACGGTTTTTCTCCGCCGGTTCGACGTCTCTCCGCCTCTTTGGTTCTCCTCGACTTACTACTACCACTTTCAAGACGGTGGACTGGTTTGTGTATGTGGGTTAATGTGCGAAGGTATGCCTGTAGTCTTCTTTATTGTGGTTGATGCTTTGCTAAACGAGCGGAACGCTGACTTCCCAGCTGTTGACACACGTTTCCCCAGTCGGCCGATGTCATCTTACCGTTGATCGCGCGATGCCGGGTCGTTGACCTATCGAGACCTATCCATTCCTTTATCCTTCGACTTTTTTTTTTTTTTTTTTTTTTTTTTTTTTTTTTTTTTGATTTTCACCTTCATTACCGTCTCTCCCTATACATCCGTGATGGATTCCGAAGAGGCACCTCCTCCCCCGTACTCCGCCGTCGACCCGAACCCAAACAATCCCCGGGTCACGGGTGGTGTCAATGGGGGACACTTGCATTTACGCGGTGGGAATTCGCCATTATCAATAGCCACACCGGGGAGTAGCTCTAGCAGTGTGCTCATCGGCTCCCCATCATCGTCATCCTCTCGCTTCACGCCTGCCAACTTCGAGTCGGCCGTCGCATACTTTACCGAACGACCGCCCACGGTATTGGACGATGGCAGAGAGATCCTGCATCACCATTTGACCATATACCCACGGAGTCAGGCGAAGGATTTTCCCCGTCGGCCGCGGTGCTGGAATTCGCGGAACGAAGAGATAACTCAGCAGGACTGGGATATGTTCTTGAGGTATCTCTTTCCTCCGAATTTGGGACTGGCGTCTGCATCGGGACATTTGACGCGGCAATTGAGAGCGCAGATCCAGCGGGATCGCAAGGATAGGCCGCAGGAGACGGATGAGCAGCGCAAATTGCGGATTACTGCTGTGGTTACGGAGTGGAACCAATGTTTCTTTGAACCTCGTGCCGCCAGGCTTTTGTTTACCTATATCACTGACCCGGGGAATGCGCCGACAACTTCGCTTTGTCCTAAGTGTTACCCTGCTGCGACGAGGGCAAATCAGGAGAGTCGGCCTTCGCGGACGCAATCAGTATTTAGTCGAGGGAGGCAATCGTCGCAGTCGAGTACGCCTCCAGCAACTCCGGGACAACCTGCCACGCCGCCGGTGAACAATGGTTATGCTCCTCGGACACATTCATATCCCCAACCATACGGCGCGGCTCCTGTACCTTATGCGCAGGCGCCGTATAGTCAACCTGCGTTCTATCCACCGGCAGCACCTCACAACGCTTATCCCGCACATGCATATCCACCGCAACCACAACAACCATATAATTACCAACAACCATATCCATGGGGTTGGAATAATCGACAATACCCTCCTCAGTCGCCAAGTTCGGGTGGTTCCAAAGGTGGTCCCTTGGGTTGGATTTCTTCCCTTGCGTCCCATATCACGGAGCAAGCTGAGCGATATGGCGACAAGCTCAGTGCCCATGCTGAGCATTATGGGAGACAGGTGGAAGAGCAGGCCATAGCGCATGGTCGCTGGTTGGAGGAGCAGGCTGGGTTATCAGGGCGGAAGACTCAGAGTCCGTATGCTGGTTATCCTCAACCGGATCCACGCTATCAATATTACAACTACTACAACAACTATCCTTATCATTATTATCACCAGCCTAACGCGACCACGAATACGAACCCTAGCCCAGCCTCTGCACCAACCACTCCCGTTACCGCTGCAACTCCCGCTGCAACTCCTGCTTCAACCACCGGTACGACTACTGTCGAAGACGATAACGAAGCCCACAACGCTAACATTACCACCCAGCGCACGATCGCACAACCTAATTCACGCCCTCGCAGCTTATCCATTGCTTCCGCAACTTCCGATTCGTCCCTGACATCCATCGATTCCCTCTCCACCACATCAGAGCTGAGTTCCTCCGATCTCGCTACTGTCCGCGCACAACTCCTTTCCTTAGAAGACCACCACGACCGCAATCTATACGAAGTCGCAGTCGGCCTTCGGCGCCACCTAGACGTGATACGAGAGTCAAACAGACAGTCACGCTCGCGGAATGGATGGGGACAATACGGCGATGGTCGCGGTGGATCCTGGAACCAGCCTCAGCGCAGCTGGACAGAACGACGAGCAATGAAAGATGAAATGCGTGCGACTAAAAAGGCCTTCCGGGATGTGTTGCGTCGGGCACGAGAGGAACAGCGCGAAAATCGACGGATGAAGCGTAGTCGTCGACGACAGGACCAACAGCGGCTCCAGCAGTTGCAGAGAGGGTCTGCTGAAGCGGAACCTGCCCCTCTACCTGCTTCTTCTTCTCACTCTCATTCGGCTTCGGCGGAATTACCCCTCGAACAGCGCTTGCAGAATCTCGATTTGGAGAGGGAGAAGGCTAAAAAACATGCGAGCCAGCCAACGGTTCGATCGTCTGCGTCGTTTCCATCGACGGCGAGGTCTATTTCAAGTGTTGAGTCTAGTGAAGTCAGTTCTATTAGCACGCCCAGCACTGCATCATTGCATGAGGGGGATCACCAGAACGAGACCCGTGCCGGTAGCGAGCTACAGACAGATAGCAATGTTCGAAGGCAGAGCAAAGAGCAAAAGGGAGAGAAGCAGAGAAAGTAACGAGGTTCTAGACGCTCGGATTGAGCCAAGCAGGTCTCATGCTGAATCTGTGATGAGGCAAGACATGCTTACTATACATGGAGTAAGGATGATCAGTGATCAGCGATTAGAGTCATTGTGTTTTATATCTATTGTTGGATGTTCACAAGCGTTGTCAATGTTACTTGCATATGTTGTTATTTTGGTCTATTTGGCGAAGATCATGAGGTTATGAGGGTGCATTTTGTCAATATACATAGGCGTTCGGTGCAGGTTTAATTTAGACAGTTATGTCACAATGCTTTTCAATTGCGGAGTAGCAATATCCAATAGACGAATCTATAAGCGTATATAACCCCCCCAAAAACAGACAACCTACTAAACCTGCGACTCATTCTTCTCAACCAGATCCCCCACCCCCAGCGCCCTCCCCATCTTCACCTTAACCATCTTCTCAGCATCCTTCTTCCCCAAATCCCCAACCTCATCGCCCTCATCCGCCGCCTCCCCGTTCTCCTTCTGCTCGCGCTCGCGGTCCGCCTTCTCAATCGCGCTCCAGTCAACCCACATGGGCGACAGGTCCATGTGCATGGCGTACGCGTCCTCGCCGTCGGCGTAGTACTTGCCCTCGATGTTTTCGACCTGGAAGCCGAGCGTGTCGCGGTAGAGGCGCAGGGCGGCGTTGTTGGAGACACGGACGTGCAAGGAGACGTAGTTTGCGCGGTAGCATTCGGCCATTGCGCGTTCTATTCAATTAGCACCCCATCACTTCACCAATATCATTCCATTTTGAAGAAAAGAGAAGAGGAAAACATACGACTCATCCGCATCAACCTCTCTGCAATCCCCAGTCGTCTGTGCGTCCTCATAACACTAATACTCGTAATATGCCCATGCTGCATCCCATCCGTCGGCTCCTCCTCCATCTTTGCCAACACATACCCAACAACCTTGGGATACTGGCCCGACAGATCCCCGCTCCCGGGCTTCCCGCCCGCCTGCCGGCCGGTGTTCTGTGTGTATCCGTTCTTGGGGCGGACGACGGCGACGAAGGACAGCTGCGGCCAGGTGAGGGCGTGGTAGAGGTAGTATTTCAGGAAGTAGTTTTCGGGGAGGTTGGTGATGTTGCAGGTTTGGATGCCGGGGAGGAGGTCGATGTAGGAGGGGTAGCTGCTTAGGGGGACGATGTCGACCATTTTGGTTTTGTTTCCTCGGGGGTTCCCCGGGGGATGTTTATTTTATGATATGGTGTAAGGGAGGTTAGGATCAATTGATTGAACTGCTGGTCAGTTCAAGAATTGAGTGATGATGGCCGAGGCGGGCAATTGATGATGCGGGTGGCCGGTGGTAGTGCGCTAGCCGGTTCGGGAGTGGTGCCTTAGGTGTTTATCAACGTGGTATCAATTCAACCCTATGTACGAGTGCTATATACTTGAAATGCTCTGTACAATGCAATCATCCCTCATAGATCACAAAAATAAAGCAAAGTCCCAACTCCATTACATCCTTTGTAAACAAAAAAAGATATCTTGAACGAAAATAAGTCAAAAAGAATCAAAGGTAGTGGGTGAACATCTGGACTCCTGCGATAACGAGGAGCATGGCCATCATGTTCAGACCGGCCAGATTCGACGCTGCTGATGTCGTGCCGCAGCATTGACCGTTATACGTCACGTTGTTCATCTCGGCAGCCACTTCAAAGACTGAGCCGTTGAAGTTGCCGTAGTTGTAGTAGTCAACCAGCAGGAAGTTCGGTGGGCGGTTCCAGTTTGCTAGTACTGTTAGTCTCGACGGTTAAGAAAAGAAAAGCGGGGAGTAGCATACTAGTGCAGTTGTCCGCCATGCGACCAAGACTTCCATATCCAGAAACAGCATTGGTCTCGTTCAACAATGCGGTATTGGGGATCAACAGGTTGAGAGAACCAAAGTTGAACTCCAAGTTGAGGTTGTGGTTGGCGATGTACAAACGGTTGTTGGCATCCTGCGGCGCCAGATCCGGGGGACGCTGGGTTGTGCAAGGGAACTCTCTGTCTGTAGGCGAGAATGGAGTCTCCCACACCTGGGAGAACTCGTCCATGAGCCACGGGTCCGCAGTCTGGTTGGCCTGGTAGTCCAAGAACATGACCGCCCGCTTGCCGGACAGAATCATGCTCGACATGGATGGCCAGTCGTCCAACGCCATGGGGATCTTGGGAGGCGTGTAGACCAAATCCTTCAGGCCGGAGTTTTCAACGGGCTTGGTGAAGTACTTTGGTGAAACGTAGTCGCTGTTGCCCATAAGGATAGTAACCACATCGTACGGGTGCGTCTTTATCCATTCTGTGACTGTAACAAGATAATCCTCGAGAGGCCCCATGTTGAGCAGGTCGCAGCTGCTATGGCAGAGATACATGGTGTCGTTGACCAGGTGGGTTTGGAATTGCACTATTCTGTCAGCATATATCGCATACTAGGGACTAATTGGTGGAGACATACACATCCGAATGCCATCGTTCAACTGGGTTGTCACATCCAGAACTTGATTGGCAGCCACGTTACCCTGCTTCACAAACGGACTGTTATGAGCGGCCACCATGGTGACGTTGGAGTATTTCTTCGCGCAAAACTCCGGATAGCCATTGCAAGGCTGGGTATTAACGACGGGTGTGGAGGTCGGCCGGGAAGTCGCATTTGTCGCACTGGCCGATGCATTACCCAGGACTGTGGTGTGCATCCCCCCGACGAGCATTGTCACGGAATCCGATGTGGTCGTATAGCTGGAGGAGGCATTGCCGGTCGCAGATTCGACACCCATGCTGGAGCCGGAGCCGGTTACGGTGGCAGAAGTGAGGTCCCCGTCGTTTGACAGCGTGATGGTCGAAGAGTAGGTCTGATATTCGCCGGTGGGTATCGTCACTTCGCCGTCGCTGGTCAAAGTCCCCTCGAGAGTGAAGGCCGAATTGGTAAGGGCGAGCGTCCCATCTTGTGCCTGCGAGGGGAGGATCGCCCCCAGCAACAAAGGAAGAAGATGCGTTGTCCACCGCATAATTCCGAAAGAACGATAAAGTATGATGGAGATGACGAGTTGTGATGGGGTGATGAGGTTAATGAGATGTTCGACCACGGCTCAGGCGCCTACACAGCGGCAAAGTCAGCATCAACCCTGGTCTTTTATTTTTCTTTTTTCTTTTTTTTTTTTTTAGGGGGGAGGGTGTCGAATTCAAATTACCTATTTTGATTTATTCTCCCCTCTTCTCTCAGTTCCTAATTCGATTTCCAACAGCAGCACAGGCAGTGGTGAGGTGGAATCCAAGGGTAATCAGATATGATGAAAGTTGAAAAAAGATCGTCCAGGCAGCGATTATATAATCCGATAGGAGGCGGGTTTAGGCAGCCGAAATTGTTTGGTTCAGCCAACCACAAAAAAGGTTAAGGTGGGGCGGCCCCATAGCTGACGCCGCGTCGGGTCTGATAGGCCAATGAAATGGGCATTTGCAGTGGGACAGTATCAAATTGTCATAAAACATTACGATACGGAAATCGAGTACAGATCGGGAATGATTAACAAGATCAGCCACAATTTCCGCCCAAAGTGGAAATGAGTGGCTGTGAAAGGCAGGGTCTAGAGCCAAAATAGTCACCACTAGCGCTCGATCGACACGTTGGTCCACTGCGAAGGTTCTTCTGCAGAGTGACGCCGGGGACTCAGACAGGGGTGTTTTCGTACTCGTATTGTCATGTTTTGTAACCAAAAAAATAAAAATGAGCATCAGATTGACTCAGCGGAATTAACCTTGGATCGAGTTTATCTCAAGTGTTTTATTCTCTATTCTCTGTTTCTTTCTCTTCACTGTTCACAATAGTCGGTATCAAGCATAGTAGCACAGCGCTACCAACCAGGGGCAGGGAGTCGCTAATTGATTAGATCCATCCGCCGTACACCGCCGGTGGGCGCCTAAACGTCACCACCCAGCCATCCAGCATCATCTACTTTCTTGTTGTCTTTTTCCTTTTTTCCTCTTACTGTCTTCTATCCATCTCTTATATCGTTACATTGCATAAACAATCCCCCGGGCCATCGTTATGGCCCTCTTCCGCAAAGACAACTCATCCGCCGAACCGTCGGGTCCCGGGAGGAAACCCTCGACGGTGTTATGGCATCGAGGGTTGCGCTCGTTGCTGTACCTACTGGCTTGGATCTTCTTGCTACTCGTCTGCATAGGAAATATCTCGAATAAGCCTGTTTTGCGCGAGACCTATTTCATGAAGCTCGACTTAACCCATATCATTCCCATCTCCGTCCCCAATGCTGTCCTTATCAACAGTATTGCGCGGACCATCGGATTGCACGATTTCTACCAGGTTGGGCTATGGAATTTCTGTGAAGGATACGCCAATGAGGGTATTACGCATTGCTCCGATACTCAGAACATGTATTGGTTCAATCCTCTCGAGATTATCCTGAACGAATTGCTTTCGGGGGCTACCAGTATGTACCATGCCCTCAAAAGACTTACTACGGTTGTTGACCAGACACAGTCGCCCTCCCCGCGGACATCACCGATGCGCTTCAAATCGCTCGTGTCGCCTCATACTGGATGTTCGGCCTCTTCCTCGTCTCCACCGTCCTCTCCTTCATCCTCATCTTCCTCTCCCCGTTCGCCGTCTCCTCTCGGCCGCCGCAAACCATCTCCCCCGACCCGTCTGTCAATCAAGTTCACCCTCCCCACCGCCGACGCACTTTTGTCCTCCTGCGGTCATTCCCCTTCCTCCTCCTCACCTTCTTCACTGCTCTCTTCACTATTGTCGCCTCCGTCGTCGCTACCGTCATGTTCTCCATCTTCAAAAACGTGTTCATGTCGCAGAGCTCCGAGTTTAACATCAAGGCTACATTGGGCACCCGCATGATGGCCTTCATGTGGATTGCGTCGGCGTTCAACCTCATCGCTTTCATCATCCAGTTTGGCTCATGCTGCGCCTCGTGCTGCGGTGGCCGGAAGGCACGTAAGCAACTGAAACATTCGCCCAATGGCACTAATGGCAGTGCTTCCAGTGGTTCCGCTTCGCCGATGCATGAGAAGGAGGATGGTCAAGCTTGATTGCTTACAAGATCTACAGTTTTGCATTTTTTTTTGTCATTTTGGGTAGAATATTTTCCTGTTCTGTTCTATATACCATCTGTCGTTATTTGTCTCTTTTTTTTTTTTTTTTTTTTTTTTTTTTTTTTTTATATATCTTGCCATCTGTCATCATCATCTATACTCCCACTTCTCCGCATGTCGCCATTCCAAGCTGCATGTTTGCGCATTACGAATCTCACAACACAATGCCGGGATGACACCCCAAACACCCCAGGCCAAATCCCTACCTGTCAAAAACAATTGGCGCATGCACCCTGCACCACGCTACTATTAACTTCTGCCTAGGGTGGATTGCTACCTGTATGCACGGGGTATTCCCTCCGTCGTCGAATACGCTATTTTTGGGTTTGGGCATATGCAATGCGCTGGCATGGGGAATTTGGAGTTTTTTGTTTCATTTTCCATTTTTATGTATCCGTACATACATAGTACAGTGGCTTATCTTGGTGGATCATTCGGAGTTTTGACGGTACATGGTGTTTTGTTTGTTATGGATTGGTTGGTTACACACCGGTTTAGGCTTTGATCGGGATTTATTATTGTGGATAGGTTGGAGCAGATAAAAAATACTACAGTATGATTGAGCCATATTGCCCTCATGTACTCTGTAGTTGATTTTTGTCTAATAATAATGCATAAAAGTACCAACGTAAAACCATCGCTATGCAAGTAAACGCCCTGGATCTCACGTCACTCAGACAATTGGATATCAAAGCACGATAAAGAAAAAAAAAAAAAAAAAAAAAAAAAAAAGGAAAACATTACAAACAGCGCAGTAACCGGTTCATATCTACCGGCCAAGCTCCTCTTCCATCATCTGCGCCAGTTCATCTTGCTCAACGTCATGGCCATCGTTCCCGCGTTGTGGAGAGGAAGGCTGAGGATCGTCGGTTGACGTATGACCGCTTCTTGATCCGGTTGCCGCACGATCACCATTGGCATTATGGAGAGAATATCCCGTCCGATACGTGGCGTTCGGCACCTGGTTTGGTCCCTTGAGCCAGGAATAATTTTTCTGTCGGAAGGATTGGAGTACTTCCGCCCCGCTATTTGTGTTTGCCCCAGAGGGCGGAGAAGGATCGGGAGGATGGTTGGGGGCCGTGTTGGGATCGTCCTCCGTAAGGTCTATTGTAACTGCTTGCGAGCTACGAGCTTCCGTGGAAGCTGGTGCTGGGCAGGAATGAGGAGGCTGGGGAGGGGGTTGGTTCGCGGTGGTTATCGCTGTGGCTGTGCCCGACGGAGGTTGAGCATCCCGCCTGGGCAATAATGGATGCTGTGCAGGCTGCTGTCTTGGGGCCGGCTGTCTTGGGGGCAGAGACGACGGTAATTGAGGTCTCACATCTGTAACGGCGGGTGGCTGGTGCTGGATCGGTCGGGGTCTGTACTTGGCTGGGGGAGGTGCAACTTCAGGAAGTCTCCGTTGAATAGCAACTTCATAAAGGAGGTTGTTGTACAGCATCGAAACTTCATGTAGCTTGCTCTTCCAATGCTCGATCTCCTCTTTGTACCCATCAACCCGTTTCTGGTGTCGGGTAGCATTGCGCCGAAGCATCGCATTATCATGGTGAAGCATCTGATGCTTGGTCTTTCCCGTCGCCTGATCCACCGTACTAAACTCGTCATAGAAGCTTTTATACTTATTTCGCTCGTGTATCAGTTGGTGGTTCTTGGAGCGAATACATTCCATGCGGTAGTTCATACGCTCGTCGACAACTTCAACGCACTTGACATGAAGACTCGGTGCCGATGGAAGATAACCCAAGGAGCCTCTGTATTCAGGGTACGGGGACACATATTGCGGTACATCGTCCGCCCGCCGTAAGATCTCTCGATTTGTGTTGGCAAGCAAATCTTGCGCGTCAAGGGAAAACCGTTGTTGCGTGACGTCGCTGGCAGACTGTATTGCAGTAGACAACTCAGCGGATTTGGTGGGAGCTGGTTCTGGCCCTAGATCCTGAGATACCGCATGGCTCGGACGAATTGCGAGATTATCGAATAGCACCGTATTATCCAACGACGTGGGGAACTCCGACTCTGGGAAAAGAAGGTCAAGAGAGCCAAACAATGAATTTGGAGTGTGCGACCTCTCTATACCGGCTGGCGTATTTAGGGCAGTTTCGACATATTCCGGCCGGTGAGATGAATCAGGCGTTAGAGACGGGGTCTCGTCCGGAAGCGCATCACCCAAGTTTAATCCATCCTGATTCTGTCGCTTTTCTAGGGGTTCCCCAACGCCGAAATCTTCGGGAAATGCTTCGTTATGAGTGCGTTTATGCGAAAGAAAGTCCGACTCAAGGTCCTGGAAAGCGAAGTCCGAATCGAAGAGAGGATCGTATAATGGCTCCTCCGTGCCAGTTGACAAGTCTTTTGCTTGTTGCGTAGAGTCCTTTGTCGCAGTTTTGTCGGCTACTCCGTCATTGGGTTTATCACGCTCTTCATTTCGGGACGATGCATGAGTGGCATCAGCCTGGTGCTGCTGTTGCTGCTGCTGCTGCTGCTGCTGCGATCCAGGGGAAGGTGTAAGCCCCAGATCATTCACATGCAGATGACTGAAAGAAGGAGGCGATGGAAGGCCCTCAGGTGCAAAAAGCTCTTGAGGGTCTTGGGATTGTGAAAAAGACATAGAAATACCTTCAGCCACGCTTCCAACCATCTCGACTGAACTGAGTCGAAGACTTCTGAATCCCAATAATCAAGTTTCGTTACCCCTGTAGGACGTGATTCGCAGCGTTTTCTGGTGCGGTGGCTCGAGGTGTCTGGCTCGTTACGTGCAAGGTGTATCAAAGGCAAATCGATGCACTGGTTGGCGGCAACGACGTCAGAAAATGGACAAACCAATATTCCAAGAAGAGCAAACAAGATATCCCACACAATAGGACGAACTTAAACACCGCACCTTCAGCCAAAAGTCACTTGATAGCTAGCACGAGGAGGATACCTTGCGCCACGCGCGTGCCAGGTTATCGCCTCGAAGTCTGAACCAGACAGCCAAGGCAATCCGAATGTCGATACAGAAAAACAAAGAGACAACAGGATGCCTTGTAATCAAATAACAGCCATCTTGAGGGAATCAGGCTTGTGTGATGAGGTGAAAGTTAAGAGAGCAGAGTCATGGCAAGGATGTACAAAACTGCAATCATGTGACCAACATTGAATTGAACTGCACAAACGACAACATGAGTGAATATAAACAATTCAAGGTTGAGATAGAACAAAGAGAGCCCCTCCACACTAAAATAAACGAAAACAATGACTGCTCTTTCTTTTTTCCTTCCTCTTCTCCAAGAGATATTCCAGGATAAAATTAATTTCTGCTTCTCTTTTTGTTGGCCACCGCTCTGCTGACCGCCCTTATCACGCTAAGCCATGCTGGGAAACAACATCGGCTTATTAACCATCTTGTTCCATCATCCACCTCGAGCAGCAATAGCAAAAGTGGGGGATTTCAGTCCCTTTTTTGTGGAAGAACACGAGTCTCATTGGGCTGCTGAGCGCCAGGCTCTCCGGAAACACGAGGAGCTCAAAATGAGTGTCATCCTTTGCACGGGTATGTTGTCTTGCGGTATCCACTTGTGAGAGCAAACGGACTCAAGCTGACCGGGTATAATTGATCAACAGCGGGTTACGACCATACTATTCGGTATGTCCAAGCTCATTCTTTAGTTGCGTCGTCGCTTCAATATGATGTCGGTTTTTTCAGGGCTAATTGGTACGGAACAGCTTCTGGGAAGCGTTGTCAGGCATCTGCTCGCGCACCATCCAACATCCGGATTCGCAAGTGAATCGCCTCTGCATCACACCCGATAAACGTTACTTGGCGGCGGCCGGTCATCACAATGTCAAGCTTTACGATATCAAATCGACAAACCCGAACCCAATCATGACGTTTGATGGGCACACAAGCAACATTACTGGGGTAGCTTTCCACTGTGAAGGAAAGTGGATGGTGACCAGCTCTGAGGATGGAACGGTTAAGGTGTGGGATACACGGACGGGCAGTTTACAACGCAATTACGCGCATAGGGCTCCTGTGAATGATGTGGCTATTCACCCTAACCAAGGAGAGCTGGTAAGCGGTGACCGTGCTGGGATCGTTCGTGTCTGGGACTTGGGGGAGAGCGTTTGTACGCATCAATTGATTCCCGAGGAGGACGTGGCGGTTCAGAGTGTCAGCGTTGCCAGTGACGGCTCCTTGCTGTGCGCCGGGAACAAAAAGGTATTCCTCCAAAATAACGATGGAAAATGGAGATGGTAAGCTAATGAAGTATCTAGGGTAACGTTTACATCTGGCGAATGATCCAGGATGTTGAAGTGACCCGGATTGTCCCCATCTGCACCTTCCAAGCACACAAAGACTACCTGATCCGCATCCTCCTATCACCAGACGTCAAGCACCTTGCGACTTGCTCAGCGGACCATACAGCCAAAGTTTGGAACCTCGATTACGACTATCCCCCGGCAAAAATGGCCGCTGCGGCTGCCGCTAGGGGCAAGGCCAAAGCTATCAGCGGAGCCGAAACAAACAGTTCCACGTCACCAACAGCGGAGAGTACAGACCCAGCAGTAATTCAAGAAAGAAACAGGATCCAGGATCTCAACGCCTTCCGCATAGTCGCTGGATCACGAGCGCCGGCTGAAGAGCCTCCGAACCCGTTCCCTGCACAACCAGATGGGCCACCAATGGATCCTACGACAGGCACTCCTTTCTTGGAAACGGTACTCAGCCAGCATCAGCGGTGGGTGTGGGATTGTGCGTTCTCTGCCGATTCAGCCTATCTGGTTACGGTGTCTAGTGATCACTACGCTCGTCTTTGGGAGTTGAACACAGGGCAGGTTATTCGTCAGTATAACGGACACCATCGCGGGGCGGTATGTGTGGCATTGAACGATTATTCTGAGCCTCGATAATTTTCTCTTCTTTATTCTTTTGTTTTGTGTGGATAGCATGGCGCTTGGTACAATGGTTCATGTCGGAGTTAGGATCATGCTCATCTATTGGGAGGTTTATTCAATAAATCATGTTGGACTATGTTTGTTTATAGTTGATAGTAGCATACCCAGGGATCTAAGTTGCTTGTCCTCATTCTAAATGCCCTCGTGGAATGGTTATAACTTTTCAATCCCATTGAAATATATGCACTGGCTCATTAAATACTCAGAATAAAAACCAACATGGATATACAAATCCAACCCGAAAAATAAACACCCCAAAACATATTATACCCTAATTAATCAAACCTAACCAACAGCAAACCAGGTCACACTAACCACAACATCCAAGCCCCTCTCCTCAGCCCCGGGATACTTAAACGTCCACATTCCATCCCGGTTGACATCCCAGAACGCACCGGCGGCAGAGTGCATCCCACGCTTTCCGGCGTTGCTGTGCTCGCCGTCCGCGGCAGTGCCCTTGTCGACGACTCCTTGCTGTACGATAGTGCTGTTCACGGTGAAGCGGTAGGGGGCCGGTGTTGAGGGGGTGGAGGGGGCGGTTGCGGCGATGAGGGATTTGAGGATTGTGTTCTGCACGGTGTAGTTGTTAGTATTTGTGTATATGGGGGTTTGTTGGCTTGGGATAGGTGTGGGGGACGTACAATGATCTGGGAATTCCAGTCCCCGACTTTGGTGTGGTCATATTCTTTTACCTCGGCGAGGGTGGTTTCGCAGGCCTATAGTGATTCTGTGAGTCTCCCCGCATTCCTCAGTTAGAGTCTGGAGAGAGTTGAACGCACCTCAGACGTGACCTTGCTAAGCTCCTCGATGGGCAAGGGCTGGTCGCATTGTCAGTAGGGATGATCTCGATTTGCATTCCAGTCAGCCTGTGGCTCAATCAACGTACAGAATTGGTGGATTTCTGCTCGGTGGCCATTTTCAATATATTCCGGTTTAGTATTCCTCGACCTGTACGTATCCGATCTGACTTGAGGAACCAATGGTTAGTCGATTGCGCGGGGGGGGATAGCGACAAACAGCGACAAACACTTCTTCAGGGGATAGGGGAAACAATCAAGAATAATCGCAGTGAGGACAAACTTACCTTGGATATCAGCGCAGTTGGACAGCAGTAGAATCAGGAATAATCGTCTTGTAGATACTCTGTAGCAAGGCGTCGGCCGTGTTTATTGCTCTCCGTGGCATCAGCATCATCGTGTGGCTTGTTTATCTGGTCCGAAAAGGGGAAAGTGGATAAGCACCGCCACATATATAGTTGCAGACAGTGAACCACGCTCAACAAAACGAATTACCAGGTTAATAACAAGTAAAAAACTAACATCTAGCATTAGCTTGGGCAAACTGGCTCTGTGAGGAGATTGATAGTGATTTGGCTAATCTAGCTTAGATCACTCTACAGTCACCGGGAACTATATATTTTCATAGTTCTGGCTCTAGCCTCCTCGTCCATAATTCTAGGTTATCACTGTAGACGATAGTCTATATGCCGATAATTACAGACTAACGAGACCTAGTTTGCATCAATTAAAGACGCCTTAGGACAAATTGGTCCGTGATACATATTAGTAGACATCTAGATACCCAAGATCCAAAATCCGATCCACAGTCAACCTCTTCGTCGGATCCGGCTCAAAACAGCATAAAGAAACACCACATCAAACTCCGGAACCCCTTGAGCTACCAGACGACCAGTCCAATGCTCGTCTTCCAGGTCAATGTTGACATTGTCACAGATCGAGAAATCGCAGTCTTGGAAGTATTCATTTGAGCGGAGATTGAAATCATGGCACTGGGCGGTTCGAACTACGTTTGCTTTCTGCTCAAGAGTACCGTGTTCGATTATGCAGTCGTATACGCCAGGTGAGAAGAAGCTAACCTGGGCTTGAAGAAGATAGAAGTACTACACAGGATTAGTTCTCTGTTAGGACTCGATGTCTGTTAGCATACGTACTGCTATTCCCCAGGGATGTCAATTGCACTGGTCCAAGGTTTATTGAAATAGAATTCTGGACTTCTGTATGTAATTGATGTTAATTCACCACGGTTTGGTGTCATGACTACCAAGATCTTTATCAGTTTGTGTATCAAGTGTTGTTGGCATATCTTACCGGAACCAAGATCAGTCAACTTAGCATATACCATCAACGGCACTGATTCATCGTTACTGGGGAGATTTCTCATCGTCAAATCCTGTCAGAAGGACATTCTCCATTTTGAAATCTGTTGCTCAGTAAGTATGTCTCTGAATTACGCCAAATCCTGCAGCGAAGACTTACCACAGTATACAAGCCCTTCATTGTGTATCTCTCGTAGTCCCCAAATCACCATTTTCATTATTTGCTTAATCTCCCGGATAGTCAGAGGTCTTTGTAAACGCGCAGCCCACAGGGTCTTCTCGAATGGTTCTAATACCATCATGTCCGGTAAGTTTGAGCTGGCTGGGATAACATCGGTCATCTTGCGGATGAATCTTGCAGACTAAAAGCAGGCTTGCACATCTATTTCTTTTTGGAATGCAGGCCATAGCTTTTCAGGGTTATCGTCAGGTTGAGGATGCTTGATGACCACTTGATCATTCGATTAAAGGAGCAGAAAGAGCGTAGGTCTTTCCAGTCTTTCCTACTAGTTCCATTACTTTCCGGAGCAAGGATACAGAAGCTATGCTGTTAACTTGCAGATAAGTTCATCAAACACAGAATGTCTCTCCAAACAGCAAATTACTTCAATCGACAGTGATCAAGACTTGCTTATTTGTTTGGGGCTAGACCATGATAGAAGTGCCGTCTGATATAACAGCACAAATGCCACCGTAATAGAAAGTTACTACTGCTTCATACGAGCACCATAGCAACAGTCTGTACTGTTTGTATAGTGTGTTTGGTTCGCTGTGGATCGAGCCCCATACAAATTTACGCCTAAGGCATCAAGACCGTGCACGTGGAGGATCCGCTGGCGGACGACAGCGGCAGAAACCCACTCGGTGATTACCGAAAGCGTAGCCTAATTGGTCACCTGATGTATTACATCAACTCCTTTGGTACTTTTGGCATTGCGACGGATTTCTCAAGCTGCGGCAGCTTGGTTGAATTTGATATCTGATATTCTTTCACTGTTTTTTGACTCTTGAGAAGGGAGATATTAATCCAATCAGCTTATATCTGCATATTTGTGCGCTTCCAATCCCTACCAATCAAAATGTCAAGCCAGCCTCTTCTCCAAACCGCCCCAGGTACGTAACGTCCCTTCATCGATACCAATCCCCTTCCAACAACCACCATCCCAGCTAACACCGAACCCAAAAACTGAAACAGGCAAACGAATCGCCCTCCCCACCCGCGTCGAACCAAAAGTCTTCTTCGCCAATGAGCGCACCTTCCTCTCCTGGCTCAATTTCACCGTCATCCTCGGCGGCCTCGCCGTCGGCCTTCTGAACTTCGGCGACCGCATTGGCCGTATTTCAGCTGGGTTATTTACGTTTATTGCCATGGCGGCTATGATATATGCGCTTGTGACGTTTCATTGGCGGGCGCAGAGTATTAGGAAGAGAGGGCAGTCGGGAATTGATGATCGGTTTGGGCCGACGGTGTTGGCGTTGGCGTTGTTGGCGGCTGTGGTGGTGAATTTTATTCTGAGGGTGAAGGAGGGGAGTTTCTAGGGGAGGTAGGAGGTTACTGTAAGACTACGTATGATGGTGCGTGTGTGTCTTAGGTTGGGGATCGATCTCGTCGTGGGCGTGGGTTCCGATGGGGAGTTTTCTTTTGACTGTACTCTATGTACTGAGGGTGCATATATAAATATCCGTCTTTTCGTCACTCATTGTACGCAACTAGCATGAGACTTTTTCGCTTCCAGGATGAACCCAATTGTTGTCGATAAATGTCCCGAAGTTCCAGTAATCTTGCTGCGTTCCCTGACCCTTGACGATGTCATTGCCCGTGAACTTGGCAGTCCAGTACGAACTACCCTGAGTATACTGGCCAAATGTCGCAATGCCAGCATTGAGGTTTCTTTCGCGAAGGGCAAGGGAGTTCCGTTGCGCGGCTTGAATAGACCACTCGCCTATGAAGACGGGGAACTTCCCACTGCCGGTTTTCTGTTTTGCGTCGGCGCAGAGCTGGGCTGGAAGATTGGTGGAGGTGGTGTTTGGCGGATGTTCGTAGTGGTAGACATGGACGTCAAAGATCAGGTTGGCATCGTCAGGTATCTGGTCGTACCAGTAATCGGGGATTTTGAAGCTGCCTTGGAACATGACGGGGATCTTGGAATTGACTTTGGAAACCCGGTCGAGAACGGCGTTGATATACTTAGACACCCATGCGGCGCCATCGTCGGACAGAACAGCCGGGGTGCCGAAGTTAGACATGGACTCCTTGTTGAGGTCGGCTGGTTCGTTCAAGGGTGCGATAGTATAAGACTCTGGTGAATCAGACTGCTGGACGAAGTCGATGACATTGTCGATGGTCTGAAGGGACTGGTCCAAAGAGGTTTGGTTATTGAACCAGTCCCAATGGCCCATGGCTTCTCCAATGGGCAGACCATTGAGTCCTCCCGGGAGGGAATGAACGTCGATAATGATATGCATCCCGTAGTTGGTGATGGCATAGTCCGCAATATTCTTCAAGTAAGCCGTCTGGTTACCCGAGTACAGCTGCGAACCGGGAAGGTCAATCCACGCCGCATAGTGGGTGGGAATACGCAAGACAGCCACCCCACCTTTCGCCAGATGGTCAACATCCTTGGTGGTGATGAAGGTGGCATAGCGATGCTCGAGAACCGGACCACATCGGCGACCAAGGTTTTGGCAGAGGGTCCATTCATCTGACGCGTTACCACCATAACGAGCCCAGAAAGCGCTGTCGATGTTGGACTCTTGGACCAGCCAGCCTCCAAGGTTGACACCATTGGCCTTGAAAGACCGCCAGTCGACGTAATCGGCATGGACGAGGGAGGGGATGGTGCCCAAGGCTGCGAGGAAAGTCCGCACGCGCATTTTGGCGGTCAAGAAGCCGTTGATTTAAGGATGTCGTGCATGACCGTTGAGGGGCGTCTATGCGCCTTTTATATGGCGGTTTTGGCAGTTTTCATAACGGCGGACATTCTCCATGGGGTAAAGAATGACAGGAGGGCATTGCGTTTCCCCCGCAGGGTTCTCGGATTGTCCGGGGGGTGGGATGTCGGGATATCCGGGGTGAATTAACCCGAGGGATATTTGGAGATACGCTCTCTTGAACCTGGAGATGAAGAGACTCTGGAGGATATATACAGATTACTCAATCGGGCATATAGGAATTGCAGGCCGTGGTGCCACGTGACGTGTCAGGGGCTCGTACTTGTGGTGAGACAACTAGCTAGCCGCTTTAGAGTTCTGATAGGTACCCAATGGTATATTGACCTTAGGCAGGACAGCGCACATGTACTTGCAGATAACAGTTGGAGGGGTAGCATAACACATAGCTATACATACGAGTACAATCATCATTTTCTGTTCTTCTATCTAGAAGTACTACTACTACTACTACTACTATGTACTACTATGTACTACTATGTATACTACTATTCTCTCTCAATTGCACAGTACAAGACAAGTACAAGTACGTAATTACCATACAATACACCGCCCTCAGTACCGGCCATTCCAGACTCCGGCCATAGGCCCACTTATGCATCATCGGTGGATGGATCGACGAATGGGGAGCGATCCGGTCAGTGGCCATTGGACAGCGGAACTGGAGAGTGGAGACACGCAGGCATCCGTTTGACTTCTTGGTGTCTTCCATCCGGTTGAGGCGATCGTCTTCGATTCGTTATATTTAGTTTGGGAGTGTGTTTCGCTCTCTCTTCTCCTTTCTTTTTCTTCTGTTTTCTGTCTTCCCATTATTTCTACTGTTTGCTATTGATTTCTACCAGTAAATATATCAGTACACGATACTCTGTACCCTATAGCTGAGTCATCTAAACGCTGATTCAGCGATTACGCCACCTCCTCTCAGGCCATCCGTGGATCGCTCATCTTCCCTACTCCAGATTCTATCGCTCTGTCCTCTATTGTATCTGTGTCTTCTCTCTCTATTACATCTATTCCATCAGACCTGTCATATATTATAATCGCTTTGTTTGTCATCTCATCTCGAACTTATCTCCCTCTGATATCACCTGACCTCTTTGTCCTCCACGGTCGCAATTCCCCTACTTCTTTTTTACTACTTTGCTACTTCTTTACTGTTTGCTCTCTTCATGACTATAAATACGACTAGCCTCTGCCTCTAATCCTTCTACTTCCTCTTCGCATGGATGTTTCGTCTGCTCCCCTGGTCCTCAGTTCTTGGAGGCGACATCACCAACCATACCATTCCCAGCAAAGACCACAACAACAACAACACCAACAACAGTCATAACAACATCACCGACCATAACAACCACTCCCTCTCAATGCTCGCAACTCCACCATCTTGCGCCTCGCATGGCGTTCCTCTACAAAATAGTCTCCCTCTGTCTTTCAACAATCCAAACTCACAACTGAAGCGAAAGCGTTCCCCCTCTCCCGATGCGCCCGACACTCCCGCGCCAACCAGGTTATGTTGCGATCGCGACCCCAGCGCTAACACTACCAATGCGCCGGTCGCTCCCTTGTCGCCATCGTCGCAGAGTTCCGTCTCCCAATACGCTGAACAGCCCCATCACCAGCCCTCACCCCCGGTCGCATCGCATACTAAGAGTGTCAACGTCGACAAGCTACAAGAGACTTTGGAAGCCCAACTGAGTCTGGAAGTGCTGCTCAAACACAACGAATTACGTTTGATCGACCAGGAACTCGCCAAATGTCAAGTCGCGTTGGAACAGTTGCGTCGCTGCTCTGAGATTCCCTATCCCGGTTCGCAAGTCGCAGGTTTGTCGCCCTCGTTGGCCAACGGGACAGGCATGGCGGTCTGCCCTCCTGGAAATGGACCGGTACCGTCGTCGCCTGCTCCGTGGGGTGTCACAGATGGGCCCTACTCTCATCACTACGCCAGATGGTTGCTTCCCGATCCTCGATTCGACGGTGGTCACATCGACGCTGGAACACCTTGGGGTGCTGCTTCTTCCATGCCAGGCGCAACCACTATTGGCGCAACCCCCTTCGAAGGTCGTTCTACACGTGGTACTTCCGGCGACTATTCTGCTTTAACCAAATCTCGACCTCAACGCGGCTCTGCCAGTGGTGCGAAGCTGCAGGCTCTGGCAAATGGTTGCCCCCCTGTTAGGGAACGGGCTGGTCCCATGATTATCCGGCGAAAGTCGGATGGCGTGATGGTCAAGCTGGTCTGCTTGGATTGTCGACGAGACAACTTCTCTAGCACTCAGGGATTCATCAACCATTGTCGTATCGCTCACAATCGCAACTTTGCCAGTCATGATGCCGCTGCCGTGGCTTCCGGTGAGCCAGTCGAGGTGGACCAAGCCGGTGCGATGGTTGGGGAGGTCAAGACGGAGACGTCCAGCGGCCCTGCAGCCGCTCCCGGTTATGTCCATCCTCTGGTACGGTCAGCGCATGTGATTGAATCTTCTCAGTCTAGCGCTACTACTCCTGCAACAGCAACTGCTGCTGCACAGAACGCGGCGACACCTCGGAAGCGATCCGAGTCAAACCGCCTACCATCCTCATCCATGGTGGAAACACCTCGCAATGCTCACATTCGTTCTCTTTCAGAAGGTAACCGGCGTACACCGGGAATGGCGAACCAAACTTCATGTTCGTTCCTCGCCTCACCGATTACCCCTCATCTATCTTCTTTGATGCAGCATCAGGGCATTGGGGTCGATCTCGGCCAGTTAGTTGATGAGGCCAAGGCCACAATTGATCTCGAGGCCTACTCTTCTGGCGATGAAAATGACAAAGGGTCGGAAGATGAGAACCTTGTCCCGCCTCCATCGTCGACAGACCTGAATGCAAGCATGTCGGAGGCTCGTGGAGGTCGACAGCCCATGCGTACGGTGGGTGCATCTCATCAACCCAGTACCAGTCGCGATGCACGCAAACCTCAGCCATTAGAGACATTGACACCCGTGCGAACGGGAGCTTCTTATATCTCTTCCTATGGATCCACGCCATCTTCGACCATGGAAGATAACGTTGACGGAATGGATCTGACGGCGAATCTTAGCCCCCACACTGTTGAATCCAACCAAGCTCCCAGCTTGGTGAGCGATGATGACGATGATGGCGATGCCAGATCGGATACTACTGGCAGTCCTGGACCTAGTTCGTCGGAAGCAGAAGACGATGACGGCCAAGACTTCAGTCACATCGACGTGGAATATGACGATGAGACGACCACGGCAGCCGCCACAGAACCCAAGAGTGGTCCTCCGTCACTGGCGAATTCGGCGCCCACAGCGGCGCCTCTGCCAAAACCGTTGCGACGTGGGAGTCACCCTCGTTCCCAAAACAAGAAAAAGAAGAATGACCGGTTCATTTCTTCGTCGACCGCGCTGGACAGTGGTAACAACAAAGAGGAAAAGCACGTGAGCTTTGTCAGTCCCCAACTGAGTCCGGACAGTAGTCCGTCGAAGGGGAAAGATGGTTACGGTCGGAAGTGAATTCCTTTTCCCTTTTCTTTTCTGTGGAGGGCTAGAACCTTCATTTTTATGTCTTGTAATGGCGTTTCCTTGCCTCTATTTTTCCTTTTTTTTTTTTTTTTTTTTTTTTTTCTCACTCTCCTCTGATAAAGGAGACATGTTTGTAATTACCGCGAAGACGGATTTCTGTGCATTCAAATTGACTGCCGAATGGTTTTCCGAGCACCTGAGGGATTGAAGCCCTGGGGATGTCGATGGATTGATGATATGAATGATTCTTTCACGGCGTTTGATACTGGAATATGAATTAAATATCCACCACTATGTACATGCATTTCTTACTGTAGATCACATGTCGTACTTTAGCGAATGCTAGATGCCTGCAAGGCTGTAGAGTAACGTGACTTCGTATTCATTTCTGACTAGCTTCACTCTTCTTTCTTCTTTCTCTTTTTCTCTCTCTCTATCTTCAACTCCTCATCCTCGTCCAAATCCACTGCTATCTTCATCAATTTCTCCAATTCTCTGTCCAATTCGCCTCCTTCTCCTTATCTGGAATCTACATCCGAAATAACCCCGAAGCCGAGCCACCCCCCCGATTATGTATTCATCATCCTACTCCATCATGGCCTCCCGATCCGGGTTAAATTCTTTTCAGCAAGGACGAGAGAAACGCTCGGACTGGAAACGCGAAAGAAACGGGATAGAAGAATGATCTTCTTGTTTCTCCTCTCCTGTCCCCCTCTCACTCTTCATTCCTCTCTAAACCGGTCATGTCAGTGATATCACTCGTCCTCCTTTGCCTCTTGCACCTCCAATTCGCCTCCGCTTTCTTCTCCTGGCACAGTTTCCTGTACGAATTCGGCTTATTGGGCGCCCACCCGACCACCCCCTTCCATTCGTTTAGCATTGCGCCGCCAGAGGTGAATCTCCTGCGATGGGATCCCCGTTGCGAAGACGGTTATGTTCTGCTCAGTCCGCGCGGCCATTTCTATCCCGAGCCGGGGCCGTTAATCTACGATAATCGCGGAAACCTCGTCTGGGTCGAAAAGGACTATGGCATGATTATGGACTTGAATGTCCAGCGGTATCGAGACCAGGATTACCTAACGTTTTGGGTGGGGAAGGATGATGGAACGAGAGGCTTGGGGTCATACTACATGGTACGTAAAAAATCTTGGCTTTTTGTCGCGTGGTTTAATCTCCGCATTGGCTAATGTAGGTTATAATAGTTAAATTCATCGTACGACGTGGCCCATGTCGTTTTCCCTGCCAATGGTTTGCACGGTGATGTTCACGATTTCAAAATTACCGATGAAGGGACGGCATTGATGACTATTTACGATCTCGTGGAGACAGATCTCACCCCCGCTGGGAAATCGGGAAATGGTTGGATCTATGAGGGTATCTTTCAGGAAATCGATATCGAAACGGGCGACTTGATTTTCCAATGGAGCGCCGGCGATTACTACAATCTGGACGATTCGTACTTCGACATTGGAGAAAAGGGGTATGCGCCACACCAAGCCGGGGCCTACGATTACTATCATATCAATAGTGTTGAGAAACGAGCCGATGGATCGTATCTCGCGTCGTCCCGCTACATGCATTCAGTGACCTGCATTAGCGCAACAGGGGAGGTACTCTGGGTCCTTGGCGGCAAACGCAACATGTTCAAAGATCTGTCCGATGACGGCTCGGCCACTGGATTCACCTGGCAACACGACGCACGCTGGCACTCGGATCGAATCATCACGCTATTGGACAACGGCGCAAACGAACACGAAAAGACCGCCGACCATACCCGCGGCTTAATGATCGAGCTGGATTTCGACAACTGGACCGCCCGCACCCTGCACGTCTACCACAGCCCGGGACGCTTTAGCAGTCATTCCCAGGGTAACATGCAAGTCCTACCACGAACAGGCAACGTCTTCATCGGCTGGGGCAAACCATCCGCATATACGGAGTTCAGCACCGACGGGACCGAAGTCCTCTGCGACGCGCACTACGGCCCATCAATGTTCTTCTGGTTCGGATGGATTAAGTCCTACCGTGCCCAGAAAGCCAACTGGGTTGGCAAGCCTAGCTGGCCACCGTCTGTTGCGGTAAATGCTGAGAAGTCCTCGCGTGCAGTATACGTTAGCTGGAACGGCGCTACGGAGATTGCTGGCTGGCTCTTGCAGCAAACTACAAATCGTGCGTTAGGGGATTTCGAAACACTTGGCTACGAGCCGAAGAAGGGATTTGAGACGCGTCTTGAGTTGGCACCGGATGCGACTGTTGATGGATATTTCTACCGGGTTGCTGCGGTGGATTACAAGGGGGAGGAATTGGGGTATACCAGGGTTTTTGCCGTAAGTCCCCATTTACTGGATATAGAAAAGTATAAAGCTGACGATCTAGATCTCCGATATCACAACTCCATTCCCCGCCAACGCCGAACCAGACGGCGACGGCTTCCAGCAACTACTCATTGCAGCATGCATGGCAGGAGCTCTCCTAGCAGCCGCATGGAAGTACAAAAGACAAGTGATGGGGATGTACGCGTATTGTCGGCGGTTCGTATGGGGTGTCATGGATCGATATCGGTACCGATCATATCGATCGTATCGGAAGTAACCTAGTCCTTGGTTCTGGTTTTTGGTTTCGTCATGGCGTTATGATACCCGTTTTCATCATATTATCATCATCTTGTTCAAGTGTGTATTATATATTGGTTATATTGACATATGATATTGCATATAGATATCGATATAATACATATTGCATTGCATTGTGATGCTTAGTTTTATATTCTAGGTGCTGTATTTATATCAACCAACCTAGCTCTCTGCTCTCTTGCGTCTTTACTTGCGTACATACGCCTTTTGTCCCAGTGCTTACTGCAGTCCTCGTTGCTTTTCGCTCACTGGGCAGGTTTAGGGATGTCTCAGACAGTCTCAGTTCGGACTTGAACTTCGTAGACTAGTGTCAGAGCGTATACCCCGACTGCAAGTCGTGGCTGACGCCAGCTCATGATCTCTGTAAATGAACACTTGCTTTCAAATATTCTCTTTTTGCTGAAAGGAGCTGGCGATTGTGAACTGTTGACTCGTATACGGTAATCTCGATGGTGTGCATTGGCCCAAAGACAAAATTAAATGTTGCTCGTTCCGCAACCTCTGTAATCAAATTGGAATCCATGATCCTTCCGGCGTTGGGTTTATACTGGCCATCTAAATCATAAGATAAGAGGGACTCCAAATAAACTGGGTTCCCCAGAATCCAACCAACCTCGTCTTGGGGGTCAGTGGATTTCAAGTGTCTGCTCGCTTGATGAACAATATACATCGACTATGCCTCCCCCATGTGCTATAGTGTTTCGTACGTAGCGAGTAAAATCTGACATTCTGGGTATCGATTGGATCACTGTATAGAAGATTAAGGATCAATCGATTTGAGTGATGTTTTAGCACCGACTGTGATTTCAAGGGAGAACAGTTTCCCGTAAAATGGAAGTCCAAATGTTGGTTGAAGTGTCCTAGGGTTTTAGACTTCTGTCGCCCTTCTGCTGATTTGTTGCCTCTGTCATCCCTCTTGGATCCTCATAATATCTTTGTCATAGAAGTTGTAATGGCCATGTACCAAAAACCCATTCCTTTTTGCCCACCGAGCAGATAATGTGATACATCGCATGTTCAAGAGGCGGGGAGCGACCTCCCACATGTGGTATGTCTTGTGCTCAATATATTCGCACAGGTCTGTTTCTTCCCGATTCGACTAGTGCCGTTATACGCGACGCTGCTTTCTGACCATTCAGGGTCCAGGCTGGTTACATCGATGGCCTGTAATGCTTGAATTTAGATCCTCGGGGCTGGTGTGTAAGCTTCTGCGATTGCCGTTCAAAATGACCGAGAGGAACTTTCTTCACGAGCATGTCTGTTTATCATCTCTAGGGTCTTTAGTGTCTTTTACCCAGAGAAACTTGAGGTTGGGTTTTATGAGGCTCGTCTTGAGTAGTGTGATAGATGTTTGATGTTAGGAAAGCGCAACGCCATCGGCTGTCCCGCTTGCATTCCACAGGATTACAGTCGATTCAAAGTCGCCCTTGTTGTCTAGCCATCTAATCGCCACGAGCCCAGTATCTGTCGAGATAAAGCCGTATCTGGCTTGGTGTTGTTTTAGATAGATAGAAATTGATTTGCGAAAAAAACCTACTTGAAGTTCCGTCATTTCTTTGACCTTGGGAATACTAGCAGGAAGTGATAATGGTAGCAATGATCATAGTGGTGATGATGAGAATGGTATGGAGTTGGGAAATGAATGGTTGCAGGGAAATGGGGAGCTAGGAAGATAAAACATTGCATGCTTTCATAAAAACACCCATTCACTGTAGAATTCAGAATACTGATAATTGCTTGGTTAAACAATTCCATTCCAATCGATAATGGCTCAGGCTTCTCAAAACCCGTACAGCAAAATAATACAGTATATACAAACTCCGCCGGCGCAAAATGAAAAAAAGAAAACGGAAAGCGAAGAAGATTCATGCCCATCTGCGTGTCGCATTTTTGTCCCAGCTAATGGAAGCACAGTAAAGGTAGAGGAGAATGGAAAAGGAAGAAGACACCAAAATGTGATCGATCGAACAAATAACCGCTGGATGAAAGATCTTGCCGGCAACGATTGTCATGAAGAAAGATGGACGATGGTAGTATGCAGTATATTCCGATTCCAACCTTTTACTCCTGGCCGAATCCCAAGGTTTCCTCCACGGCAATAGACATCTTATGCTCAAGAGCATCATGCGTCTTATATGGAGGGAGATCCAGTCGGTTGAAGCTGTAAAATTCATGTTAGCCAATGTGCAACATAAAACATAGACAGAAAATACATACCAGGTATGCGACTTGGGCAATGCACCAGGATCTCCCGACTTTTCAATCGTAAATCGTCGGGGCCCATCAGAACCTTGGAGATCCTTGAAACCGTTGACCGGAATACGTGAGGTACCGGTGGTGAACTGAAGGAGACGAGACTTCTGCTCCGCATCCCAGGTGCGGACGATCTTCCAGAAGTTCTGGATAACATCATCTTGTTCCTGGTAGCCACGGTAGTCCGTGTGCTTCTTCCAGTCCTCCACATCAATATCCGCAATACCTCCGACCAACAGCTCCAATTCGCGTTCATCGAACACATTGACCAAGTCGGCCGGGATGAGTTCGTTGAAGCCAGACATGAACGCATCGAACTGCTCTTCAATACGCTTCTTGATCTTCCATTCCGTAACCAGCCTGAGACATAGTTAGAACCAGCTTATTGAAATCCATCACTAGGGCACAAAACTTACTCAACATATTGGGCCTTGTTCTCGTTGGTGACGGGAAGGTCCTGACCACCGGGCAACAGATCAATAGTCCGACGTTCTCCGAATTTCTCATCATCAACGGCAAAATTAGGCTCAATAATACCCTCGATATCATTATCCCTGTAAGATTATTGTCAGTAATCTAGTTCTCTATAGAATGCAGATATTGGTTAAACTTACAGGACCCATGTCAAGTTGCGGTGCAAGTCCTCGTCAACACCCTCCATATCCTGAAGCGTCACCTTCTTTCGGAGCATCATCTTATAGAACGCACCGATGAAGAACGAATCAAGGAAACGACGGTGGAAGATAGCCAGACCCACAACGCGACCAATGAACTTGAAGTAGTTCAAATGCTCTGGGTTCACGCCGGAGTGAGGGTTGATCTGCAGGGTATAATTATCGTGGGCGGAGTATTCGAAAAGACAGTAGAAGGGGTTAAACATTTCATGGGAAAGAAGGAAGAAGAATTCACTGCACGAAACTGGTTAGCAACCAAAATCCCCAAGAGACCTGAAAGAATCCATACCGAGAGAGACCACCATAGTCCAGACCATCTTCACCGTCAAACTTGATCATCAAACGTTTCTTCAGATCCGAGGCACTTTGCCGCATAATTTCGGCATACGAGTCCTCAAAGATGTTGTTTCGGCGCACCTTAACATGGCACTGGCCGGACATGATGCGCAGAGCGGGCTGCGAGCGGAAGTAAATCAGCTTGCGTCGGAAGTCCCGCTTGTACTGAGGAACACCCTGATCCAAGGACGATGGGAGACGAGGGTCGTCCCATGTGGTCGTCTTGGTGTTGTGATCCACAAAGTAGACACGAGCCGTGTTGGTCAGACGCATTTCCCAGCCACTGGGCAGCGGCCCCAATTGAGACACCGGCTGCTGCTGAATCGTGGTGTTGTTTCCACCTGCATTCTGTCCGTACATGCGAATGTACTGCTGTCGTCGGGGATCAACCCATGTCGTGGTCCGCGTGTTGTGATCAACGAAATAGGGCCGTCCCTCGGGGGTCGACCGTTGCTCCCATCCTGGCGGAAGCTCACCAGTGCCTGCAGTGGTGGCGCCCGTGGCCATCATGGAGACAGCGCTAGCACTGCCGCCCGGTGGGGTTTGAGCCTGGTGCTCCTGCAAGTTCGGCGAACTCGCGCCAGTCCGATCCTCCGGTAACATCCGACTCTGGTGGGCCCGACGCTCAAGCTGCATGTTGGCCTCCCGCTGAGTGCGCTGAGCATGTTCATTATAGTTATGCGATGGTCTCTGCCAGGTGGTCGTCCGGGTATTGTGATCAACATAATAGGTTCGGCCCAGGTTGTCCTCCCGACGTTCCCACCCGGTAGGTAAACGTCCTTGCTGATCTTCGAACGAACTGAGGTTGGTAGTGCGGGAACTTTGGCTGTGGGGGTTTTGCACAGCTCCGTTGACGGGAACCACTAGGCTCGATGGCCTTGTGGCCGACGACATGCGCTGATTCAGAGACGCACTCGACGCGGCCGCTGAGGACGGATCGCCAGCAATGGGATGTGAGGATGCCGTGACCTGCGGGACGAGTCCGGTCGATGATGAGGACGGAATTTGTGACCGACCATTTTGTTGAGTGGGATTCGGTGTAGATAGATTGGTGGAGAGGTTGATGATGAGCTTTCCATGCACGACTAGGTTATCATTTGACTTTTTCAGATCTCTCGTGAGCATTTCTGAATAAAAAAAAAATTTAAAAAAAAGGCGCGCAAAGGTTAGCTTAAAAATAGACATGGGGTGATTTGCGAACAGAATGACGCACCATCACCACCCATTTGTACATCAATCACATCTCCCATCCGCACGTTGATGACACCAAGGAAACCCTGATCCTTCTTTTTGAACTTCTTCTGGTCGAAAATCTGGATGGCAAGGATACTGTCTTCGTTGACCCGGCTGCACATTGAAGATTGACGACGGTCAGCTTATAACTGCTAGGGTTATAATTCTCGAGAGAGTAGATGGGTATGACATACAGGTCGAACATCTCATTCCAGTATGGGTTCAACGTTTTCTTGATCACAGATGTCGTGTGGGTTTGCTCACCCCCGACGGTGGCCACGGCAAACGGATCGGGAAATCCTACAATGATTTGGTCAGCCGACAAAGGAGGAACAATGCAGGTCGATTATCAAAGGAACCAGACGTACGGAATACATCGCGTTTGTATAACCCATCCGCCGCGATAACTGCGGAGTCGAGTCAGCTTCTCCGTTGATGGTTTTGAGGACAGTTAGTTGGTTTTGCTTACTTGTGAGCCGTAGATTCGGCTGGCTGTAACCATCATCCGTTAGATTGGACCCGACTAGAAAAGAAAGGAAGTGAAGCACGTACGCAGGTAGATTGGAGCCCATTCTGTGCCACACGGGAAACGCTCACAGTACCACACCTCTGAGAGCAAAAGGGCCGATCAAGGCAAGCCTAGCGGGGAAACTGCGGCGTGCGCATCCACCTCTGCTGTCCGGCAAAAGAACAGAACACACCTCTGAGTGCTGCTAGTATTCGGACGGGGAAAGGCAAGGCGACGATGGTATGGGCGGGGAAGAAAGGACCGAGGAATGGGTCGAATCGATCGGGTGGGTTATGTCTTAGAAGAGATCGTCATTTAACGCCTGAAGGGCTGATTTGACGGCCAGCGAAAACGACAAACCGACGGCCGCGAGAATGCCGAGTCGGTAAATCAGGAGATCTCGCCCGATCTGAAGTGGGCGACGAGAACGAACAAAGTGACACTCAAAAAAGGCGAAAATGTAGATATCGGAAGATAGAAAGATAATAGAGAGTGAGAGAAGACGGAGAGAAAAGGAAACGAGAACGAAGAAGAAGAAGCGGCGCGGACTCTCTTGGAGGGGGCTGAGCACACTAACTACTGGTCCAGCAGTCCTGACGTTGAACTGCCGCCAATGAGGCGCTTAGCGAGGGGCGCTGGGCGGAGTAGCCGGAGTAGCAGCTGTGCTCTGTAGTAGTTGTTGTTCTGTAGTTGTGTAGTAGCAGTAATTCAGGCAATAAAAAGAACTGAGATAGATGAAGAGTTTGAGTGGGAGAGATGAGAGGGATGAAAACCGAGAGAGAAAGTGAGAGAAGACAAATGGTTCGGCCGTTTTGGTCGCCGGGTTAGTCAGGAGGCTATAAGCATGGTTGACCGAGCTCTGCAATTATATACCTCACTCGAATAACTAGTGCCCTATAAGCTTTTCTAGAACCTTCAATCCATTGTTTTCACATTACATTTACTATCACTAATTATGTACTCGTAGTAGTTATTCGCTTGTACGGAGTATACAGACTATCGACTTAGGCTTCATGATTTCCCTTTTCGTAGACCGCTTACTGCATTGGTCCTGGTCGATTCCAGCCCTATGATTCATTACCTCGTCTTCTCTTCTTCTCCTCGTCACCTACATCCTTTGCTAACTTATCCACTGTAAACATGGCCGTGACTCTCAGCTAGAAAACTGCGAGACACTCGCCCAGTGTCCAAGAGCTGCAGAGTACCCCAGCCTACGTGAACGTCTATCCAGGTCTTACTCAAAGCCCAAAACCAGATTCACCTTCACGATGGCAGGGCCCGATGGGCTTTGGTGTTCGTCATGTCAACGACAATGCTCCATTTTCTCTCTTGGACGACGATAACCAAAAGTTCTGGCACAGCACGCGTACAGAATCAGGACACATTATTGAAAAATACAACACAGGGCGCATATCCTTCTACGAATGGCTCCTAGTCATCGAAAACCCCGATCCACCAACCCCCATCCCGCTAACTGTCGCCTGTATGCCAGGCCGCTTCTATGCCCGAGGCCAGGAAGAGCGGGTGTGCGTGTATGGGTTGTATCCGTACTGCTACCCTAGCATCCCAGACCCATGTCCTGAAATCTCCTGGAGCAAGAAAGAAAGCCCAACGAAGTCACAGATTGCCAGCGTAGTTCACGCCCTTTCGAAACTGGCCAACGTCCGACGAATCAACTTTATGCCGGCTGCTATTGTGGTTGAGCTCGTTAGTGATGATGGTCGTGAATATCCACGTAACTAGTTCGTTGTTGAATATTGTGACTAATCGACTGACTACATAGTTATCATCATGCTTCGGACTCGTTTTTCAACTCCACGCGAGATCAGACGCGCGAGCGTGAAGACCCAAGCCAGTATCCCGCAGGTCTGCTTCCTCAAGATGCAACGAATTACATCCATGAGCCTGAATGGGGTATGTTCAGTCCAGGCATGAGAGTTTCAACCGCACCTGCTGCAGACTCTCGACCCATGACATCTGGCATTTTTTTGCGAAAAGGAGATACCCAGTGTATCACAGTGGCAAGCCATGCTTTTCCGGACACACAAGAGGTGTTCCACCCCGCGCCACACGGTGACAAAATCGGGGATATTATCAAACGACATCCAGAACTAGATACAGCAATGGTGCAGCTCACGCCTGCCAATTCCCACCGGTTCACTAACAACACATACTTCCAAGCTGAGCCACCCAGACGCCTAGCTCTATCTTCCGACATAACCCCCGGGACATGGTTCGAAGCCGACGGCATGAACACAGGCTTGCTGTCCTTCCTGTGTTTGGGAAAAGCCCTCGAGAAACCTGCACGCCCAATTACTGACATCCCCGCTGACGAGTGGAAACAAAGCACCTTCTTCAATATTTTTGGTACGAGGAGTCCGCAAATAATGGAAGGTATTTATGGCGCACCACTTGTGGAGGCGGGGACTGGACTTGTTGCCGGGCTTTTGCATTCAGCAAATGGAGTTTGGGCCGAGTGCGCTGCGCTCGATGACCTTGTTGCTGAAAGGTGGGGGAGTCGCTTAGGGTAACCTTTTCTTCTCTTGACATGGCTTCCATGGATTTCTATGGCGTTTAACTGGGGCACTGTGTTTCTCGGAGTTTGATAAGGACTGTGAGGTGCTCTGGTCATGTTTCTGCCTTTGACAAACTAAGTAGGTAATATATAAATTAAATCTACGAAGTTATGGGCCAAAAGACATCGTACTTGAAGGCCAGGAAAGTAAAACTTGTACTCCCACGGGTATTTTATGTATCTATTAAAGTAGACGCTCAAGACAATTTGGAGTACGGGTAATCTGGATGAACGATTCTGTCCCAATAGTATGAATGCCAATATAAGAATATGATATCACAGAAAATAAAGAAAGCAAAACTTCTGATATCAATCCATCCATGTCGTTCCTCAGTCTGCTGCTTGATAGTGGTTTTATCGTACAGTAACACCCCAGCCTCCCTTAACTCCAAAGAAACAATCCAACGAAGTAGCCGCTTGTGCACTGGGGAGAGCATTTTTGCTCCTCTTGAAGCCGCCCTCTTTTCTCTAGTTTGCCCCATCCTTATGCACGCAGTCTTGGCGTAAGAGTTAATGCACGGGTTTGGGCCCGATTAGTACGGTGCGTAGCCTCGACCGCGACCCCGATAGCCGCCTCCACGGTATCCGCGAGGTGCAAAGCCTCCCCGGCCATAGCCACGTCCCCGGAAGCCTCCCCGACCACGTCCCCGAGCCATACCGGGCAGATTCGTTCGCTTGGGAACAACCTGGTGGAACCAATATTAATATCTGAAGCGATATCGGAGACTCGTAGCAGAACTCACCTTCAGATTTCTACCACGGAAAACACTCTCGTTCAGGATAAGTGCCTGGGCCACGAGACTAGGCTCCGCGAATTCCACATAGGCGTATCTATAGCACGAAACAGTCAACACACGTCCAACACCCCATGATACCGTTATCCGCAATTATCCAAAACATACCCCTTAGGCTGGCCGGTGAATTTATCCAACAGGATCGTAACGCGGTTTATCGAGCCGCAGCTCTGGAAATGCGCCTGGATCTCCTCGGGCGAAGCAGCGTAATCGACATTACCGACGAAAACACTCCGGGCATCGATCTCTTCTTTGTTTTCTGCCAAGCTCTCCGTCTGTTGGTCAAGGGTGGATTGCATCTCGCGCAGTTTTGCCGCCTCGGATTCCATCTCTGCTACCCGCTTCTTCATCGCCGCGATTTCTTCCTATATTAAAGAGATTGTTAGCACATGTCTTTCCGGGCATAATAGAAAGGAAATGGGGATAGCAGCAAGCACTGGAATTGCAAGCATACCTCATCATCACCACCCTCCTCCTGCTGGGGATTCGTATCCTCCACGGGCACATCCTGGATCTCTTGCCCTTCCGTCGCCATATTGATTAGGGTAAAAAGAGTAAAAAGAGGGATTTAGGGGTTTTCTCGAATAAAAGAAAGAAGAAAATTCCAGTTAATTTGATCCACAGAGTCGGGAAAGGCCCCGAGCAAGAAATGGTGGAGAAGCAATGATGACTTTCTGCTGGTCTGGCCTAGCGTGCCGCGCGGATAAGATCTTCTGGTCTGGAAGAATACAATATCCGACCAAGTAGAGAACAAATGCGGCTCCAATTGAATTGAGATATAGATAAGAAGCAATTGTCACCTGGAGGAGGTGAAGGAGTTACAAGCAGGAAAAAACGGTGATGTCGACTGGGATCGACGCCAAAGTCACAGTTGCCTGTTTGGGTTTAGCGGCTTTTGTCATCAACACGGCCTTGAGTATTGAATATAGGACGAACAATGGCATATTTATTCACTACTATTTGCTAGGAATGTAGCCTTTAAGTTGAATTATAAGTGAATATTGTCTACCTGGCAACAATGCTAAATGAACACGCAAGAGCCAATTCATAAATCTAGTATTACTGACGAGAACTCGACGCTGGAATCAAATAAACATGGGCAAACGTCTGGGATATATACAATCGAGCGAGAACAACAAAGGCATAATTCATGAAGCGGGAACGGCGTTTTTACGGAAAGACACCTTCTCGACCGCAACAGTTTCGGCTCCGTTGGCATCCGTCTTGAGCTGATAGACATAAAGCACAAGCACATCGCCTTGGATCTGTAAAGGATCAGTATGCGCGCGACATTTAGGTATTCCGCGAAACTTACATCCATCAAGCAGAAACTGGGTGTAGGATCCTCTCCCTCAGGCCAATACCCCGTGCTCATGGCTCCGGTAGCACTTCCGGGATTCACGAAGAAACGACCTTCCATCTCAAACGCCTCGAAGCGATGTGTACCTCCCCACAGCAAGATATCGACATCCATCTGACGTGCGGCGATGAGTAGGGCGTCCGCATCTCCCGAGGGAATGATGGTGTGGCCATGCGTAAAACCGATCCGGAGGCTACCGTGTGTGACGACCTTGGAGAGAGGCAGATTGGGCGAATCGACATCAAAATCACCTTTGACTAATTGTAGATCGGGGGCGGCTCCGCGGAGGAGCTCGAAGGTATCGCGGTCCGTCAGGTTACCCAGACAGAGGATCTGGCCGATCTTGCCTGGCGTCAAGAGCTTTTTGAACTGGATTGTGTCAATCGAATAGCCATAGATATATAGCGAAATACTCAGAAAAGAAATGCGACGCGCACCTTGGCAGGGAGATCCTAGGGACAAGTCAGCGACCTTCTTCACTCACGGAGCGAACACGAAGCCACCACTCACGGGAGCTCTGTCAGGGATGAAAAGGTCACCGATGACCAGGACTAGACGAGAGGCCATCTTGATTATAATTCAGTGGATAAAGGGTTTAAGAGCGCATTCCACATAGACCAGGGATAATTGTAGGACGGAGAACTGGAGAAGCGCAGTCCGCAGTCTGTCAATAGACGATGTCCGTCCATTGAAGCTTTGCGGGGGGAGCTAGCAGCCACGTGATATAGCAGCCCTACGTATTTACGATACAACAGTCGGTCTGCAAGTGTCTGCAATGCATTTAACGAAACCAGCTAATAGAAGTCAGAGAATATATCATAAACTATCACAATTGGACAGTAATTGGTGCTGTTCTTGCAGTGGTCTGCAAATATGCATGGTATTCGTAATACGGACATAGCATACAAACGCCGTCCGGAGATACCGACTTGATGGAGTTTTCTAAACGAAGAATACTAGCTACTAGCTAAAGAATAGCCGGGGTGATGCCGTTAAAGTCAAGTAGGCTATCATTCAACATGGGCGAGAATTGGCCATTGTCAATCCTCTTTTTTTTTTTTTTTTTTTTCCCTCTTTGGACGTGCGTAGTTCTCACTCGGACGATATGCGAACCGGCATTTGAGCATGTACTAATCCCGACATAAAAGGAGACAATGGATGCTTCAGACTGCATAAAGAGAGTCAGTTTGTATATAAATAGAATTGAGCAAATGCCTTGATATATCTGAGATCTTTTCACTTCTTTTCTTCACTCACTTTACCAGGGCCAATCTTGCGCCGGTGATTCCTATCCCAAAAAGGAAATTTTCATATTCTCTGCCCTGGATATTATATTTTATAAGGATTTTATACCTCGGAATCGAAACCGAAAGCCACGAGAATGCCCGACAGTCGCCAACGCCTGAGTTTGATCTCGAGGCACCTGTCGGATCCGGAGGCCGAACTGAACACTCCGTTTTCGACCGAGAGATTCCAGAAGCCCCTCCTCCCACCGCTCACCTCTTATAATCCACAACAATCTTCTTCTACAACCACCTCTTCTTTCTTTACAACATCATCATCACCAGCTGCCAACATGTCCACTCAAGCTCCTCACCCGACTCTCCTCATCCCCGGTCCCATCGAGTTCGACGATGCGGTCCTCCACTCCATGGGCCACTATGCGTGAGTACCCTTCGACCGAGAGATGAAGAAAGACGAGAAAAGACAAAGACAAAAGGAAAGGACCATAGAAGAAAGATGCTAACGTCAACAGTGAGTCCCACACAGCTCCCGGCTTCGTCAAGACCTTCGGAGAGACCTTGACTCTCGTTCGCAAACTTTTCCAGTCCTCCAACCCCGCCGCTCAGCCCTTCGTCGTTTCCGGCAGTGGTACCCTCGGCTGGGACATGGTCGCCTCCAACTTGATCGAGAGGGGTGAGAACGCGCTCGTCCTGCACACCGGTTACTTCGCCGACTCGTTCGCTGCTTGCTTGGAAACCTACGGCGCCAACGCCACCCAGCTCAAGGCCCCCATCGGAGACCGCCCCTCGCTCGAGCAGATCGAGCAGGCCCTCAAGGAGAAGACCTACAAGCTCCTCACCATCACCCACGTCGACACCTCCACCGGTGTCCTCAGCGACGTCAAGGGTGTCACCGAGCTCGTCCGCCGCGTCAGCCCCGAGACCCTCGTCGTCGTCGACGGTGTCTGCTCCGTCGGCTGCGAGGAGATTGCCTTCGACACCTGGGACATCGACGTCGTCCTGACCGCCAGCCAGAAGGCCATCGGCTGCCCGCCCGGACTCAGCATCGTCATGACCTCGCCCCGCGCCATCGACCGCTTCCGCAACCGCCAGACCCCTCCGGCCTCCTACTACGCCTCCATGGCCAACTGGATGCCTGTCATGCAGAACTATGAGAACCTCAAGCCCTCGTACTTCGCTACTCCCTCCACCCAGCTCGTCCACGCCCTCCACACCACCCTGACCCAGATCACCTCGCGCCCGCTGTCGGAGCGCTTCGCCACCCACACCCAGGCCTCGGACAGCGTCAAGGCCGCCGTCGCCGAGCTGGGTCTGTCGCAGCTTGCTCCTAAGCCTGAGAACCAGGCCCACGGCATGACTGCCATCTACCTGCCCGAGGGCCTCTTGCCCACCGATGTGCTGCCCCTTCTGCTGAAGCGCGGCGTCATCTTCGCAGCCGGTCTGCACAAGGAGATTGCCACCAAGTACATCCGTTTCGGTCACATGGGTGTCAGTGTCACTGACCCCAACCGCAACCACGTTAACTCGGCTATTGCTTCTCTCAAGGAGGCTTTCTCCGAGGCTAAGCAGGCCAAGGGTCTGTAAACGTGCGAAAAGAAAGAAGTAATTAAAAAAAAAAAAAAGAAAGAAAGAAAAAAGAAAGAAAAAAAAGAGTTATATAAGTAAATAGCAAAGCATTACGAATACATGAATCAATATTAAATCGGATCTACCAAGGAAACGATTGTCCAGCGAATAAAACCCATCAATCATTCAGTCAATTGATATCATCCACTGCAAAACTATGCTAACAAGCAACAACGATGATGAATATAAAAATAAGCAAACAGCATCACCCTCTCCAGCCACTCAAAATGCTGTAAAACAACACTATGCAATCAAAAAAAAAAAAAAAAAAAAAAAAAAAAAACAGAACAGAAAAAAGCCAACTTATTGCAAGGAATATAAAAGCAGCAGCAAAACTAATAATGACCAGAGAGGGCATGGTGAGCGGGGGGGGTATGGTATAAAATGATACGATCATGGCTCTTTTCCAACCATCTTTACAGGAAAGGGACGAATAAAAAATCATGCGCGATTATCATGCTTCTGCTTCCCCTCTGCGCAATGCAAGAAGGGCGCGGACGTCGGTCACGTATTGTAATGCTTCTAGCATCGGGATCAGGTGAAGTAGGCCGTTATCTGTTGGGTCGTTGATCCAACCTTCGATTGGAATGGCGTTATCTGGCTATGTTAGCTTGAATTTGTACAAGGAATGGGGGAGGAACGTACCCTCGTGAAAAATATAGCTCATAGGGCTGTTATCCAAGATCATCACCTTGCTCAAGTCCGGCTCCACGGCGCTCAGATCTTTTATATACGCCCCGTTCCGAAACGTACAATGTTGACGGTAATATCGCGCCTGGAAATACTTTCGCTCTTGTTCCAGCCAGTCAATGACCGGATCGGCGTATTCCTGGACACTGGCCGTGAAGACTACCAGTTTGAACCACTTGCAGACTTTGCGCAAAAAGTCATCACAATGAGGTCGTTTGTGGACGTAGTAGAGAATAGGGTGCTGCGGTCCTAGCATCGTGGGCGGTCCGCCTGGCGTGAGAGCGGTGGTCATGGGTGTTGACAGTTTGACCTCGACCATGTGACCGCTAGACATGCGGCCACCTTTCGCCAGCGAGTGTATGAGGGTTTCATCGAGATCCAGAACAAGAGTCTTCTGCGGAATTTTGGCATTGCGCGGAGCCGCAGTGTACGAAGGCAGACGTGGAGGAATCAGCGGTCGTGGGGGAGCGGGTGCATGTGGGTACTTGGTGATGCGATGAACGGAAGACGATGGAGACGTGGGCGACTTGATACTATCCAGACTGACGGACCCTGCCCGGGAACCGCCATCATGCGATGGTTGCCGCAGATCGGCGCTCTGGCTCCGACGTTGTCTTTGTCGCTGCAGGGTTTCTTCGTTGTGCAATTTGATCCGAATTGAACGACGGGGGGCCTCCGAAGCTTGGTCCGAATTGTTCACTTTAATAGACGTCCGACTCTTGCCGCTAGAAGTGAGACCCTTCACAACGCTCCCTTCCGATTCAGAAGTACTCGACGCGATCGACTCTCGTGGGATATGGCTCTTGGGTTTCCGTGTACTGCGACGGTTGCGCGCATCTCCTTGCTTGCCTCCGCCTTTACTCGCCCTCTTTCTATGCGAGCCTCTTGCGATGGATCGTCGGAGCTTTCGTACCGGAGCCATGGGGGAATAGTGACCGTCATCGTCTCGGAAGCATTGCGCCGCGAAGACTCCTGGAGCCGCCAATGTAGATAGAATGAACTTGATTGTTTCCGTAATCGCATCAAATATACGCTGCGCAATTGATCCTGGAGTGCTTCTCGTAGCCAATGGGCCGTCCTTCTTGAATTCGCGTAGCAGTAACGGCGACTTCTCGTCCAATACAGGACCCCCAACAGTATCGGCTATGTCCTCGGTCGATTCGGATATATCGCCATCCTGCTTTTCCAGAATGTTATTCGAAGAAACCTCGTCGTCGCTGTAGGACCGGTGCTTTCCGACATCGTCCGGCGGACTCTTGGATGGTGGAACGTTGTCTCCTTGCGATCGGGAGCGTTGACGGATGCGATTCGAATTGGAAGACTGGCCAATGACTCGAGACGAAAGGATATTCAGCGAGTTCATTTTCCAGCACGGCCCATGAGCGTCACGGCTGGCGCAGGTGTCTAGAAAGAGGGAGAGCGCGGAAAAGAGGCTAACCGTCAGCGAAGTTCCAGCCACGAGGTTTCACCGTCTGATTGATCTTATCAACTCTAACCGGGGTAATGGCAGATCATGACAGGGTATCAGAGGGGGGGGGGGGATAAAACAAAAAGAGAAAATCCAAAGGGCATTGCGATACCAACCTCAATGCGCCAGTCTTGACAACCCGGACAGTACCTCGGGAACCACCACCGCGACGCTGTTTGTTGTAATTGTTTGCTGCGACTACCTAGCGAATGGGCAGAAGAGCATCCAGAATAGGGATCATAGACGGATTATAACAGCGGTAGTTATAAAGAAGCAAAAAATGTGAAGAAAAGGTATACAACTGCCCGAGTCGGAAATGATGATGCCAGCAAAACAGTAGTAGTAGAGAGAACGGTGTGGGGGAAAGTCGTCAGTGGTTCTTGTAGGCGGGCGGAACAAAAATGATTGAACCTCCGACTCATACCACCACTACTACACCACAGTTACGACGACTCTCACCACAGCAGCTGGATAAAGGAAAAGACTGCTGGAGGTGTCCGTCTTACTTGAGGTTTTTTGAGTGGTGTCCAGTTGAAACTGCTTGGTATGCTCTCTGGCCATGTTCGTGGGTTGTATTAAGACTCATCAAAGAACTCACAGAACTACATATAAAATGCCCTCCACGTCACTGGCCTTGACGCCCGGTTTGGCGTCGTTTCTCAAGTCGCTAAAGACGAACCAGATCGATACTTCCATTGACAATTTGATCTCGTGCGTTTCCCGGCGTATTGCTCTACTAGAGCCCCTCTACTAACCTTGCACCCCCACTAGACTGCTCAAGCGAAGACAAATTCGTCACTCGAGATCATGCGCAACTGCTACGGCTTACCTCCTCCTTCGTGTTATTTCGGCTTGTCGGACTACAGATGTGGTCAAGTTGATCGAGCGGGTACAGAGTGTGGGAAGGCGTCTCGTGGCCGCGCAACCGCGAGAGATGGTGGTGGGCAACATCGTTCGACGGGTTTTGGGTCTGATTCGCGACGAGGCAGAAGATGACAGAGAGGCGGATTTCAACCTGAGTGAAGCTGGCTCGGAGAGTCAACCGCAGACCCCTCGTGTGCCTGATGGTCGGTTGCGCTGCAACCCTCTTCATGAAAGATTCAAGACTGACTCATATTCTCTTCAGACGCTTCGGATATTCCATCTGCTCGTCTCGATGGATCGGCCGCCAGAACTTCATTGACATCCATGTTCAGCCTTCTTTCTCACCCAGAGCCCGAACCCTCGCTCCCCGGTACCCCCTCGTCAGCCTCCCCCTCCGGCAGAGTGCCCGGCCCTAGCAAGGACATCCGCGCAGAAGTTATGGAAGGAATCAATGAGATTATCGATGAGCTGGGACAAGTCGACGATCAGATCTCGGCCTATGCGCTCGACCATATCCACTCGAACGAAATCATCCTCACCCATACTTCCTCGACAACCGTTCAGAAATTCCTCCTCAAGGCCGCGGCCAAGCGGCGCTTCACTGTTATCATTGCCGAGTCGTTCCCGAATAACCATGAGGCTACGCATTCGACTGTCAGCGGGGCCAGTGCCAATGACGAGGAGACTCTAAGCACCGAATCATTCCAGAAACCGCTCATCGCCATGGGCATCACTATTATTCTGATTCCCGACTCGGCCGTCTTTGCCCTCATGTCTCGCGTCAACAAGGTTATCCTGGGTACGCACTCTGTCCTGGCCAACGGTGGACTTGTCGCGGCAGCAGGCACTCGAGTCATTGCCCGTGCAGCCAAGGTGCACCAGACTCCCGTCGTGGTAGTCAGTGGCGTGTACAAGCTCAGCCCGGTGTACCCGTTCGACTTCGAGTCGTTGATCGAGTATGGAGACGCCAGCAAGGTGATTGGATACGAGGACGGTGATCTGGTTGACCAGATTGATGTCCAGAATCCGCTGTACGACTACGTTCCTGCGGAGTTGGTCGATCTTTACATTACCAATCTGTGGGTTCCTTCTTCTTTTCTAGATCTCCAGAAGACGAGTACAACTGACTTGACTTTACTACAGGGGCGGCCATGCGCCATCTTATCTCTACCGTATCGTGTCGGATCACTACCGCAAGGAAGACATTCACTTCTAATTATGTTGCGGACAAGAAAAAAAGGCATATGGAAAAGGACAATGAAAATGGCGCTATTGTTTTAATGGATAGATTTCGATGATTCCAATATGGATGACGGTATGAATATGAAGTGACGATACCCAGACATAGAACGTCCACGGCAACGTAGATGCGCATACTCCGTGGAGTAGAACTTGTCGTAGAACACGAGTACAATGAATCTCATAGATCCCAGGTCTTACAACTACCAAGTCTAGGACCGACACCGGTGCACGATTAAAAAGAAAAAGAAATGTTTATTCAGGGCCCCTTTCCCAAAGAAAAAAAAACAATCATGGCGCCATCTTTTTATGAGTATCAATCGTAGTAGCTGCACAATGGTTTTGCAGTGTCATTCGTCCTGAACCATAATAATTTCCAGACCATAGATCGGACAGATCCCATGACTTAATTCATTGTTCCGATTCCTTTTTCCATGGCATGGGCCCCTCGTCTTTTCGTCGCATCCACACCCAAATTCTTTACGAACGGGGCTTCTCCTTCTTCTCCTTCCAGAGAGCGAGCAGACCGACACCAGAGACCTTGACGACCTTGAAACGAACACCGGGAATATCACCCTTGGCCTTACCCTTACGACCGAAACCGGCAAGGAGGACCTCGTCGTTCTCGTCGATGAAGTTAAGACAACCGTCGTTGGGGACTGTTGAATCATACAGTCAGCATATATCACCAAATATCGACCGAAATGCGCCATGGTTCCCCGTTATCATTCCACTCTTTCACCCTCCATATTTTGTCTCCAGCGCTCTTCTCGTAATCCTCCCAACCATGACAGACGTAGAAAGGGGGAAAAAAGTGTAAAGAAAAAAAGGATTACCCACCGAAAGCGGTGACCTTCTTGCCGTTCTTGATCAACTGGACCTTGACACACTTCCGAATGGCGGAGTTGGGCTGCTTGGCCTCAACACCGACCTTTTCGAGGACAATACCCTTGGCGTGGGAGGCACCACCGAAGGGAGACGACTTGTAGGCGGTTCCGAGAAGGCGCTTCTTGTAGTGCAAGTCGGCCCAGCGGTTGTCACGGCGGGTGGTCGCGAGCTTGCGCGCGGCGTTGAGTCCTCTAGGCTGGCCCTTACCCATCTTGGCGTATTATGTTCGAACGGACGGTCAACTGTGAGAATCGAGAACTGTTAGAATTTTGTCTGGTGACTTGTAGGTTGATAAGAATCTCCGGGGAGAGGCAGCGGTTGTCGTGGTGTGGGTTTTGTCCCATGACATTTCGAAATCCAGCCATTTTGGCATATCCAAATTCGAGCTCAAAAACTGACAAACCCACGACCGCGACAACAACAATAACGACCTGTACGTACCGACTGAAAAGATATCGCCTAAAGGCCTGATGGGGTGTTTGTCGAAATGGTCGAATGTCGAAGGGTCTCGCTAAAGGCGCTCGAGAGCCGAAAATGTTCTCCTGTGCGCCGCTCGCCCTAAGGTCCCGCTAAGCGAGTCCGGACCGGATAAATAGATATCCCGCTCTTATCGATAACACGTATTCCCCCTTTATCAGTTGACGATAAGAGACGACGTGGAGTACAAGACATCATTCCATATTAAAAAGTCAAGATATGGCCAGCACATCCAAAGACAGTCCTCACCATTTGAGGAAAATTAGCTCTCAGCGTCTCCCACCGCCATCTCTGTTCCAAGGCCCTCCGTCTCACAATGCATCCAATCTATCACTTGCTCAGCCGCCATCGAATGTAGGATCTCGAGGAGCCAGCCAGCCTCCGCCATTGCAGCGCAGTCGCACCCCTCGTGCTCATGATTCTTTCAGCACCCAAAGCCATTCGCTATCGCCGTTTCGGTCGCGCGCGCAGTCTAAGGGCGAAGTGGATAGCTCAGATGCGATCTGGCAGGAAATGCAAAGTGCCCTCTCCGAGGTCGAATTAAGTGCCGTGACTCGAGAGCATGTTTTCGGGGAAAAGCACTCAGAGGCATTGGAGGATCTGCGACGGAAACAGCTGACGCTCGCGCAGGCGTGGGCTCGGAGTGAGGCGGATGAAGTGGTCGACACATCGGAGCGCCGTCCATCGTTGCAAGGGCAGTCTCAGAATCCGAACGTTACAGCAGAGGATATTAACCATCGGAACCTGGATGAGGAGACTGAACGAGATATTCTGTTGGCGCGTGAGAGGCGGGAAGCCAATGACCGGTACTTTGATCGGGTCAACAACGGTGTGTTGGATGTGGTGGCCAAACTTGAAGAAGTTGCTCAGGCTATGCGTGCTGTGGAGAGGGAGAGCAAGGATATTTGGAGTGACACTGACAGTATGACTACTACTACTACTACTACTACGGCGCCGTCCACTACCAATGCCGGGGGAGAGTTATAATTGCATTCAAGGAGTGCATTCCCCAAACCGTTGTCTAGAAGCCTCTTCATCCGGACGTACGGCTGCCCTCTTAATCGCATAGACATTTCCTCATTGAAAGTCGGCTGCTGCTAGAAGGGAAGCTTGCTCTTCTGGCCATGGCCAGTCACTATATAATATAGCACTTGTATAATAATACATACATAGAAACTAATAATGGATATAGGTAATCATAACGCTGTTCATAACAAGGGTATATACAATACACAGAGCATCTGCTCAACTTTTCCTCTCCAATAACCACAACCCATATTTACTCTCTCTTCACGTACTTCATCGCAGCATTCCACCCCTCCGCAACAGTCTCCCGCGCATCTTCCCACCGACTCTCATGCGCCTTTCGTACCAGCGCCTCCACTTCCTTATTCCAGCGATGCTTCAACATATCCTTCGTAGTAGGCTGCTCCCGCCGAGATGCCCCATATTCCGTATTCCGTCTGAGGTCTTGATCTTCGGGAATGAATCGCCGGTCGTATGCGCCTACGGGGGATGCGATCCAGTTGAGGGTTTGAACTTGTTCGCGGATGGTGTTGCGTTGGTTGATGCGGTTGGTCTGGTGTGTTTGAACTGTGATATAGAGGACTGAGGTTGTTAAGGCGAATCCAGCGAACTATTGGGGAATTGGTTAGTGGGTTTGTTCGTGACGAGTGTTTTTGGTTTAATCAAGGGTTAATAAGGAATTGGTCCAACGTACGAAGCCGGTGAAGAAGCCCATATCCTCGATTGTTTGGGGACGATAGTTACTTCTTGTATACTTCAAGGTTCAGTCTTAGTTTAATTTTGGTATGACTGAATAGCGCTTTGAACTTGTCTGCAATTGGCGGCGGTCCTTGCGAGATAGTGGAGATGGAAGCGGCGGCACTCGAGACGAAGCTATAATTAGCCTGTATGCTAAATCTCGTCCTGTAATAGCAGCACTTGGAATTCGTCTTAATGGTAAATTGATAAGCAGAAGTATACAAAGATATCTTCTGTAGAAAATCAAGACGTCTGAATCTGCGGCGTTCCGGAGCGGAAACTCGCTCTCCGATTGGCCCGCTGCGGCTCCGGCTCCCAGAAATCGAATTTCTGCCATCACTTCAACCGATCTCGACAACGTCCAGAACTCCCTGCGGTCCCTTTCACAACTGGAAGTCAATTGACTGACTGTTTTAACACGATATCTATTCCCATTCGAAGCCGTCAAGCCCTTTTTTCACCCCACAACACTGAATCGAGCGAAAGCAGACCCGTGAAATTCCCGGCCTCGATCTCGACCTCGACCTCGAAAGACAAACACCATGGCCGGCAGCGCAAACAAATACCGTCACCTCAACCGTGACTCGGCTCACCGTCAGGCATTGCTTCGGAATCTGGTCACATCTCTCTTCCAGCACGAGTCGATCACAACAACATGGCCCAAGGCCAAGGAGGCCCAACGATTGGCAGAGAAATTGATTACCCTGGGCAAGAAGAACACCGAGACTAGCAGGAGAACAGCACTGTCGACTTTCTACGTATGTTCAGTGGAACTTCTTTCTTCTTACATTTGGATCTTTATATACCCCGCCTTGAATGCGCAGCTAACATATTGAACGCAAGACTCCACATGATATCCTCCCCAAACTCTTCGGCCCCCTCCGTGAACGCTATGCGCAACGCCCAGGTGGTTATACACGGGTATTGCGAGTCGAACCCAAGAAGGCGGACCAAGCTCCCAGCGCCATCCTCGAGCTCGTCGACGGACCGAAGGATATGCGATTCCATCTGACTGCCCGGACCGTTGCGCGTCAACAGGCGCAGGGCCTGGATACCCTTGGTGAAATCACGACAATGAATGTTAGGAAGGTGACTCAGTTCCGGAAGGATGGTGTTGAGGATTTGGAGGGTGCGATAAAGCGGTTAGAGCTTCAAGATAGAAAGACGCAGCCGGCAGCGTCAGAAGCGGCTGAGATTGTTGAGACGAAGAGACGGTAAATTTGTTAAACTAAAAGTGGGTATTATTGTGACTGTTGTCTTTCAGTCATGGCTTGTTTTCCCCTTCATGATCATGTAATTCTAGCTCCGATTTCTTGCGCAGATGTATGACTTTCTTCCCATGCCATGTTATCTTGTATGGCCCATGTATGAAGATTCCAGCAAATGTCATCCGTCGAATCTCGGGTGTGATGAGATGGTGAGTTGTGGAGCATGTGGTCATTGAGTAATTACTTCACATTTTCAGATTGATCTATTTAGCAACATGGTTTCATCAATCTACCAGTAATATTGAGCAACGGCTTCATGTCACCAAATGCCCACGCAATCCAGTCCATGATTGCCATAGACGAGCCGCTAAGAAATAAGACCAATATGTACCTAAATTGCCGTTCTCGTTCTTTCTAATTAGAATGTAGGCCCACTACAGCACGTCTATGTCTTGACTAGGAGCTAGCACAGTGAATTCATGGCTAAAAGAGCTGCACAAACGGACATCATCACACCGCAGTCCCCGTTTGTTCGGAGCCACGGGATCGTTATTCACAAGCAAGACGTTAGTTAGGCTTCGATGGAACGCTTGTTCCACCTGAGACAACAAGTGGCCCGTTCTTGGAACCGGAGGACGCATTCCCGGCGTGAGAATCACTCGAGATTGAGATATTCCGCGGCTTCAAGTCAAAGCCAGAAGGGACTTCTGAAGGTGGCGGTTTCGGAGGGAGATGGGATGGTGTGCCCCATTTCGCAATGGAGTCTCTGGTATTCAAAGAGACTCCACGAGCTGCGTTACGTGCGTCCGCATGCTTACTAGCGTCCGAGAATCCGTTCCACTGGGGCTGCACACCAGGGTGCATTGCTGGATAGTGGGATATACCAAGTTGATTGCCCTTGCCAGGATGTCGTGGCATTGGACCATTGCCACCTGGTACAAAGGAACGTGTTTGGGGATTGAACGGAGATCTAGCAAAAGAAGCGGGATGTGGATTCTGCATTCCCATGCCCACATTCAACGGTTGTCCTGGATATTGGGCATATGGATATGATGTCGGGTTAGATGCCATAGGCTGCGATGGGTAATTCGGCCAATGAACAGGGGGTTGGTTCCGGTAAGTCGGTTGCGGGAAGTTCCCATGGTATGCGGGAGAAGACCAATTGGGAGGCGCATGCTGATATGGCATGGAATTCGGAACAGCGTAGTTGTTTAACGCTGGCGACGACTTTGCCGATGGCTGTTGGTTCATCATCGCCGGAGAATGCATGGATGCATATCCAGAGAAAGGTGACTGCTGAGGTACATTCCCACCCTGCCAAGGGACATTCGACGACATCTGAGGGGAAACCGGCATAGGATATTGAGGCATCGAATTCATATGCATGGGTCCCGAGTACATGGCACCATTTTGACCACTAGGCACGTAACCCATACCAGGAGGCGTCACGCCAGGTCCCACCACATATGGTGGTTGACTTGGATATGAAGGATCATTCATAACGGCATTGTACGGAGCCGGCCCCTGCGCATAATGCATTCCTGGGTAATAAGCATTGAACTGTGACCTGGCCTCGAAACTGTCATCATGAGGAGTTTTCTGTCTCTGCGCCTTCTTGCGCCCACTTGTTGAGCTTGAACGAGACATATTGGCATTTTGATCGCCATTGGAATTATCCGACGATTTCGAGTCAGGGAAGTCACGGAAGATACGCTCTCTAACCTCCTGATATTTAGCTTCCCGCTCTTCTCTAGTTAATGTTAATCTGTCCTTGGCAGATGTCCCAGCAGAGGAACCACCGCGTTCATTTCCACTATCGCCAGCCTCCGACGCAGGAATAGAACTTGCTGTTATACTACCCTCAGTGGAAGGTCGTTCTCCATCTGTCCGACGCATGATTTTCATGGCTGGCACTGGAGGAGGCGGCGTATTGTTGGCAGGTTCCAAAGCAGACAGAGGTGCTGGCCTGTTATGCTTGTCAGCATCTTTGATCAACTGTGTCCTAGAGTGGAGTAAATGAATATATCACTTACAGTCGACAAAACGGTGTTCTATGAAGCCGAACCGATGTGACATTGTTATCCACAAAATGGGTCAAATGATAGTAATCACCCAGCTTATGCGCGAGAAGCCGCCCAAAAGCATTCGATGGTGGCAATTCCAAGGATTGCTCCCTGTAGTTCAATGTTAGAACACGCATGTCTCTGTGCGTCAATTGCCAATAGCTTACTTAGAATGCTGAATGAAGTTTCGGACTTTGTCCTCTAACTGAAGAATTAAAAGACGATCTTTTGGAGACTTCATTGCCTCTAAAAGCTTCTCGTCTGGGTCCTGAGGGAACCCATGTAAGGCTCTCTCAGTTTGAAACGGTCCCGAACCGGGAAGGACGTAGTTATTGGAAACAGAGTCTGGGTTAACTGCACCGTTGGATCTTTGAATGCTATCATTATTTGCAGACCCAGCGTTTTGGAGAATCACCCTTGACTTGTGGATACTAGTATCCCTGAATCCGCGAGCGCCAGATTCCGAGCCAGTCAGAGAATTAGGGGCACCTGAGGCAGCTCCGGAAACAGATTCCTCTTCGTCAATGGCCTGTACACTAGCGCTGTCATCTGGTCGCAAGGAATCTTTCTCGTCCATTGCGAACGTAGCCACGGAAACCATACTTTTCGAATCAAAGCTCGTGGGTTTCGTCGAAGAGCTCGAAAGATGGGTCCGATCATCTTCAAAAGAAGTTTCTCGTTTTAGACCCCCGTTTTCATGGGTATCACCGGAGGCTTCGGAATTTTGCCGAGAGTTTTTGTCCGTCAGGCGGGCATCTTGCACGGCTTGGCTGAGCGCATCAACATCTCTGTCGACAGACTTAGATTCATCACGTTGGGCGTTGGTTGAACTGCTCTGATTCGGTAGACTGTCTTTGGAGCCTTGCGCATCAGGAGGTGGATATGTTTCGAGATGCTGTAAACCGTTCCTTTCATCAGTCGCAACGGAAGCATTCGATTTCGATGGTGCAGGCATAGCAGCAATCTTATACGCAAGTCAGATACATGAGGTCTTGGTTATGATGTACCACAACGACCTCGCATTGGGAACATACCTTTGCAAATGAAAGACGATGTTCGCCTGTAGCGGGACTTTCGGATGCCATAGTAAATGAAATAGTTCCCCGAGATACAAGAAAAGTTCTTTCTCGGTTGATAGAGCAGTATGCGGAGAAAAATGAATATCAAGACGAACACTCGGTGATAGTGATGGCACGGCTGCACTTGAGGTCTTGCGGGTTGAAGATATACGAAACCGAAACTCGAATCGGGGTAAGGCCACTAAGAGATCCCGCTTCACACGACAAGCCCGAAAAGAAAGACGACATATCTCAGAAAAAGCAAGTCCGCCATAAGGAAAGCTGTTGAGGAGTCAGGACCAGTAAATATGCGACGGTGCCGTGGACTGCGGACGAGACGATGGGGATTTTCGAATGAGGGTTGGGGTAATACAGTTTCAATTTCACAGGGAAGTAGATAGAGAAAAGACAATGACTAAGCTGGACTGGTCTTACACGATGGTCAGAAGGACGACGATTTCATGATTCAGGGAGAAGAGGATTCTCCTACTCAAAGAGACAAAGGATGGTCGACCGGGAAAGCCGTAACGAAGACGTGCTCTGTTGCTGATCCACGAGGGGCACCTGAGCACCCGGTGAATACGGAGATACAAATAACTACCCGTTAGGCCTCCGAAATGGGATATCCAGACGGCGACGCTGGAAGGATGTGGTGGAGGGAACGTCGGGAGTAAGTGAGAGCCAGTGTGAGAGCGCGGCGGCGATCACAGCCTGTGGTTTTTCGTGGGCGGATGGCGGGTGGGATTAGACGCGCGTCTAATACCGATTGAGCCTCGATAGCCGCGAAAGAGGACTGCTCTTATTGCTATTAGGATGACTACTACTGTACTTGTCGGCGCGCATAATTATCTTCAATAAGAACATTAGCTATTCACATAGTTTCTTCTTATTTTTTTTTTTTTTTACTGCTTTGGTTGTATTTGTACTCAACTTCAAATGAATAATCGATATCGAAATGCTCCCGGCCTTAGAGGCCCTACAAAAGCATCAGCGAGCACTCTGTGCCAGAAATGCTTGAAACGAGATAAGTATCTGCTTTCTATGCGATTTAATACCTATCCCTGACTTTATTCTACGACATTACAGCTACGAATGTACAGCGTCGGCCCAAGAACGGCCATATTTGGCTCGACCATCGCGCACGCAGCAGTTGCAAAATCCGAAGCTAAGGCCGAAACTCTCTTCAGACACTCCCAATGACCTCTTACGGACGTAAGTTGGGCCTATTCTTTCCCATTCTCTTCAGTCGGCTGCGACTTCCGGAGCGCTTGACTGACTGCTCACAGAGAAGGTCTGGCGGACAAGCTATTAGCGAAACGAGAAGAGGAGCGCGGTCGAAAACGAGACAATGATGTGCTCGACCCGGTTGAGAGTCGGGGTCAGTCACCGAGACGATCACGATCGGAATCAGCGCATTCTATGAGTTCCGTCTCAACGATATCTACCAGTCGATCGCAATCACGTTCGCCTCCTCGACATGGCGGCGATGAACGGACAGGATCACGACATTCAAGGATAAGGAAAAGACATTATAGCGATTCTTCATCTGGGCGTTCTGTTTCGCCTTATTCGTCTGGCGAGAGGGCTCGTTCGCGATCCCGCGAGTGGGCACGCGACCGAAACACGCGGCGGAGGCGACGGGAATCCAGCCCGGCTGAGCGTGGACGGTCTGCAAATTTGTCCCGAGATGGTCGCCAGAAATACAGATCTCGGAGTAGAGATCGTGATCAGATCGCAAGGGGTCGACGTTCTTTGACTCCACATCGCAGAAGACGTTCCAGGGGCGCGGCTCCGCCCGAGCCCTCACACAATCGTTCCGAGCATGCTCCTGGCAGACGACCTAGACACGAACCTGACTATTCTGCTGCGCAGCCTCCAAGAGACCGCAGTCTAAGTCCCTTCAGCAAGCGTCTCGCATTGACGCAGGCTATGAACATGGGTAGGTAGGCTACTATTGGAAGATCATGTTGAGACGCCAGTCACCAATCTGTTGAAACTGCGGTACAATAAGTCCATTGGAATTATTATCCTTTATAATGATGTAATTGATACAGAACGCCTTCCAACGCCTCTTTTTATGTTACAAACCCTAGTCAAATATGCATGTAGAAAACACGATGGCCAAATCTGTCAAATAACGTAACCTGAGAGCTGCCCATAACTTCCTCAAGGGTATCATTCGAGCTGTTCATTCATACTCGTCCTCTTCTTCCCTTTCACGCATATGAATCCCTTCAACCAACATTTCTCCCTCGATGCCAACTTCCTCTCCCGATTCCCCTCTCGACCCTCTCTCTTTGGCTGCACGTTGTGCATTTTCGATGCGCTGCCGTACAAGTTTTGCGATGGCGTTGTCCGTCCGCACATCAAGGATCTTCATCTTCTCATCCAAGTCGCGCTTCAGATCCCAATTAGGCTTTTTCGGTTGTAGTTGGAAAAGGTCTATCGGTTGGTCTGCCTCCTCGCCCTTCTTCGCTTGCTCCGCGGTGGTTTTAGCTATTTCGGCAGCTTGTTGTTCCAAGGTGGTCTGCCCATCTGTTGGAGCCTGTTCAAAGCCCAACTTGGGCCCGCGAGCTTCTGGATCGTAGTTTCGTCCGGAGAGGAATGTTGTCGTAACATCTGGGGCTGCGTCTGTCATTTCATCATCGCCGGCACGAGCTTCTGTCAGGGGCTCTGGTTCCGGTTGCTTTCGTTTCAATGCTGAGAGCTTTGCCAAACGTGCTTTGCGCTCTGTGGCCGCCGCGTCGAGAGAGGCGTGATTTGAAGACATGGTGGGACGGTATTAAAAGATAAAATCGCTCGAATAGAAATGTGACTGAATGTTAAAGGTTCTGGGCGGATTGAAGACGACAAATCTTTTCGATGTTCCTTTGAACGGAGTAGCGCGCGTTGTAGAGAAATGTCCGTTGGGATGTACTATCGGAGGTACTGCGCCACATTTGGAGATCACTAGCCACAGTTCCGGCAGAGCGAATTCGGATCTCTTCTTGTTCCGACGGGAAATTCCCACCACCTTCACCAGACACCCACCATTCGACTAATATCCTTACGTCCCAACTCGAACCGCGTGGATGGATTGATCCTGGCCTACTATACACCATCTCCCTAATGCGTGTGATCACGAGAACCTGAATGTCATTGTGTCCGCTCCTCCGCTCCCGCTTCAGCTCCGGACTGCAATCCTGTGCTCCGCAACGCAGGATAAGTCTGAGACATTGGCATCGACCGAGAACACAATCGAACAGTGCGATATATGTCGTCGGTCATGCGCGATACTCGAATACTGCGGCTTCCGGGGTTGGGAGTGTGGAGGAGTCCTCCGCCGTCCGACAAAATGACATCGTGAAAGATGTTCCTCCCTCTCTACAAACCGATTACCACAACCCTTCGACCTTTGTTGATAACAATCGTATTGTTGAAACATGTCGACCGGATATGCGTGAGCCAGGCTCATCAATAGCTTCGCAGCATGGCACTCAGGATTCTACTCAGCAGGCTTCTCAACCCCTCCATGAAGGTAGCCGCTCCGGCGAGCCAAACAGCATTGGCCCCACGCCACAGATTCTCAAGAGAGGGGACATTCCGACAAAGTATGTGGACTGGTTCAATCGCCAAGTAAAACCGAAGGTCAAGAATATTGCGGACGAAGATGTGTCACTGAGAAGTCTGTCGTTGGACCCAAAGGTGACTTTCTTGTATTCAGAGAAGACCGAATTTGAGCAATGGGAATCGGCATTGAACACGCTCTTATGGGCGAAACAGCACAATACAGCACCCCGAGCAATAAGTGAGGAACCAGTGTTCAATCTGTTGGACGATGCACGGGATTTGATAGGGATGATCCAAAATGACTGCCTTGGTTCTTTTAAGACAGCGTGGGAGGGGCTGGAAACACAATTGAAAGCTGCACATTGGCAGCGTTTAGCGCTCTGGTTGCTCCAGCGTTCACCACTTGCCATTCCGGAGTTCTTATATATAACTGCGCAGAGCAACCATAAGCCAGACTGCAGAATGGTTGTGGATTGTTTTCAATTTTTAACCACTCACTATCCCGAGGAATGGGTATATTGGAGCAAAGGGTCTCTCACACATGCGTCAGTCATACAAACCTGTCTAGATCGCAAAAATTGGCCCATTGCGAAGGTGCCTCAGAACTCTATTCGGCTTTACATGGCATGTACCGATTACAGCGGGTTATGCAACGTTCTCCAATGGATGAAAGAGGGTCATAACTTGGGTGGTTGGAACATTCTGAATCTCGTCAGGGGGTTTGTCAAACACCAGGATGCTGAACGGGCACTAGAGGCCTTTCAGTACATCACCACGCTCAATGATGAACGGTTCAACATGGACTCCTCGGGGGTTATGCGCCATTGTTGTAAAATCCTGACACTTGACTCGGTGGCAGACGGGCCGAACGGCCGCAATTTTCGTATTCTTCCGAAACTTCTTGAGATGGGGATTCGACCTGACAGGGACATGATGAACCTCGTCCTTCTCAATGCATTCAGGACAGGCGATCCCCAGTTGGGGCTTGATGTGCTGGATTTCATGCAAAACCGCAGTTACGATTTCGACGCTTATACGTACAGCATACTACTCACTGATGCCGTCGCCCGCGGCGATCGAGAACGTGTTTCAACATTAATCAAGGAAATCGAGGGCCTTCCGGAGATTCGCAGGAATTCCCATGTCGCGAGCAAACTTATGCACGCTTACTATGTTTTCGTTGCAAGGAACATGGACGCTGACATTGAACCGAGCCGGATCTTCTACGCTATGCTGGATCTCTACGTCGAGTTATATGATATCACCCCCTTGAAGGAACTCCTCCTCGTCCCGTCCGAGTATATACCTACAGTGAAGGGCCTCAACGAGCAGCCGACCTTGATAGCATTATTCCTAGTTATCGCCACATATTTCCGTTGTCAGCGGCGATATCAGCACGTCGAGCGCATTTACTCGAGATTCCGGGATCTTGTGCTGCAGGGCCACAGGCACTTTGCTCCGCTGGCAGCAACGGATCATACGTACAATGTGTTCCTCACTACCTTACGTGATAACCCTCATGGAATGCGACTCTGCGTACGGATTGTCCAAGATATGTTGCAATCACCTCCCACCATCACAGTCAACAACGAGTTTGAGAAAAGAACCATCAACCATGTAAAACCTGCCGCTCAAACATGGACGATCTTACTCAGCGCATTCCTCTACAACAAACAGCCGTATGCGGCGGAGAAAGTTAAGGAAATGATGGCCAAACACAATATCGAATATAACCAGGTCATCTGGAATACCGTCATCAATGGCTACGCGAACGCCCAGAACATCCCGGACCTTGCCATGGCAATCCGAACGATGGAAGAACAGGGATTTGCGGTCGATGAGTATACCATGAGGAGTCTGCGCTACCTGCATAACCCCGAACGACTGTGGGAGGTTATGGATGAGTTCGATCAGGTCGAAGCCATGAGCCGCGGGGAAGAGAACGTCAGGGAACAGAAGCCCCCCGAACAACGGGTAACCAGATCTCCAGAGGAAGAAGCGGCGAGAGAGCACGAGGAACTACTCGAGCAAGGTTTGCGACGCTTGATTGAGAAAAAGAAAGCCAAGTATTAGACGCATGAAATACCCTTTTGATTGGGCTGTTTGGAAGAAAAGGAGACCAGAACCGGGAGCATTGGTGTTGCATTGGGTATTCGGCCTTTTGATGATCTGTAAAAATTCGCTTCTATGTACAATAGCAATAATCATGACAATGTATCGTATGAAATATTATAGAGCAACGCACGAAATTCCGAGAGATGCACATATTCGTATTTTTTCTTTTCTTTTATTCTTCTTCAACCCAACCTAACCGCCGAAGAAAATAGAAATCTAGTAAGACATCCGTGTTAGTCCCCTATCCAGAACCACGAAGTGGCACATATTAGGGGATACTTACAGCCATCAGAACACAGCAAATACTGACGTACGGACTAAGACGTTCTCCAACCCGAGCACATTTCCAGAATATCCCAAAGAAGCTATAGGAAAATATGTCATTAGTTCAAGACCTTCCAATAGTCGAGGAGGTAGTAGGGACGCCCTACCCATTCTGGTTGCGGTCCATGATCCCCGGCATGATGGAGTGAGCATAGGTACTTGTGCAGATGATGAGTAGGATGACCACGAGGAGGGATTGAAAGTTGAAGAGCGCAGACTATCAAGAACATAGCGTCAGTATTGCTCTCTATACTGGTACTGCTCATGGATGGTCGCTTACCATCTTGGGAGATGTAGTGATATATAAGTTCTCTCAGTTGTTCGTTCCTGGCTTTTCTATCTCCCTCTTCCAATATAGCAACACGGTCGAACAGAGACAAGATGAATCAATCGCAATAACAACCTCGACTATGCAGACGAACGCGGGATCTCCAGATCGTAAGGCCAATGTTGAGTGTCATTCTGATACTGCCGTCAGAATGACTACGCTCTACCGCCCGGGACACCGCTTTGTCGCCTCCGCGGTGTTCAACCCTCAAACATCCAAGTCGAATCAAATACAACCATTGCTACAAACTACCCCAGATTGAGAAAATCGAGAAGAAAATGGCGGAACCAAGAGCGCGTGTCGCGAGACACAAGGGCCAGATGAACTTTCCATCTGAGCGTATGCACTTATACTCCGATTGAGTTATCGCTCGATAAGACGTTCACATGCTCACCTATCTAACAGTCCGCCTCCTCCTTCTCGCCTACGGAGATCCAAGTCCCCATTCATCATTTCCCTCTGAACCTCTTCCCGAAACAGTCCGCGTCCTTGACGAGATCGTCACCGACTTCATCCTTGAAATGTGCCACGGAGCCGCGCAGTACGCCTCCTACTCGCGACGCCAGAAGATCAAGGTGGATGATTTCCGATTCGCGCTGCGCCGTGATCCCAACAAGCTCGGTCGTGTTCAGGAATTGCTACGGATGGAACGCGAGCTGAAAGAGGCGCGGAAGGCGTTCGATCAGAATGATGATCAGATTGCGAACTTGAAGGATGCTAAGAAGGGAATCGATGAACATGAGGATGGAGACGCAACTTCGGTTGTAGGGAAGAAGAATAAGGGCAAGAACAAGAGAGGTGCTAGGAGGGATTCGGATGGGACTGAGGAGACGATCTCGAAGAAGCGGAAAACTGCCGGTCAAGGCTGAGGTCACAGGCTATTTGGGTAATTGGGATTCGGGCGTTAAAGGTTCTTTTTCCAAAGTCTGCGAAAGCTATACCACCATCTGCATTGGATTGGCGTTTGCGAGGTTATTTGGATCCGGTCATTTTGTGATTCTATTGAAGAAACCAGAGTAAAGTGTTATTTACAGAAGCATTATTCCGGTTTTTTATGCAATGGGAAATAAGGACATACTGATTGATAACTACTACATGAGCCCAGTAACTCCAGATTTTGCAGGGACAAATACCGTATTCTCAACTCTGAATGAAAAATATCCATCACCAAGTGAATCCGGCATCGTCTTAGACAAGCCCGCGTCTTCTAATTAACTCTCGTCTACCCTTGGTTAAATCCACAGCGTTACCACGCTGCTCAAATTTTCCCTTCTGTACTCTACTGAGAAGACCACTACCTTTTCATATTCGCGCCTCAACTTTTGCTTCGCCTCTTCCAAGCTCCTTATTCCGAAATTCTGCTTTGCCGTTTCCTCCAGCCCTCGAATTTCCTTATTCGTTCGTGGCTGATTGTCCGGTATGACTAAAAGCATGTCGCAGTAAAAACATAAGCGACAGCATAACGAGCTGACAGCCAGCCAAGTGGCTTCCGCCGCCCAACCCTACATCGCCCACTTCCCTTATCTTTCCAAATCTGGTCAGTAAGTGGTCCAATATCAGACAAGGAAATGACTGGCTGCAATTTTCGAAGCGGTCCCAAGGCGATGACCAGCAGCAAAACGGTGATCGACATTCACCGTCGGTGTCGAGTCTTGAGATAAGCCCGCGCTAACCCAACACAGTTTCTGCCATCCTAACACAACAGAGGACTGGAGAGAAACTGTACTGCGTCGCATTATGCACGGTTAGAGGGATCAAATGAAAGCGCAGCTTTTTCAAGCCAGCGATAACGATAGTGGACATCTCGCGGAAAATACTTGGGAATGCGGATGGCCTAGAGGGCCTGATATACCTTCCAAGTATTGAAGGAGGAAGTACGTCTACTTCGCAACATCGTGTTAGACAAATTTATGAAGGTCAAGACCAGTGATAGGGCCCAGAAAAGGCGTAACGACGCTGCCCATGGAGGTCATCCTTGTGGATCTGGATGCAATCCATAAACAGGATGCAAGACAATAGATCCCCGGCACAACAATGGCGGGAGGCCTTTAAAGAATACTATGGAGTAAGCCGTATTATGCGTATCCCATGAGATGCAGATAGTCGAAGTATTCAACATCTACGCCAGCGCAAAATGACTGGACCGTTTTCAGAGGAAGGGGAAATATCGAGTATATTAGCCAGCGGTTGGTAATGCTATCGCTATCTGTTTAAATTGTGTGACAGGATTTTGTTTTTGTGACTGTATCATAATGACCTTTGCTGCCTACTCCAACGAAGACCAAAACAGTCTCATTTCCCATTCCCATATAACAATCGCCAACGCGAAAAAATGTCAGATTATATGAACCTGATGGGCTGTAAGACCCAGATGCAACTTGAGAGAATCGGGGTCCTCAATAAATGGACCAGACCGCGCAGCGCATGCACTGAGGGCGATCATGCTCACGACGGCAATGCCCTAGCTGACATCGATACCATTGCATCCTGCAAAGACAGTCCTCAATCTAGCAAACAAATGGATGGCTGCTTTTGACGAACATTATGGGGTTGACTACCCATTCTATGTATCTCGACAGATATAAAACAAAGATCCACGATTCATCGAAGTCTTGAATATCCGCGCCGGGGCGAGGAGTTTGTGCAGGTTCAAGCTGAGGGATCCCAGCCCAGTCGGCCAGATTCTTGTGGCGATGTGTGATTTTATCGGGGATGCATTGGCAGAGGACGAATATTTCGAGGTCTTTGCAGCGGACTCGGATGAACTCTTTCTCTACGAGCGAGTGGTTCGAATGTGGCATGGCTGGTGTCTGGCTTTGACATCCCCTGGTGTCAGCAATGAGCCCGACGTTCAGGGAAGTGCTCAATCTGCGCAGTAGATGCATGGAGCGGACATCATTAGCTTGTCTATTGGGAAGATGGCATATTGTTCTCTGTAAACTGCTCGCTTTGGTCTACATTCATGAATTCGTCCCTCTGCGTAAACCAGGCAAAAGCCCTATTCTTTTCTCACTGTACACCTCTCCTTTTCTAGTCTTTTCCTGATCTGACCAAGGCCAGATGACTCCCGTACGCCGTTTCTTTCCTTCTTTCCTTCTAGATTTTGTGCTGTCCTGGCGGCAGCTAGATGCTCCATGCCAAAATATGAAAGAGCCGAATGATAAAGAATCCCCGAACAGGGGACGAGACAAAGGCCCGGGAAAGAAGAACAAAGGGGAAGAGATAAATAAGAAATCAACCAGCAAATCGGAAAGGGTAAAAGAAAACCGTAAAAGAAAACCGTAAAAGAAAAGAAATTATTTCCACATGTTACTTGTCATTCATCCATTCATTTCTCTTCACGCGCGGGCTTCTTCACCACCACGCTCTTGAGTCCGTTGCTGCTGCCCACCGCGGTTTCCTTTGCCGCCTCGTTGGCCGCGCTGTTGACCTTCTCCAGAGCCCTCTCCACCACCAAGGGTGAGCTGGGCGGTGGCTAACCGGTTGGAGAGATCCATCTGGGTGCGGATGGTGTTGGCAAGGTAGGACACCACCAGGACGTCCTGGATGTGGTTGTTGCTGCGTTTGGTTAGCATGAATATCAACAAGAGACATATAACAGTAATGAAAACGTACAAGTCGCGCTCAATGTCAGCCGGCTCCACCTTGGGTGCCAGTGCAAGAGCATTGAGAAGGAACTGGCCCAGTGCTGTTGAAGCAGGAGCCTCCTCGTCAATAACAGACTCAACATATTTTGAGACACGGTCGATCATGCCAAGGACCTCCTCAACTGCGCGCTCCAGAGCCTCGATATCGGTGAAGATGTTGGCGGTCCGGTTCTCTGTGTCCTTGGCGTTGGCGACGGCCTCCAATCCACTCTTCTCAGCTTCGCCATACCGGATCTCGTAAGGGACGGGAACGAAAGCGGCGCTGTCGGCGGCTCTCTCAGCAGTCACACCGACGGGGGCGGAGATGTAGGCACGGGTCTCGATGTCCTTCCCGGGTTCCGTAGAGACAGTCAAGTGAACAGCGGGGTGAGGCCAGGTACCATCACCCTGGCCACTGTAGAAGTTCTGGATCAAAGCGGAGAAGGTGTTCAACTCGGACGATGTGGCGTACCACCCGACAAGGAATTCCCTTGGGTTGGCCTTGAGATGCAGCGCGAGCATCTGTTTCTGGTACTCCATGTCCACCTCGACCTGGTCCGTCGTCTCTGTGTGTCCGACAGCGAAGGTGCTGCGGATTTCCACCTCGGTTCCATCTTCAGATCTCGTTCCAAGCAGGGTTCCGATGACACGCTCCTGGTCGGCGTTGCGACGGAGGGAATGGTCCAGGATGGAGAAAAGCGCCTATCCTCGTTAGCCATGTTTTCACCCCGACGGCAGCCCCGTCCTCATTGGGATGATCACCACCAACATACCTGAGGCTGGATAACGACGTTCAAAGGAGCGGTCGTCGGTGCAGACCCCACTGTCGCTGGGCCCAGAGGGCGAGCAAGGTGAACGAAAGAATCGGTTCCGGCCATGGTGATTAAAAGTGTATAAATTTCCCGGTTCTCTGCTCGCGTCCTAACTCAAACTGTCCCTCTCAATTGAAGATTAGAGATTGTGCCGGTTGAGGTGGAGTTCTTTTTGCTCTCTGATTCTTTCCGCCCGCTGGAACTTCGGCGGCTCAAAATGTGTGTGGGAAATTTCGCGCTAAGATAAGATAAGCACCGAGCAAAAAAAGAGCGAAAAATAAGGTACATACAAACCACGCCAACATCACAGCGCATTGCTTATTTCAAGCTCAATCTCTTATTTTATATCTTATTTTTATAATACTTCCAGGATAATATGGCACCTCCTAGTGGCAGAGGTGGTCGGGGCAGAGGCAGAGGAGGGAGAGGGAGAGGAAGGGGAGGAGCCTCGCGAGGTCGCAGAGATGGCTTCTCGAGTGCGCGAGTCGCAGAGATAGAGTGAGCATTGCGATTCTGTTCGTTGAATTAGTGAAGCTAACGAGTCTGCTAGATCCGATGACTCCTCGGAAGAAGGGAGCGAACAGCCTGAAGAACAGTCGGATAGTGAGCTCGAGAAAGGCGAACCCATGGATGTCGGATCATCAGACAGCGAGGAAGAAGAAGGCCAGCAAACCCACCGGCCGTATAACGAGTTGCTCCAGTTGCTCCAACCAACCGCCGAATCTAAAGGACCAGCCCGAAAGAAGAGGAAGGTTGGGAATTCAAGAGACGAGGAATTGGTGCCGGAAGTCAATGATGAGGCAGAGGAGGAGGAGGATGAGGCAGAAGACCTGGAGGCTCAAGAACCTACGGACGACGAAGATGAGGATGACAAGGGTGACAGCGATGATGAAGATGGTAATTACTTTCCACTCATTCGGTTGTTGCGCAAGCTGACTTCTCAGCCACCGATCCTTTCGACTCGCATTTCTCTGTCCCAACTGAAGACGACCTATCTCCGAAGATCCAGGCCGTGGAGAAAAATAACTGGAATATGGCCAAAAAGGAGGTTAATGGTTTGCGATTAATTCGCAGTATCCCGAAACAGGACGGAAGTGAGGCAACTTTACTACCGGCGATGAAGAGCATGGCGAATGTCAAGGTATGCGACATAGGGACTGTTACTTCTATTCAAGCATACTAATACTTGAGCAGCTCAAAAGAAAACTGGTAGCTCCCGCTAAGGAGTACATCCCCAGTATCGAAGGCCACGCCCAGCACCTTGCGCCATACATCTTCGACTATCAGGACGTCTTGTACGGTTCCAGGACGAGTGAGAACCAGGAAGCCTTGCGGGATCTTTTGGCCGTCCACGCCGCAAACCATGTGATCAAGACTCGAGACCGCGTGTTGAAGAACAACGCACGCAATGCCAAGGAGCCGGACAATGACCTCGACCTTCGAGACCAAGGATTCACAAGACCCAAGGTGCTTTACCTCCTGCCTACGCGACAAGCTTGTGTGCGGGTGCTTGACTCCATCACCAAATTTTACCAACCGGAACAGCAAGAAAACAAGAAGCGGTTCATGGACACTTTCTCCGGACCTAAAGATCAGGGCTGGGAGAATAAGCCCGAGGACTTTAAGGACTTGTTTGGTGGAAATGACGATGACATGTTCCGCTTGGGTCTGAAGTTTACTCGGAAGACGGTCAAATACTTTGCGAAGTTCTACAACTCGGACATGATCCTGGCGAGTCCGCTTGGGTTACGGACCATTATGGACCAAGCAGAGTAAGTTTTCTGAACTGGCAAGGTTTTCTACTCCTCTAACTCATATCGCAGCGCCAAAAAACGAGACCACGATTTTCTGTCATCGATAGAAGTGGTGATTGTCGACCACGCGGACGCACTGCAAATGCAAAACTGGGACCACGTCGACTACGTTCTGCAACACCTGAACCAGCAACCGAAGCAAGCACACGGATGTGACTTCAGTCGTGTACGGTCGTGGTACTTGGACAACCAAGCGCGACACGTCCGACAAATGGTCGTGGCCTCTTCATACGTGACACCAGAGATCAACTCGGTTTTCTCATCGCACATGCAGAACGTAGCTGGCAAGATCAAGGCCACACCAGTCTATAATGGCGCGATCACAGAAGTACCACTACCCGTGTCCCCGAAACAAGCATTCGCGCGATTCGACTGTCTCAGACCAGATAAGGATCCCGATGCGCGATTCAAGCACTTCACGACAACCATCCTCTCTTCACTGGTCAAGGACATTACGGCTGGGCGCGGCAGGAACCCCGCAGCAGGGGGTACATTGATTTTCATTCCGTCATATCTGGACTTTGTCCGTGTACGCAACTACTTCGCGACATCGCAGCAGACAACTAACGTCTCTTTCGGCGCGATCTCCGAATACACAGACGCGCGGGACATGATGCGCGCGCGATCGCATTTCATGAACGGGCGACATTCGGTGCTGTTGTATAGTGAACGTTTACATCACTTCCGACGATTCGACATCCGCGGCGTCAAACGCATTGTTATGTACGGTGTACCTGAGAACCCGATCTTCTGGAAGGAGGTTGTCGGGTTCCTGGGGATCGATCCGACGGAAGTTGTCGAGAATGCGGAGAGAGGGGTGCGGGCGATTTTCTCGAAATGGGATGCGATGAAACTGGAGCGGATTGTCGGGACGGAGCGGGTTGGCAATATGTTGCGAGAGCGGGGAGGGGATTTGTTTACTTTTGTATAGTTTTGTACGGAGTACTCTGTAGGATATCTTGTAAAATATAGAATTCTAGGGCAGGATGTACATGTGATCTGATTTTCAGCTGATCTGCACTCAGCCTTAACCTAAGGTTGAGATTTTGTTCCACTTCCCCTCTTCCTACTTCGGAGTACATTCTGACCACAAGATGGCTTCACACAAAACCAGTTCGTCTATACAGGCACAAAGCAGACGAATTCTCCCATCGAACCTAGACGACGCTCAAACACCGCTGCTAAGGCCTTCGTCGCAGGAACAGGACGATGAAAGCACATCGCGATGGGCGCAATGGTGCACAAAAACGCAGGATTTCTGGCTCCAGAGCAAAGGCATGATCCTGGTATTGCTGTCGCAGTTCTTTGGCGCCAGTATGAATGTTATGACGCAGTATCTCGAGGTTGACGGAGAGCGTGGTGCTGGGATGGATCCTTTTCAGGTACTGCCCACTGCTCTGAATATGATATACCCCGGCTAACAAGATAGATCCTCTTCGTCCGCATGTCCATCACAGTCATCGCCAGCTACCTCTACATGTGGTACGCGCAAGTCCCCGACCCCCTAGGCCGTCGACCGGTCATCGGCCTACTAACACTACGAGCCGTGGGCGGCTTCTTCGGTGTCTTTGGGCTATACTACTCAGTCAAATACCTCCCTCTCTCCGAAGCGACGGTCCTAACCTTCCTGGCGCCGATCCTGAGTTGCTACGCGACCTCCCTCTTCGCCCCCCATGAGACATTCACCTGGAAGCAACAGCTAGCAGGCGTGGTATCGCTAGGCGGAGTGGTGCTCATCGCGCGACCGTTCTCCCCCATGAATGCACCCTCAGACAGCCCCTCGGACGGCGCGCAAACCGACGAACTGCATCATCTACTCGCGATATTGATGGCCCTGGTTGGCGTGCTCGGCGCCGCCTGCGCATACACCACGATCCGCATGATCGGCAAACGCACCCACCCGCTCGTCTCCGTCACTTACTTCTCCGTCTACTCAACGCTCATCTCCTGCATTGCCATGGCCGTCCTGCCCTCTGTGGACTTCAAGCTGCCCTCGACGAGCAGCGAGTGGACGTTGCTGTTTGCGCTGGGCGTGTGCGGGTTTCTGCTGCAGTTCCTGCTCACGGCGGGGTTGGCGTATGTTCCGCCGGGGCAGGCGGCTGGGTCGGGGAACCGCGCGACATCGATGGTGTATACGCAGATGCTGTTTGCGTTGTTTTATGATAAGGTTGTTTGGGGGAATACGCTGTCGGCGATGAGTTGGGCGGGGTCCGGGTTGATTCTGGTGAGTGCGATTTATGTGGCTATGGCGAGGGAGCCGCGGGGGGATGCGGTGCAGGTGCAGGTGCAGCATGCAGATGAAAGGAATGAGGGGGGAGAAGGCCATAGCGTTTAGTGGATTGCAACAGATTGATTGGACGAGCACAGATCACGACTGATGGTTTACATCCAGCACAGAGTATACAGTGCTGTTCTATATACACAAAAGGTACCAAGCTAGAAGTATACAAAAGGAGAGAGCAATCACATGACCGTAATGATACTACCCCACAGAGCGGAGCCTCCCGAGGATAGGTTGATTGGCGCCGGCGGAAGGTATCCGGGCCAATAACTGTCTTTGTACTTCGGATAGTAGAAGAGTTAACTAGATTAAACATTACCAATAACGCCGTATATTATCATATCCCAACAATCTTCTATGATATACCCCAGACCTTCAAAATCAAGCAATTTAACAAGTACAGTACATGTCATGGTAATAGCCGCGGATGCATAAATCCAGCCTCTTTTTCCTTCTTTTTTTTTTTCATTTTTTTTATTTTTTTGTTTCAATGTATGTTTCCTCCCTTTGCTCAACCAACATCACTCGTCATTTCGTTTATGAGTGGACTGGTGTCGTATTGGCATGCGTGTTGGCATGGGTTTCTGATTGTCGGCGGCGAGCATCTTGGTCGGTCTCGTGCTCTTCCTCGCTTGTTGGCGACTGAGGCCGACTTGGTTGTTCCATCAGCGAGCGACGAGTACGCATCATCTAGACATAGTGTTAGCATTTGCCTTCTGTAGCGACATTAAAGAAACATACCCACGCTCGAACACCCCCTACCAATCCCAAGCTATAGCCCGTTGCGAAATCCTCGTTACGTCCATTCCCCATTGGGCTCTCCGGACGACTAATCGATTCCACTCGCGATAGGTGGCTTTTAGGACCATTGCCTGTTGGGCTGGTAACACCGCGCGAACCCAAGTCGAGGCTGTTTCTCGCACTGGGAGCCGGGCTGCCAGGCCGGCTCTGCCAGAATTGACGCAGTTCACGCCCGAGTTCCTGGCCTGTCGAGGCCCAGTTGTATCGGATGTTGTCGCGGATTTCGGACACATGGCGCTTGACTTCCAGTTCGTTCTTCTTCAGCCACGACACGTTCAATTCCTGTCTCGAGGCACCGCGCTTGAATTGACGGGAGATGTACTGATCGTAGTCACGAACGATCCTGAACCCAGTTAGACCCTGGCTATCAATTCCCTTAGAAAAGAAAACATACCTAGTAATGATACCTGTCGTGCTAACGCCCTCCGTCCTTTGAGTCACCAAGAACTTTCCCTGCGCCTTGATCGGGGCATAAATGTCATCACCCTCGGCCGCACCGTACGGAAGATCGTCATGTGCCACATAATCAATCTGATGTTCATCGATGAATTCCGGCGTCACAACCCATGGGCAGTTGGGAACCACTTCGTCCACCCATTTGCAGTGACGAATGGTTTCCGCCCGTTCCGCACCGCTCAAAACCGTCAAACCCTTGCGATCATGTGTCTCCCTATCACCCGTAACCCCGACCATGAGATACACGTCCGGGAATGCTTTTTTAGCCTGTTCAAGTTGTCGCATGTGACTGAGCCATTAGTATTTGATGGATACGAGCAATGGTAGATAAAGGAAACACACCCCATGTGAAACAAATCAAAAACACCGTCCGCATACACCCGGATCGGCCGCCCAACCGGCGGGGGGTTTGTCGAGTATCCAACCGGATCCATCAATCCCGCTCTCTCCGGTGGCTCCAACGCCTTCCTCTTCGCATCTAGTGTCCTCTCGTCATCATTCTCAATGTCGCTGCTCGGGCTGGTCGTCTCGGACGGCTCGCCAGGATCTTGGTTCGACTTCGCATCAGTCGCGCCATTGGAGACGGACGACGTGCGGGCCCGCTTGGCTGCGGGCACAACACCACCGGTCGCGCCGGGTGCGGACGTTTGCAGTTGCTGCTGTCTACCGGGAGACGGAATTGCAGAACCGGTGGACTCGTCACCGCCGTCTTCACCCGAGGCATCGCGCGACGAGGGCTGCAGGAAATCTGGTTTGGGGACTTGGACGGACAGGGTCTGGGACGCGCTGCGCTTGCGTTTGCCTGAGGCAGAAGTCGGAGACGACATGGTGGCCTGACTTTTGTCGAGATTTGTGGATGGGAATTACAAAATTATATAAGATCGAATGACAGAAAAGGGAAATAAATATCAAACAAGAGAATAAAAAAACGAAGGAAAGAAAGGAAAAGGAAAACGACAAAGATGGGAAAATGCAATGGAGAATCGGGGGAAGAAGAGAGGTTGTTGAGAGGACGGACGACGAAAATGGCCGATGGATGACGATGACCGCCTGACGGCCTTAGGCCTAACTTTAAGGGGGAACATTACCGTTGATGTTAGTTACGGAGTATTACTCCGCTAGTTTCAGGGTTCCTGGCCCGTGTATTAAGCCTTACCCCCTTCTCTGTATTTTCCCACTACGGGTACACTATTTTAAATACCGCTCTCGTTTTCATTCGCTCTCCATGACTCTATCTCTCCAGTATTTGACGCGAAGACGCACGTTTAAAATTTCTCACAGCGTATCTTACCATATATTACCGTAATGCGGGATTTGGAGGCACGTGATGCCTCCCCCGGGTGGAGTCGGTGGGGCGATCTCACCATAGGTACGCCATACCGCTTTGGGAAGTACCCTGAATCACGGGACCAGCCCGGGGATGCAACCATCATCGTTCGTCATCGAAAGAGGTGCCCTAAATATAATACTCCATACTCCATACACACACCCCCGGAAAAGAATGAATATATCAAAGTCGACGTTTTCTGCGGTATCTTGTATATCAAAACACAAACCCACAAGGCGCACTCCCGTAGAGGCCCACCGCTCGCGGTTGGGTTCCCTCGCTATCTTATATGGTAAAACCCTCTGACTCCCATGGTCTCCAGCAATAGCAGAGAAGTAGAAGACGTGAAATGGGATCAGAATGAAAAGAAAATGGAATAAAACTCCTCACCGTTCCGCCGCATCACTATCACATAAAAGAACAGATAAGGGGGTACATAACATTGAAGGTAAAATGACGAGGGGAATAAAAGAAGAAATAAGACAGGTCGTAAAATCACAATGTATCGTTGTCAAAAGCCAAAAGGACAAAGAGGACGGTCAATCAATCAAACTACGAGGACTTCTTCTCTGCCCCGCTGATACTGTTGTTCGCCGTCGTGGAAGCAGGAGATTCCGATATATTGGCCAAACCACTTTCACTCTTAGCCTGGGGCCCAGGGGTATCTTCGCGGTCGTTCCGGGTGGTGTCGGAGGATTCACTTTGCGCCTGGCCGGTGGTCGAAGGCTCTTCCTGATCTTCCTCGGCTTGCTCGAACAACTCCTCCTCGCTCTGATCGGGAATCACCTCGGTTCCATCTCCAAGGACGATGATCCGGCCCGAGCGGAGGCCACTGAGCCCACGGGATCGGTCAAGGTCCATCTCATAGTCGTCCGGGTTTGCCACGAATCGATTCCGATTGCGAGGGCCACGGAATTCAGCTGTCCCCGTCAGTCAGTAGGGATTGGAGGCCGTGGGTTCCTCGAGAGACTTGCCGTACTCGGGCGGCGCACAAGGGCCGTCCCCGCTCGCAACCCGCTCTGCAATCTGGTTGTACCACTCGTCCTTGGTCCTGCCGTTCAAAAGGCCGACAATTACCATGGTCATGTTGTCGCATCCGACACCACCGGTTTCGCTGTTCGACGCGAGACAGTTGTCCATCATGTTCTCACAGATGCGATGGAGGTCCTGCTTGGCGGCAATACCTCTCCGGACAAATTCGATGACTTGTTGAGAAGACTGACAATCCCAGATACCTATATGACCAGACAAATATGTTAGTTTAACGGGGACGAAAGTAAAGGGAGAGAAGTCCAAAGCAAAAATTACGCACCGTCGCATGCAATCACGAGGAACTCATCATCGTCGCTGAGTTCGTGGACGGTCACATCGGGATAAGCGGTCACAATTTGCTGTTCCGGCGACAATTCGGCGCTCTTCTTGAATTCAAAGTCACCAATGGCCCGAGACAAGGCCAGGTTGCCATTGACACGCCCAAAGTCGACGAAGCCACCTGCAGCGCTGATACGAGCCTTCTCGCCTATATTTGGAGAACAGATCAGAAAAGGAAGAGAGAAAGAAATCAGAATAGTAGCCACGGACCTTCGTTCTGTGGCTTGTGGTCAAACGAGAGGGGCTTTGCGCGGCCCTTGACACCCAACACCGAGCGCGAATCACCTGCGTTGCCCTATACCGAGTCATCCGTCAGAATCTCCTCCCATCAATGGAGCTGCCATGCGTGATGTAAAACATACCACCCAGATCTTATGCTTCGAGATGACGCTGACTGCAGCTGTGCAGCCAGATACTTCTTCCTCGTATTTCGGGTCTAACGGAGTCAGTCGTAATGCGGGGGTAAAGAGGAATGAGAGTGTTGTAGAAAAGAAGAACGAAATGGATCGTCCACCCTCCCAACCAACAACCGAGGAACACACGAACCTTCCAAGATCGCCCGATCCGTGGCCAAGAAGCCGTCCTTCAGCGCTTGTTCGATGTCGCCTTTAGCGAACGAGTCCTGCTTCGAGACAATCTTGTGGACATTTTCCCCAGCAAATAATGCCACCTTGTCTCCACCATGACCATCATATACACCGAAGAAGGCCAGTCGTTTGGCGGGGTCGGTCGGTTTGTCGGTATTCTCTGTGTATTTTGCCTGGAGGTCTAGCACGGCAGCGTGGGCGTCCTCCATGCTGATTCGCCAGCCCTGCATGGCTGAGACACCGTAGATACAGCATTCATCCTGACCCTCAGAGGAAGTCTAGACGGGTCCTGTTGTTAGCGATAATTTCAGGGGTGGTTCGGAAATGGACAGCAAAACAATAAAGAGAACAGCCCATATTTCCTTTGTACGTATTCTCTGGTTTTCCACAACAAGAATGGGGGTAGGGAGGAGGGGGGGAAGAGAAGGACCCTTGTGGGTGTGCGAAGCGAAAGCGAGTTGCGGGTGAAAAAATGGCACGAGGGAAGCCAGTTCGAATTTTTTTCTCTCCCGTATAAAACAACCCGGATCAAAAGGGGAAAAGAAGGTAAAACAGCATAGAACAAAGAGAACACCAGTGGTGCTGACCCAACAGATTGTGGGAATACCGCGTGCAAAATTGCATCAGACCAATTGCAATGTGGGGTGACAACCAGGCCGAGAAAAAAAAAACGAAGAAAAATTGATATTCAGGAAGAAAGAAAACAAAAAAAAACACACCTTCTCAACCACTGGCTCTGATAGAGTCTGACCCATGATTTAATTCTTGCTCGAGGGTTGTTTTTTAACGCGCTGGAGAGTAGGAGAAAGGGAGGAGAAGACCGGAAGAGGAACTTGTTGAGGCCAGACCAGTCAGAGGGACATGCACCACACCCGATAAAGGACGAGAGCAACGATTAGAGGATAGAGGCGGAGGTAGTGGCAATGTTGAGATAACTCAAAAAGAAGTTGAAGTTTTGAGGGTGAAGTGGTTCTGCCAGAGAGCTCGAGGAGAGAAGAGGAGGAAGAAGAGGAAGAAGCGAAGTTGGCAAAGTGAGAGGAGCAGATGATGGGGGGAGCGGAGCGGCGTGCGGGAAGACCCAGATGACTCCAATCTGGACTCAGAATGATAAAAGAAGAGGAAAAAAGAGAAAGAAAGAATCTGTTGGATGTTTTATTTTTCTCTTCTGACTCTGATTATTATTATCACCGGTTGTTCTCTGTTGGTTTTTTTCGTCTTTGCTGATGATGACGAAATTCGCGATGACCGAAAACAGTAATCAATTGACTCGCCAAAAAAAGACAGATATCTCGGTTTATAGCGTGAATTATGTACTCTATCTACTCAATGTACATAATCCCCCCTATGAGAATCTTTCTTATTCTAGGCTGTCATTCCCTGCGTTGAACATCAGTGAGGGGTGTTGCTGGCGGCCCTCCGGAGGATGTAGCCTAGTCGGTCTGAATGCAGTAAGATATCAAGTGCTCAAAGGAGGAGATAGGATCAACAGAGACAAAGAAATCAAGCATACATATCCCTGTGCTGTGCTCTAATACTTCATACCTAATGTGTACTCTACTCTCATCTACTTCGAAGATGCTCGACTGTCAATCCCTCGGGGCCACACGTTGCCCCGAGCGGCGGTGGGATGGATGATTATCTTATCGGTACTTTAGGCATTAATACCGCTAACTATAGGTATCTACAGGTTGGCTAAGGTATGGCAACAGGTATGGTTCTCAGTATATAGATGCAACTGTATATTATATGGTATTAAATAAGACATCTGGTGTACATGTTTAGATCAACATAAAATACAAATACAATGCCAACATTAAATGAATAGTATGCAAAACAAATCACCTGGATATCATGCAAAAAAGAACAGAACAGAAAGAACAATCACTTTCTACAGAAACGCCCCAAATGAACTCCCCATCCGATCACGCGGAAAGTCGTGGCTGTCTTCCACACTCAATGTCTGCCACGTTTGTTCACTTGACATACCCCTCGGTTCATTCTCCCTGTCCACACCTGCTGACCACAGGCTACTCATCCGTCGCCCACGGGGGTCGTCCAGCGGCAATGATGGACTCTTCTGTAATCGACCCCGTGTCAGCTCTTCCTCTGTCGTGTATGTGCTCATCCGCCGCCAGTCGTAGCAGGAAGAAGACCGCCGGTGTAGTGCGGATGGTCCCTGCCCCCCATAATGACCTCCGCCGTATTGTGATTCACTGTTCACTGTACTACCATGTTCCTCCACGTCCTCGAGTCGCCGACCACCCTGGGCCAAGCTTGCTTCTGTCATGAAATGTGGAAGCGGTGAGAGCACGTCACGGTAGTTCTGCGCCAGACTCGACTGGCTCGGATAGGCTGCTGGTGATGCTTGCATGTAGGACGACATGCGTGATGTCGGTGGTAGATATATCGACTGCCGGTTGTCGTTCGTATAGATCGACGCCGACCTCGCCATCGAGTACGGCCGTTCCTGCAGCGACTGACGGTAGTCGTAGTTGGTGAAGTTTCCCGTTGATTCTGTATCGGCCCGACTAAGGGTGCTCCGCTTCCGTTCCAATGCCCGGAACCCTGAAGACGTTCGTCGGTTGCCTTGCCCCGAGAACATCGGGTTCGTCGAGTTCCTGCTCTTCGCGCGAGTGTGGACAAATGCCTCCAGCGAATCAGACTCCGAAATGGTCGAGTTCTCCCGACCTAGCGCACGCATGCTCGCCCGTCTGGCATACTCGATGCTCTCCCGCGCCCGCGGCGGAGGTCGCGGGAACAACGGGGCTAGATTTCCTAGCCCACCCTCGTCACTCTGCATGGATGCGTGCCACGATCCACGGCCAGCGGGACCGAACCCGCCTGCCCCATGGCCCGCGCCACTGAGACGGATCGGAAGGCCCGAAGCCACAGAGGAAATTCCACTAGATCGCTTCGAGAGGCGCTTTGAACGAGACGAAGCCGCTGAGTTACGTTTCAGCGATCGCCGCCCTTGGATGGGTTTGAGCGGCTCTCGTCTCTTGGGCTGACTGGTCTGTCGTCGAACCGAGGGACTTGCATGCAATGAACGATGCTTGTCTTGAGCCAGCACGTCTTCAGATCCTGGTCCCTGTTCAGGCTGCTCGTGTAATGACGAGAAATCCCATCCGATGGTCGATCGTGGCCGGGCGTTCTCCTTGTCCGCCATTGCATCCTCAACCGGTTCCTCTGTTACAAAAGTATCTGTCTTTTCGAATGTGGTTGCATCGAAGAATGACTTCAGCTCCAATTTCGGTGGCGGTGAACGTGGAGGAGTGCCCTGAGCCGGGGGGGGCATCGAATGTGAAATCATGTCTTCAAAGGGTTGGCATTGGGGTAGTGGTGGCTGAGCATTTGGACCTGTTAGTGGCTTTTCTGGTGGAAAGTCTCCATCGTCGTGCGAGGACCCTCCCCTGCGCTTGCGACGCCAGCAGAATAAGAGTACAATGGCGCTAGCCACAAAAACGCACGGAATAATAACAGCAATGGCGATGATTCCAGCTTTCTTCTGGTGACTATTACCACCGGTGCCAGTCGTGCTTCCGGACTCCACGGATTTGTCGGTATCGGTATGATCATGGTGGCCTGCTTCCGCAACATCGATGGTAAACTTCTGCGTATCCTCAGTCGATCCCTTGGTAGCAATCAAGTCGACAGTGTACTTCTGGGGATTGGCGTCTTCCGGGACAGAGCCATAGAGCTGTTTCTTCTCCGCATCATAGTGCAACCACGAGGGGAACTGGTCATTTGCATTCACCTCAAGGTCGACGGAGTCGTCAGTCAAAACCGATTCGTCAAATGTGTATGAAAAGTCCTCCCCGATGGTTGCATCACACCCCGCAACACCATCGAGAAATAGTTGCGAGTATTGCAGACTGACAATCATATTGGCTACGTCTTCATTAACATCTGTAATTGAGATGGTGACATTCTCATTCTTTGCGTCAGATGGCGAGGTGCCGCTCAAGGTGAGCGTCTTGTTGTCCAAAGTGAGCCATTCGGGACCCTCCACGGAGATGTCTGTCAAATCCTCCTTCGTAGGGTTTCGGCCATCCAGCGTCAAGTATTCATGGAGCGCAGGACTTTTGAATTCGCCGTCTCGGCTCAGACTAAACGTTTGTAGGGTATCATTGAATGAAAGGATATGCGGGCGGACGGCCATTTCGAAAGTGTAGGTGACGGCACTGAAGCCAAGCACATCCGATGCGATTAGGTTGAACGTAAAGCTCTGCGGGCCACCCTTTGGTGTTGTTCCAGAGAATCGAAGATCATCAGGATCAAATCGAACCCAGGATGGTAACGGCGAATTCTCTGGTGACGTTCCATAGTATACGGTCGAATTCCCTGTGCCGACAAATGTTTCCGAGTCGAACGAGAGCGAGAACGAGTCACCAGGGCGCACGAATATCGTCGAGGGTGCTGAGGTAGGACAGAACTTTTCGAGTTGCGGTAGCAATGGCTTCCCAGGTTTCGGACCGTCTTCTGCGCTCACGACCAAGGTCACTTCCATGCTCGCAGACCCGGACGGACCATCTGCAACGAGCTTGAACTTCTGCTCCCCAACGTCCTCCGATTGAGGGGTTCCAAACAAGGTACGGCCTTTGCTCTCCACATCAAGCCATGACGGCGCATCCTCCAGCGAGTATTTCGTATCCGCATCAGCGTCACCAAAAGTGCCTGGAGAAAACACAAACTTGAACGGGTTGGATTCTCGAGCCACGGGTGGTAATTGGGCATTCACAGGATAGTTTGCGCTCAGGCTTGCATTAACAGCCAGCACAAATGCGAGGACAATCAATCCGAGGAGCGCCATCGTCCGGGAGGGTTCCGAGGAAGCCCGGATCGATATCCTAATAGACGCAGATGGTCGGGAAAGAAAGGGCAGGGAAAACTCTGGCGTAAACAGTCATCCAGAGAGAAAGAAAAGAAAAGAAAAGGTTAAAAGCAGGGAAAGATTGACGACAAAAAGAAGAAAAGTGAAGAAATAATTGGTCCTTTCAGTGAATATGGCCTTCCCAAGGTGAACGTGCCCAAGGGCCATCAGACAAGGAGAAGCGCGAAGCGTGTAATCCCTTCCACGAAGCCATACCTGGATATGCTTGATGTCACCGAAGTATGTACCAGCGCCGTTGTTAGAGGGAGCGAGTTCCTCCCCGCCCCATCTCATGTTATGAATGTAGATATCCTGCAAGGGGGAGAGCGCATTGCTTTCCTGGGACGCAGGCACAAAACGCGAGTCCCAACCCACTGCCCCGATTCCTCGCCCTTCGGACAATTAAGGAGCGATCGAAGGGGCGACAGCAGGAGAAACTCTCCTCGTGTCGTTGGCATTTGTCCTCGAATTTACAAAAGGCTCCCAAGGTTCCAAGGAGTTAACAGGAACAGGGGAGGATCAAACACCACATTCAAGATCGAGTACCATCCTGATGCCAGTACGTCCAGGGGCGTAGTAGTCCGCGATCTCCTCCCGTTCTTTGAACCCGTTGCGAGTATACAATGCTCGCGCGGGCTCCCTGGCCTTGTCTACCCATAACTGAATGTACTGGCACCCTTCCTTTTGTAGACGTTGCTGGATATACTCCATCAATCTCTTACCGACACCCTGTCGACGGAGCGCCTCTATCACGCACACTTTGTGTAGCAGAGCTGCTCCCTTCTGTCGGACATAGACAGCATACGCGATTAGAACAGGACGGGCACCTGGGGCCGGGGCACTGGTGGCATACAAAACTCGCGTATTGGGCTTCTTCCGCCACAGCTCTTGGCCAAAGGGAAAGGCTTCATTGCTGGGGAACGTTTTTTTCTCGACGCGTGCAATCTGTGCGAGGATTTCGAATGCTTCCTTTTGGCCTAAGGAATGAATGTCCGAGATGGTGATATCCGGCATTCTTTCGAATGACTCACATTCAAGACCGTTAGAGAGGCAGGCTAGAATTGTCTGTAGCAGGGTATAGTATAATCCAATTATAATCTGTTTCAAATGGTGGTATTCTGACGGTGTTTGAGGGGGCGATGGGGAGAGGTTGAGGTTTTTTGACGCGAAAACGCGGAGCCTCACCCGATCCACTGACAACCACTCCCAGCACCGCACCGCATAGCTTCTAGATCCAATTTGCAGAATAAGTTTCCTTTGATATCAACTATCTTCTATCTACTCTGCAAATTATGCCTTCTCAAGCCGACGACAAGCGCCAGGCCGCGCGCGAAGTCATCGACATTCTTCACGATATCTCAACGCTCCTCGTGCGTGATTCCTCCCCTTTACCAAGAGGGTATCCAAACTAATCTCTGTTAAATCGGGCTAGAATACGCATCTCGATCGGACAGAGCTATCCCTTTGCGTCTCGCTAATCGAGAACGGCGTCAATCCGGAAGCGCTGGCGGTGGGTTCCATTCTTCCCCGAATTATCCTCCAATGCTTTTTAATGCTCCGCGTTTAAGTGATCCTCGTAACTGACCTGAACTATAGACTGTGATCAAAGATCTTCGAAGGGAGGCAGTTGCTCAAGGGCGCTATCCAGACGAGCAGATCATGCAGGAGTAAACGTTATAGTGCTGTACTTGGTTGGAATGCCTGGATGATTAGGTGCTTATAGGTTGGATCTTTGGCGTTCATCGGTTTGGCTTGTTATTTTTTCTACGATATAAGATACCCTTACTTTTTGTTGCAGTTGTGCACACAGGCCACTGGTTATAATATTCCTTGTATTAAATAAAATAACGGGTTCGACTGTCTCCCAGGGATAACCTTGGTATCATAAACAATAAAAATAAATAATAGAACAGCAAAGGCTGGAACAAACTAAGCCATATTCTCTTAAGTCAAGAAAAACAGAAAGAAAGGAAAATTAACTAGGATTTTCCTGTCTCTGTTTTATTGTTACCATCCTCTACCGTCGCCTTCTTAGACTGTTCGGCCTCACCAGTGGTGCTTTGGTCTTTAGTCTTCGTATCTTTCTCATCTTCGCTATCGCCAAGGCTGAATGGATCATGCTCTCCGACAGGAGATGGCTCAACTGTAGTCAAAGGCTGCCACTTGCTCGGCTTGCTAGGAGGGGTGGGCTTAGCCGATCCGGATGCACCTTGGGAACTGCCAATCTCTGTCGGGGGACCCTCCTGGAAGGACACCTTTCGTCTGTCGGGTGAGGAAGACGAAGTCTTGTGTAAGTCTGGATTGGCAAGTGGCCTTGGGGGGCGCGGGGGCGGAGCTATTATCCAAGTCAGTATTCAAGCACGAGGATTGTCGGATTAAAAACGCGAGAGCCTTACCTTCGGAGTCTCGCAGCTCAAGAGTAGTAAAGTCGTCATCCAACAGCTGAGGGTCTGCATCGTAGCGTTCGCGATCTCCACTGCGACGGCCCAAGTCTCCGCTTCGCCTTGGTCGAGTGTAACTTGGTTCTTCGCCATAGCTTCGACCAGACTGTGCGTCTTCCATATCCTCACCATCCCAACGTTTCTTCAAGTTCTGCACCCACGAATTGACCTTTGTCTGGGTGTCCACGAATCCTTTGCGAATGTTATCACGGATGACAGGGAGATCATCTATAGACATCCATCAGCAAAGATAATGTAAAAGCAAAGCCTGTATCAACATAACATACCATCGAAGAAGCTATAATCTCTTTCATCAGATGCGTCACTGCCTCTCCTCTGTCGATAGCGAGCTTCCTCGTCCCCGCGGGGCTGCGGCACACGGCGATTGTAGTGTTCGGCTAGTTGACGGGCATAAATCTCATCTGCTTCCACTTGTCTTTGAGACGCAGACGGCCGGGGTGGTTTCGGAGGGGGTACGTCTTCAGCTTGCGCATTGGGGTCGGTCATGCCTAGAGACACAGGTTAGCATCCACACACCCCACTGGCGCGGACTTGAGTCTATACGTACCCAGAAGAGCATGGAACGCCCGCTCCACATTCCAGTTGCTAGCAACCAGCACAGCTTTTACAACCGAGCCTTCGAGAGATGGAAATGCTTCTTTAAGGGTGTTCTCGGCCTGTTGTCGGGGGCTCAATGGACGCGGGGGTTTTGGCGGGGCAGCTTCCGTATCACCTTGCTGAGCGGTTCCTGGGGGGGCAGAAGTATTGACGACCCCGGTCTCTTGAGGCTCGTCATCGAAATCCAAAGGGCGCGCGGTCGTGGGCGATTCTGGCTTAAGACTGTTCGGCCCCACGGGCAGCTTGTTAGGCGTCTTGAAGCCAAGTGTAAGCTATCCGTAACTTAGTATACGAAAGGGGGATCAGGAACACATACACTCTTGTCTTCCTCCGACATGATGGCGATGCGTATGGAGGGTGAGAGATCAAACGTATTACGAGATGTGAAAGAAAACTTATATACCCCAAAGCCAGCAGGCAGACGAAATTCCGGGGCAAGTCGAACGTTTCAACGGCAGCCACTCCAGATTCGCAGTGACGTTGGAGACACGTGATTGAAGTCCAGATTGCTTATGTAACATCATCACAAGCTTGAATTGGCGGAGCTCTGTATACTTACGCCGTACAGTCTGTGTTTATGCGATGAGGGTCAGCTTAGAACTTGCTATTAGCTATTCCTGAGGCTCACTATGCTCCAGATTCTTCTATTTGACAGCTGCACATAATTCCGCGTGAGAAAGCTGGTGTGTTCAGAACAAGCCTTTGCAAACAATCGGTGCAAAATGGCTTCAGAAATGGATTTTTCGACTACCTTCATCCCATCACTATACAAGCCTGCTGCACTGTTGCCAATTGTACGACATAGGCGTAATCTGCTTTATCTTGTTGAGACCTACCCCGTCACTATTGTTGTCGGGCATACCGGAAGTGGAAAGACAACGCAACTTCCACAATATTTGGATCAAGCAGGATGGGGTACAGATGGGAAGGCCATCGCGGTCACGCAGGTAATTTCTGATTTCCCCCGATGAAAAAGAATCAGAGTAGCTAAGCCAATGACAACAGCCACGGCGGGTAGCGGCTACTACGGTGGCAACCAGAGTAGCTGAAGAGATGCGCTGCAAAGTTGGCGAAGAGGTGGGCTACTCGATCCGTTTTGAGGATCAGACGTCTGCTTCTACAAAGATCAAGTTCCTAACGGATGGGATGTTGCTTAGAGAGGCCCTTGTAGATCCTCTTCTGTCCCGTTATTCAGTCATCATGGTCGACGAGGCTCATGAAAGGTCTCTTAGCACAGATGTTCTCTTGGGTATTTTGAAGAAGATCATGAAACGGCGGCCAGATCTGCGCATTATAGTCAGCAGTGCTACCTTGCAAGCTGAAGACTTTCTCCATTTCTTCGCTGGAGAGGAATTCAAAAATGACGCGGAACCGGGAGAGCTCGGCGGGAGCGTTGGAAGAATCATCAGTCTCGAGGGGCGAATGTATCCAGTCGATACTCTTTTTCTCGAATCACCAGCGGAAGACTATGTAGAGAGAGCCGTCAAAACAGTGTTTGACATACATCTGCAAGAAGACGAGGGGGATATTCTAGTCTTTCTAACGGGACGGGAGGAAATCGACACGGCCATTCAATTGATTTCCGAGCGTGGTGCTACGTTGCACCCTAAGGCACAAGCCGTACAGCCACTGCCTTTATATTCTGGTCTTACCACAGACCAGCAAATGTACGTTTTCGAATCAGCACCGGAAAAAACGCGCAAGGTCATTGTGTCGACCAACATCGCGGAAGCGTCAGTGACAATTGATGGGATTGTTTACGTGGTTGACTGTGGCTTTGCAAAACTCAGGGCATATAGTCCCGGCACTGGGATTGAGACGTTGACCGCGGTGCCTATTTCAAAAGCCGCTGCAGTCCAGCGAGCAGGTCGTGCCGGACGTACCAAGCCCGGTAAATGTTTCCGTCTCTACACCCAAGAGGCATACGAACACCTTCCAGATGCTACAGTCCCAGAAATCCAACGGTCAAATTTGACGCCTGTCCTTATGCAGCTCAAGGCTTTGGGTATAGATAACATTGTCCGGTTTGATTTTCTGACGCCTCCTCCCGCGGAGCTAGTGATCCGCGCATTCGAGCTTCTATATTCTCTTGGTGCTGTGGATGACTATGCCAAACTCACCAAGCCGTTGGGGATGCGAATGGCCGAACTCGCGGTTGATCCTATGATGGGCAAAGCCCTTCTTTCTGCTCCATCATTTGACTGTCTAAGCGAAATCCTGACGATTGCCGCCATGGTCAGTCTCCAGGGAGCCGTATGGGTACATCATGAGGGAGATAGGAAATTGTCGGAGAGCAGTCGCAGGAAATTTGCTGTCGAAGAGGGCGATCACTTGACGTATCTCAATGTTTACCAAACATTCGTCACGAAAGGGAAGAAGGATTCCAAGTGGTGCCGCGACAACCTTCTAAACTACCGGTCTTTGCAGCGCGCCGTGAGTATCCGGGCCCAGCTCAAACGCTATCTCGAGCGGTTTGGTATCAAGGCCGACGAGTCACTTTCTTCCTCCAGCTATCGACAGGCGGATTTGAGCAGGAAACCTGAGCAGATCCAGAGATGTCTTACAACGGGCTACTTTGCTCACGCTGCCAAGATGCAACCTGATGGGACGTTTAAGGCTGTCAGTGGTGGTCTTAAACTTCATGCACATCCCAGTTCTCTGATGTTTGTTAGTTGCTCTTGTTGTCTTTTTTTTTTTTTGGAAAACCGGACTTGTCTCAGCTAACCATTCCAATAGAACCGAAAAGCAGACTGGGTCATCTTCCATGAAATCATGCAAACAAGTGACAAGACATTCATCCGAGATGTCACTAAGATCGAAAGGAGCTATCTCACGGAATACGCTCCCAACTTCTACAGAGTCCAGTGATAGTTTACGTTCATAGATGCTTACCTGTATCCTATACCCGAATTCAAGGCAAAATTAATTTGAATATCTAACATATAAGGCTTAAACCCACTACGTAGATCCCAAAGTATGTATACATAGTCGGGCTGGAAGGTGAGGTCATCCCGGGGCGGAGACATGCCGCTTCCCATTTGGGCAATCGATTGGTCCCAAAACTTTTCCATCTTCTTCATCTTCTCTAGTGACAATCTTATCATCTCAACAGCAGACCGTTAACTGACAAACGACGAACATCTTCCACAGAATCAGTCAAAATGTCAGGACACAATCACCATGATCATGGCCATGGTGGTCATTGCCATGGTGAACACGACCATTCCAACGACATCACTCCGGCTGTTCAGTCCCTTCTCTACACCCAGATTCAGTTCGATTCCATCAACACATTGAATGGTATATCTATCTGGGTTATCCCTCCGCAGAGTCACAGCTAACTAGAAAAAACAGAGGATAGACCAAGATCCGGAGCTGCGATTGTCCAGAAGTCATGGGCGGAGAGATTGAACGACCAGCCTGAGCTTGAGAGCGACGCGGATGAGCAACTGCTCATGCATATCCCGTTCGTATATCTCCAAATTCTCAGTTTTATGCTTCAAGCGCTTTTATCTTTACTATTATTGCTGTTCTTTTGATTCGATGTTCTCGATATTCTACCCCGCCATGCCCCTCATCTTATCAGCCAAGCTCGTCAAAACATGCTAGCTCCAGCTACAAAACAAATCATCATGCTACATATGCTAATGGGTCCTTAAATTATGTAGGTTCACTGGCCAGGTCAAAGTTCACTCGCTTCTGATTTACACTGCACCGACTCCGTCTGCGCCTAAGACCTTGAAGCTGTTCAAGAACCGCGAGGACCTCGACTTTTCAACCGCCTCAGAACTCAAACCAACCCAGACCCTGGAGATTCCGCAGCCGGTCCCTGGTGCTGACGTTTTTGAGATGCCCTTGAACCGTGCTCACTGGAACACAACTACCTCGATTACCCTCTTTTTCGAAGATAACTGGAGTGACGGGGAGAACGACGTGACCAAAGTCGGGTACATTGGTTTCAAGGGTCAGTTCATGGCTTTGAATCGTGAACCTATCAGCTTCATCTACGAAGCGGCAGCGAATCCGGGGGATCATGTCTCGATTACAGGAACCAATGAGATGGGAGGACGAATCATGCCCGGACAGTAAGTTATTGCAGCATTTGCAGGGGAAAAGGGAAATTGTACTCTGAGAGGAAAAAGCGATTGCATATATTATGATTGTATCCATTATTGAGACGACGTCGATGACTTTAATCCATTAGTGAGCTGGACTCATACTGAGAACAAATTAATGAAACCCAATTTCTAATCGCCTGACGCTGACAATGGCTCTAAACACACCATGCAAGAAGAGAAAAACAGAACAAACCACCAACGCCAGTAATGCTCCCAATATTGAACTGATAAACCCGAATTCGATCGCAGAAGTAGCCCGTATGCGAGAACAATTAATCAAGAAGCTGGAACTGCAGCTCGTGCTACTTCCCCTTGCCCTGTCGTCTCCCTCTCTGTTTCTGCCGCTGTATCTTCCGGCGTTTCTGGCTGTTTGGGAGTTGTAGTGGGAGGCTCTGGTAATACCACTGGACCCTGCAGTGCCGCCAGTTCCTCTTCGACTTCGTCTTCGTCCTGGTTCGACAGATTTCCCGCAAGCATCTGGCTAATCTCCTAGATCGCCGCCACGTGGTTAGCATAATAAGCTCATACGAGTGGAATGGTCTAATGTCCTCACCTCTTGGTATGAGCGCGCCTCCTCCGTCTGCCCCATCAGCTTCTCCACGCCTTCAATTCCACCCATTTCCTTATTAATAGCCTGCAAAACTTGCGTTCCCTGCCGCAGCCCAAAAAGCACGTCTTTCTGTACGAGCGAGAACTCCACCTGCCCGACTAATTGCTCGAGTTGCTCGAGCTGTCCATCGCTCTTGGCCAGAAGGGATTCCTGGTATTTCTTACGGCGAAGGGCAAGGAGGGCGCTCCTTCGATCATTCCGGGCTAGACATTCCTTTGCGATTTCGGTTTCGCGCGTTGTGAGGACGGTGATGCGTTTCTGGTACTGATGAAGCTTATCGCGTTGGTTCTTTAGGTCGAGGATCGCTCTAGCATTGGATGAAACAAGTCAGTACTGCGCAAAGTAGGACATATACCTCTGTTAACAAGGCAGTGCTTACCGATCCTGAGCGGATATCTTGGGAGAGCTGGAGATGTTGCCCATGGTCACCGCATTATTGTCTATCTGGGGTTGAATGTGAATGCCCGGGGACCGGTCGATATGATGCGAGATAAGTAAAGTTACCCCAGAATGGGCATTGACATTAATTGCGTATCGTATTGTATCCACTGCCCATCGATTTGCAGTTTCTGGCTGTATTTTTCAAATCCCCGCTGGCAACATGTTTTTTCCGCTCCGTCCAAATTTCTGGGAAAATCGCAAGAATTGAAGCACGACGATTTCTCGACCAACGATTAAATTCAGGCATTGCAACCTCCTTGAGCTTGTGAAAATGCGCCAGGGGAATCGCGGAGGCAGGCCGACTTTGCGGCAGGGCTTGGATCGCGATGTGAGACTAGGAATCCTCGTCACTGCGTGTTCCTCCAACTGATACTTTTTTCGTCCTCCGCAGGTCTACCAAGTTGTGCGCAAAATCGTCGACGACCAGATTGAGAAAGACCAGCTGCGGCTAACCGTTCCCGCCATATACGACAGCATCAAGAGATCGAATTCCAGCCTGAACCGGAGACCGAAGAGGGTATTGGAGGATAGTCTCGAGCGGGTCGTGGAAATGGTGAAACTCGATGTATTCGGAGATGATGAGGAGGACTTGGTAGAAGGTAACTTTGAGGGCTTGGAAGAGCAGAAGCCTCCGCCCCAGGTATGTGCTATGCGTGAAGCGCAATGACATGTCTAGAAAAAATACTGACTAGGTCCAGGAGTCCAACAATCTCAATAAGAGCCTTGTCAGCATGTGGAACACCGGATCGAAGTCACAAACACCAACCGAAGCAAACGGCGCTGACAATGCGCCGGCATCTACATCGACGTCGACGAAGAAACGAGAACGACAAAATAAAAGCGAATCGTCTTCCAAGCGACGGAAAGCCGAATCCCAAGTCGATAGATCACCACCGACACATGTGAGCCTTACGGATTTGGGTGGGTTGGACGAAGTCATTGAAGACCTGGGCGATCTCGTTATCCTACCGATGACCCGTCCTCAAGTGTATTTGTCGTCGAATGTCCAACCACCACGGGGTGTCTTATTACATGGTCCGCCAGGATGCGGTAAAACAATGATTGCGAACGCCTTTGCGGCCGAACTCGGAGTTCCGTTCATTTCCATTTCAGCGCCATCGATTGTGTCGGGAATGTCTGGTGAATCTGAAAAGGCCCTCAGAGAACACTTTGATGAAGCAAAACGGATCGCACCTTGCCTTATCTTCATAGACGAAATAGATGCCATTACGCCAAAGCGCGAAAGCGCACAGAGGGAAATGGAGAAGAGAATTGTCGCCCAGCTTCTAACATGTATGGATGATCTGGCGTTGGAGAAGACGGAAGGGAAGCCCGTGATTGTTCTCGCAGCGACAAACCGTCCGGACAGCTTGGACGCAGCCCTGCGTCGCGGTGGGAGATTCGACAAGGAGATCAACATGACAGTTCCGTCCGAACCCGTGCGAGAGAAAATCATTCGGGCTCTCACGCGGAAGATGCGCCTTGCGGACGACCTGGATTTCAAGACGTTGGCCAAGAGGACACCGGGTTTTGTTGGTGCTGATTTGAACGATCTCGTCTCGACAGCCGGCGCTACTGCTATCAAGAGGTACCTTGAGATCCTAAAATCTAACAGTGGCGAGGAAATGGATATCGAAGATGAATCGGACGAAGTTAGTCCCAAAATTAAAGAATTGCGACGACTTATCATGCATGCAAAAGAGAACCCTGTCGGGGAGGAATCCCAAGTGGTTGAAGTCTCGAATCAGGACTTCTTCATAGCACTCCCCAAGATCCAGCCATCATCCAAACGTGAAGGTTTCGCAACGATCCCTGATACTACCTGGGCAGACATTGGTGCTTTGGGAGGTGTCCGTGACGAACTTTCTACAGCCATCGTCGAACCAATCAGGAACCCCGAAGTCTACGAAAGCGTCGGTATCAGTGCACCCACAGGAGTCTTGCTCTGGGGTCCACCTGGTTGTGGTAAAACACTACTTGCCAAAGCCGTGGCCAACGAGTCCCGCGCGAACTTCATCAGCGTTAAAGGTCCCGAATTACTTAACAAATTCGTCGGAGAGTCTGAACGGTCCGTACGACAAGTCTTCGTCCGCGCTCGCTCGTCTGTTCCCTGCGTTATCTTCTTTGATGAACTGGACGCTCTTGTCCCTCGTCGTGATGATACAGTCTCCGAGGCCTCTGCGCGTGTCGTGAACACACTCCTTACCGAACTCGACGGCTTGGGCAGTAGTCGTCAAGGCATCTACGTAATCGCAGCAACCAACAGACCGGATATCATCGATCCAGCAATGCTCCGTCCAGGTCGTCTCGAGACCCTCCTCTTCGTGAACCTGCCAAGCCCAACAGAGCGTGTGGATATTCTGCACACAATTGTTCGCAACCTGTCCATCGAGTTCAGTGAGGATCTCAGGAAACTGGCCGAGGACTGCGAAGGGTTCAGCGGTGCGGACTTGGGAAGCTTGCTTCGGAGAGCTGGATACTCCGCTATCAAGAGGCGGGATACCATCAAGTTCGAGGACTTTGTGGCTGCCAAGTCGTTTATTCGGCCCAGTGTTACTGATTTGAGGAAGTATGAGAAGTTGAGGAGGGATTGGAGCGGAGGCGTTCTGTAAATATATTATAGACCAGGTTTTTTTTGTTACGGTTGGACGTATATATGCCTTTAATGGGGTGTTCAGGACCTTTTCCATGATGCTCTCTATAATCTCGATTCCGTAATATTTAAGAATAGCCATCTCTCATCCTCGACATATCTTTCTACTATTATGATTAGCGCTAAATACAGCAAATGTAAATGTAAATGCAGTCATGCTATGTATGTACTTCATGTCTATTGAAAAGCCGCTAGGTTTCCCTTGCAGTGGCCTCCAACTCAAGCTTCTCATCCACAGTCAACTCACTCTTCGCGCTCTTAATCCGCACAAACGCAATCACCACAGCCAAAGCAAAACCAGCCAACCCAACCTGGAACCAAAGCGCCGTCTGGTAGCTCTTCCGAAGACTCAAGTACTCCTCAGTGTGAACCTGGACGATATCGGCAAACGCCAACATGATAGCAATACCGAAGTGAAGGGTGCAATTGATCAACGCGCCCGCTAGCCCTTGTCTTTCCTTGGAGAGATTCGTGGTTATAAAGATGTTGGTCACGTTGAAGCTGATGTCGATGCCGATTGTGCCGCCAATCATGGCGGGGAATACGAAGGCCCAGTAGTTTCCTCCGAGGGGAATCAGAGCGAATAAGAGACCGGATGCGAGGTAACCCAGAGCGGAGATTATCATTAGGATGGTTCCGTTGAGCATGTGGAGGAGATAGCCTCCGGCAACAGAGAGAATGAGACCTCCAACTGCCATGGGGACTGCCCATGCGACGACCTGAAGGGGTGAGGCTCCCATAATTTCCTGCATGCTGTTACACGATGTTAGTAATAGGCCATTGGGTATCTGCGGGAAGGGACGACACTTACTATAGGCAAGCATAGAGAAGATAAATCCCAAGACAGCCATACATGCAGAGGAGAGCGAGAATAAGTGGTTTCATGTACTTGACCGAGAGCAAATCTCCGGGCATCAAAGGATTCTCGACAACCCATCCCTCCACATACATGAAGGCACCCAGAATAAGGACACCAAGAATCAGACAAACAATGATATACGGCGTCTTCCACCCCTGGGGTGCATGAGCACTGTCCGCGATGGAAAAAATAAACAGTACCATCCCTGGCACGAGCAAGACGGATCCGATCCAGTCCATGCTGGCCTTAGATGTTGCTCGTTTCTCGACCCAATCCGAGGGAATCGAGAAGTAAGACGACACAGCTGTGATGGCAGAGAAAATTGCACCAAAGAAGAAATACCACGGCCATGACAGAAATTCACCGCAGATACCGGAAAAGAAGATACCGACAAAGAACCCTAGCGCTGCGCAGGCGCCATAGATGCTGAAGACGAGGTTTTTACGAGGTCCCGGACGGTATACTCTTCCGAGAATCATGATACTCGACGGCAAAAATGCTGCCAGCCCCAGCCCCTGCAGTGCTCGGAATATAAACAGCATCAACCAGTTCTGGGAGAATCCGGCGATGAGTGAGGTGATGGTCAACCACACCATCCCCCCAAAATACAGCACGAATCCTCCGAACATGTCCGCCAAACGACCAAAGATGAGCAGGGTGGCCGTGACGACAAGGGACAAGGCTGTGGCTGGCCAAATTGACTGACTGGGAGGGATGTCCAGCTCCTTTATCAAAGTTGGAAGGAGAACATTGGAACCGGATATGTAGTATTCCTACATATCTTGTTAACAAGAGCATCACGATGTTCTCAAGACAAAAGACATACAGAAAGGATCTGGCACATGAATATCGAGAAGCAGAATGCTAATTCAGTCCATATGTTCGAGAAATGTGGAGGACGTTGTCGCCCTAGCCGCTCGATTGTCTCCAGATCTGGTAGTGTTTGGGTATTTGGCCTTTGATCTTTATCATTGATGCCCTTCTCTTGAGCAGAGAAACCAGCGTTCTCTGCTACCTCAATCGGATGACTGCCATTGTGTTCCGGCATTTCGGGGTTCATAGCCGTATACAAAGGGCTCGCTCGGAAGTGGTTGTATGGTATGAAAAGACGTGGTGTACTCTCACACACTCGTTGCTCGCTCGTCCGTCTATATATAAAATTTACGCCACAGTGAGATTCTACACAATTCGACCGCTTCTCCTTCTAGCATCCTCATCGGGAAGGTCCCGGGTGAAGTTCAACTTTTGACGAATCTTCATTATAGTCACGTGCTTAAATTTTTTTTTCTGGCGGGATCCTTGGCGGCGAGAGAAAGCTTTACCGTAAATGGATTAGTCGCTCCAGTCACTAACCATTTGCAGTATAGTTCCCGTCGTCAATTAACTTCTTTTTTAGGAAGTTAACGTAGGTGGGTCCGAATACGGAATTGTGACTAATTAAAATTACTGTCGGTGAGCATAACTTTTATGAATGGGATAACTTTTACTATGGATATATCTTGAACAACTATACAACCCAAACAAAGATATAAAGAAATAAACGCCCTTATGTAAATGCGCAGATTGCTTGTTGATTTCACAATTACATCCACAAACGACAAGTTCCATCTGCACCAGCACTGACACACCACGCTTCTCTCGGATGCCAGTCCACCTCCAACACACCAAGCTCACCGGTAATCTTGTGGCCCTTGAGGACCTTGAGCGGCACAATACTGGCATTGCTGAGCATATCGCCCGTAACGCTGCCGTGGAAGATTTGCAAAGAGCCGTCGTCACTTGCGTCCGCAAAGAGAGGGTAGCGGCCACCAGGATGGAACTTGACGGACCGGATAGCCTTGCGGTGGTACCGCAATGTCTTGTAGGGGCGCGGAGAGAGTTCGAGATCGTGCCACAGGAGACGACGGTCGTAGGATCCCACAATAAGGTTGTCTCCGCCAGCAGCGGTAGAGGAGGTCGGATGAATGTCGAAGGAAGAGATCCAGCGGGCACCGGGCTGGATGATCTTGATGAGGAGCTGGCGAGAGAGATCGTAGGCACGCACGGACCGTTGGTTGGCGACGAACAAGACCGGTTTCGATGGGTGGAAGTGAGCAGTTTGCGGGGGTCCACCACCCTTGAGACGGCGGTGGAAGGGGAATTGGGTCAGATGCTTGGAAAGAGTATGGATAGCGATGGCCACAGAGGCCGGCGTAGACGAACCCGGGCACACTGTAACAAAGTAGTCGCCGCGACGGTGCCATGAGAGCGACTTGACAACGTAGCGAAGAGGGATAACAGCATATACGCCAGAGTCCGCAAGCGAGCTCGATGGGCGAATCCACTGAGGAGGGGTGTTCTTCTTGTTCGCGTCCGCACCAGTCGGGGCTGGTCTTGAAGCTGCGTATCCCCACCCAGCATCAAGAATCTCAAGACTGGTTTGTTCAACTTCGGGGTCAACAATAGGGGGAACCGCAAGGAAAACATCGTCACCCGCGGCCGCAGCAAGGACAACAGCATCCTTGCCAGGCCTCCACTTAACCACATTGACCGGATCCTCTTCACTCAAAGTTGCACTCCAGAGCTGACGACCAGTGAGAAGTTCCCAAACACGAACAGTTCCATCATCACCACCAGTGGCAAGCCAGAGGCCAGATGGATCGATGGCCAAGGTACGCACGCGGCCCTTGTGGCCTCTGAAAATAGTGGCGCAGGCAGTTGGGAACGGCTTCAGCTCCTCGGGACTGGGAAGCTTGGGGAGGAGGCTCTCGGGATCGATGTTCAGTTTGCTTCTCCGGACTCTAGGAGCCAGGTAAAGATCCAGGCAGCGCTCGAACTTCTCTTTAACGAAGCTCTCATAACCAGGAACTCTCCGGAGGGAGCCAAAGTCATTGGGCAAGAACTCGCTCTCCCGATCCTCTGGGTCTGTTTGCTCCCAAGTCTTCCGCTCCTTATTATCAGGCAGATACTCAGGCGGTGGGTGGTAACTCTCCTCGTAACCAGGCGGAGGAAGTTTAGGAGCAGGGATATGCATATGGGGATCCGCATCCTCTGCCTCATCTGCCCACAGGTCATACTTGATCACATTTGGATCCTCCTCCTCCCGCTCCTCCGGGGCCTTGTAAGGGAGAATGCGGCCCTCTCTGATCGCCTTGACAATCTTCATCACCCGCTTGGCTTCGTGCTTCGATGGAACGAACCGGCGCTTTGGTTCGGGGGCAGCACTCAAAGGCATAACTTCTTGCTTGCTGGAGAACCATTCGATCGTCGGTTCGTATGGGTTGTAACCTTCGTCGGGGATTTCGTTCATTTGAACCTTGCGTAGCAGCTCCAGCTCATCTTGGCTCAGCTCCAGCGGCTTGCCAGTCGAAGGATCCGTAAGACCAGTGAAGCCCTTGGGGATCTCGATACTGTCCAGCAATGCATCTAGAGCTTCGCCCTTTGCGGGACGCATAATCTTCTTCCCGTTAATGTCATAACCAATATGGGGATACTCGTCGTAGAAGGACAAAGGAATGTTGCCGATGGTGTTTGCATCTTCGTCAGCTTCAGAGAGCTCCGAGTTATCGTCCGGGTTGATCTCATCGTAGAGATAGCGGTCATTTCCATAGGCATCTTTTTCGATGCTGAAGTTGATTTGTTCCTCCTCGCTAGATTCGTCGTTGTCGTTGTCCTTCGCCGGCTCGTCGACCGCTGTGCCAGACCTTTTCTTAACCAAGTTTTCGCCATCGGAAGGAATCTCATCACTGTCGATATCCTCCTCCCCTTCAACCTCCTCTTCATCACTGCTGAAGTCATCAACCAATTCCACTTCCGAATCGCCTTCATCGCTCGAAAGATCGTTGGCGTCGTCCGAAAGCGCTCCATTCAAATCCTTCTTGCTCAATTCATCCCCAGAAAATGCTCCTGCTTCCTCCTCCACATCGCGCGTAACGGCCTTTCGTTTTTTCGAGCCCTTCGAAGCGTCCATGATGCTGTGTCGGAAAGGATGTCGGGATTCGCGACTTTTTTCTTTTTTCTTTTCTTTTTTTTTTTTTTTTTT